ATATGCCGTATGCTTCAGCACAAAGGATATTGTTGCTGCTTCTGTCGGCATTGTATCCCAAACACCTTCAGTGCCGTGTATACGAGCAGTCTTATATATTCTTTCCAAGGACCAGTTCAGGGACCAACTGGTACCAATTTACCCAACAATCCAGATACTCCAACGAAATTTTGCACAGTTTAAGCAAGTGTTGCTATGCTTGAGTGCCTCTATAAGCATGCTTTACTAGTTTGTACTGTTTCATGCGGCCGTTTGTAGCTCAGTGTAGCACTTCAGCAGCCGTTGCTTCGCCGTTGCTTCGCACCAAAAACAGCTTATCCTCTCCAGTAACGATCTCGAGAAGAAGTTGCTGAGTGTCCTCGGCAACGTTTTGTGCCTATTTGTGGTTCGTCGAGCAAACCTTGTGGTTGGAGTGTTCAATGCAATGGACCGCCTGGTAAAAATTATGGAAAGCTACGTGCAAGAGTTTGTGCGTGACTGGATGGCTCTGGATAAGGATCCTGTGCCGCAGTGCATTCTATCTGCAGAGGTTACATCGAGCAATTGACAGACTGAATTATTGCCAAACCTTGCTAATTCCGCCTTCTTTGGAAGGCAATAGTACACCAAACCGGAAGCGCACGGAGCGGCGTACGCTTCACGAGTGGCAGTATGCCGGCACAGATGGGCTTCAGAAGGTAGCAAAACATTTGAACGTTTTATGAAAAAAATGCTTCATAGCAGGAGCTGTTTCCAATCGCCAGTTTCAAGCCACACAACCACTAAGCAGCACCAATACAAGTTGCCAACGTTTGTGCTCGTCACTAATTGAAAAAAATAAGCATCCCACACCGGGAACTTTATGTGTATCGCTTTGATTGCTTAAAATGTTCCACGTGTGCTATGCATATCTCTTGAAGGTACTTCTATTGACGTGGCTGCAATATCGAGTGACCCCGGTCGAGTGCGGCGCGAACGATTTGCATATCACGGGGTTTGCTTCGATACCACACATTTCTTGCTGTGTTCTACTCCCTATGTATCCATTTTAATTCTTTATTCTCTACGAGCGAGCGTCCCCCTCCTAATATGCTAGGAGATACAGAAAAGGAGACATGAAGAGCCGTTGTGAGAGCCAAGCAGCTTCTACGGCCCGGTCTGTCAACACCCCACTTATCTGCAATGCAGTAGCTGTATGCTTCAGCAGCCGAATTGTTTGTTTGAAAAACTGCAGCTGGTGCTCCTTGTATGTCGCACCTATGATTGATGACATGCCTGCGTGGCACTCCGATTTGCTCCCCGTCGTCCGTCGATGACCTTGGAAGCAAGCACTCTGGATACCCCAAAGCACCAACCAGCTGGAGAACCACCTTTTTAGGGTCGCATATCCACTAGTGTGCATTGCTGAAAGCTATTATAGAAACAATAGGGGGCTTATGGTGCCACTGCCTACTATTGACGCCTTCAGCCGCACCTGGAGGCGGCGCTCTCGCGGGTAGAGCTACCAGCAGTTAGCTGCTGCAGTCATCAGCAAGTGCAATATTTTGTCTAGGCATACAGCATATAATATAGAATCTTATAGCCTGCAAGAAGGAACATGTAAGTCTAATAAACCGGCTTGTGCCACTGACTTAAACAGTGATCGGCGCACCGGCATTCCTCCCCGTGCAAAGCGTAAGCCGTCACCGTAATTCGTCTTGAATGTGAAATTTTCTCAGTTCTTAGATCAACTAGTAACGTGTTGCCAGCTTTCCAATGATTGGTTGCCTAATAGTGTCCTGTAACTAAGGCTGTTCTTTCACTGTGGAACACGAAGCACTGTGACGGGCATTTTGGCAGACTGAGCAGAGTCGAACAAGAAGATGGCCCAAAATGCTGCCAACAGAGAGGCCAAAGGCCCTACAACCACTATAACAGGATCATTCTTCTGCCGAGTGCAAAAGTCACAAAAGTGAGCTAGCTGCCAAGCTGCGGCATAGCATAGATGTGTTCTGCTACTGCTGCAACCGCCTTTTCGAAGAATGAGGTGCATACCTTCCTCTCCAGTTCCGCATATCCTTGGAATGTTTGCCTCAAATGATCAAAATAAAAGATGTAACTCTAGGAGTGCATGCAAGTTACAGAGCACATCAACTCGCAAGTAAGTTTATTGGCTGTATCTGCTCAGGGACCTTACGGTAGAGAATAGGGCCAAAGCTCCTGGATCCGCACGCAACACGTCTACTAGGGGTCGTAAACTACTGACGCCAGAGGTGCCAGAAGTACTTCGCCCCCACTGCGAGAAATGTGGCTTTGGCGAGGCTTTGAGAGCCGGGCTGGACTGCCGTTGCCATTGCCCACAGTGCTTCAGTGGGAAGCCTCGCTGCTCCTCCCCGCGCATGGCCTTGCGTCGCGCGGAGAACGAGACCTGCGATACATTCACAGCGAAGCTTGCCTTGACACGAAGCCGTGTTGCTGCGTACGCTTTGTTGCAAATATATATTCTTTGTTGTTTTCCCAAGCGCAGTACAACCGTGGGTGCAGAAATACACAAGTATGTGCAGCATTATGACGAAAACTAGCCAAAGATGACGTTTCAATGTATATCTTCATTCTCTACTGCAGGCGGGCTTCACAGAGGAATTCTAGTGCCAGTGGCCAATCAACAAGGTGTGATTCCTCCGTTAGTATGGCGGGCAAGTCGGCAAGCTCTAAATGCCAGGCAGAGTCTCAGAAGGCCCTCTCAAAAAGAGAACTGACTCCAGAATCATCGCTGGGAAGCGCCCCTGAAACTATCTTGCAATCAACTGGGAATCAGCCTGCATGCCGCGCGCCATGCAAAAGACAGAAAAAAAGAGGCTTGGGGCAAGAAACCCCCTCACTTTGTCTCAGCACAGATAATGCTTCTACTAAATACAGGAGGCCTCATTGTCCTATGTGCAGTCAGCTTGGTTGTCTTCGGAATATTGAGGTAGTCTGCTACTGTGACGCCTGCCAGGAATCTAGGGATAGGCAGTGCAGTTCTCCAAGGATGGCTGATTTCAGGAAATCCCACCCAGGCTATGCATCGAGGTCCGGCAAAAAACAATCTTGAAACTAAATGCTTGGGGGGCCTCCCCAGAAAGGCATCCCGCTTCTGAGCTGTTGCACTCTTTTTAGGGTTGCACGAGGGCATGCATAAGTATTGAGCCCTGCAGTAGTTATACGCACGCACTTATGATGCGGCGCTTGCTGATGAGGCCACTCACTGTGGGTTCTGTGCAGTACATGTGGACGCAAGTTGCTAAATCACTTCTAATAAAACTCTTCTCAGTCCAATCAATCTCGCTGGCACTTTTTCGTGCTATAGTTGTTTGTTTGGCCTAAAACGAGAGTCGTGGCTTGCCATTAGGCTAACACACAATAGATAACGTTGAGGTAAAGTACAGTTACAGTGCCACGTTGAGTACAGTAGCTGGCAATGCGACACTGGAGTCACACTGCTGCGGTGAAGCACAGACCGAAATTGCCGCTCACTCAATAGCCCGTAGCCTGATACCGTAGCCTATATAGATTTAAAGTGCAGAGAGCTTCTGTTGGTGCAGAGGTTTTGCTGGATTCTACATCCTGCACCATAGATTGTCATTCACATACACGTTGGTGGGTTGCACTCCTTATGATATGGAGGCCATTTGTCTGGCCATCTTCATGCCGCCCTGAAGGACCTGCTGCAGCATCCTTTTGAATCTTCCACAGCCGTGCCACAGACTCAGACGCTCGTACGCAGGCCTGACGGGCACGTTGCCGTCATTCAGAGAAATAGCGCCAGAGGTCCACTCCCTGTCTCAAAACGGTGTGGGCATCCCACCGATTAACTTGAGAGGACCAGCATAGGAAGCCATCACTCTCGTGGTTACCCAATGCGACACATGCAGACTCTCAACGTGCGCGATACCCAATCTTTTAATATTGCACTCCTGAGAGTAAGGCTATCTCCTGATGTTGCACCAACAGTCCACTAAAGTCTCGAAGCATTCGAATTCAACTCCACAGGTGGGCCACAGGTATAGTAATGCGTAGCCAGCTTCTCCTGCTCCCCTAGATAGGAAGCTGGAGTTTTGAAGACAGCAATACTAATTGGACTTTGGCTGACTGTCCTGAACCCTGAAGTGCATTTGTTGGAGGTGCCGTTTTGGCTTGCAGCTAATAGCGGGCGTCATTTTGATTTACAGTCGTTCTTAAGCCCTTATATATTCACCGAATATTACGGACAGAAGTGTCCTAGGTGTTGCAGCAAGGTGACGCTGATGTACAGCGTTTGCACACTGGGATGCCCACAAACGCCTCTGCTTTTGCCATTATGGGTCCCCCTGCCAAGCCAGAGAATACGCCGGCGGGGCCCGCCGTGTGGTTCAGTATAAAGGCTGCATAGCAGCACGTACATGGTTACTGCGGCAAGGATAGTCTATCATTGTTGGAATACGTTGCTTCAGTATGCATACGACGCTCAACACCCAGTAGTCTGATACCCTTGCAGCACCCTCTGAATGCGTTGGAAGCTATCCACACCTGTGGCATACCACGCGGCGTCGCCACAGATCGTTGGCTAGAGCGCTTCAGGTGTGGGAATTGACTTAGGAAAAGCGCAGACAGCTATGCTTATCAATCAAAAAATAGTTGGCGTACGACTCACCACCCACCGACCTTGCTAATTCAGAAAAACAAAAACACTCTACTGAATCAGGTTGCACCAAAGCTTTGCCGTTACAACGTTCACATTTATCTTAATAAATACATAATGCCTTATTTTTTGCACTTCACTGGGTAAGAAGGAAATAGATGGACCTACCATGCTTTCGCATACATCTGTATTTTGGATCTCTCACACGAAAATGAAACCCTAGTTTAAGTATCTGTATACAGTTTCGTTGAGCCGCTATTTTGCTTCTGTAACAGTATTCCCTAGCTTGGGTTTTGTGAATGCGTTTAATGTCAATGATGCTGCTTTTGGAGAATGAAATTACAAAATGCCTAATTAATACAACAAATGGAGTTACGGTTCCCTACACTGCAGGAGTGAACTGCCCTGCTGAGGCCCAGCTTCTCTGCTTGTGTGGGTGGCACTCAACACCAGAGGAGCCGAAATGGGAAGGGTTCCATTGAGCACTAATAAAATAGTTGTGCTTTTCTCCGAGCCTTGCCTTTGTCTGCGTGTGCCCTCGATGCGTCAATGAATCGCCTTCACACGAGCCTCGTCTTACTGCTGTAGCATTCTTTTCTGAAAACGAAATGTCAGGACACAGGTCCCAACGATCATAGTTGGGAGCAGAAGGTGACGCCAACCTGGAGGAGCTACAATCCTCATGACAACAAGCCTGAGCAACGGCCGGTCCTTCCCGGGCTGCACCACTGTAATTCTGCCTCTGTGAAAAATGGTCCGAAAGTAAGTTGGCAAGCAACATAAGATTCTGTTGTTGGTTGTGTTGCTGCTGCACTTCTTGGTCATTGGCGAATTTCACGCGGCGTCCAGCATCTGCTGTAATTTCCCTTGTTGCTCGGGAGTCGAACTTGTAAAAGGTAGGTTGTAAAGGTGCCGGTCCTCCCAGCCCGGCATTTTGCAATAGCCAATGCCACAACCATTTTTTGTGGCTGCAGTCAGTCAGCGGTAATTTTTCGTCTTGCTGCTGTCTAGAATTATTATGGCTTGTTGGCGTTGGCCGGCACCGAATGTTTGATTGCGTGCCTACTACACTCAGTATCTTCTCCTGTCTTGTACGATTTTCCCGAGGTTTCGGCCGTTGCTGTCGTTTTTCATTGTGGATTCCTGAAGACGGTGCCGGAGCGGGGTAAACACTTTCGCTGGGAGACGATATGCGGACCCCTTGAGGAGAAGCACCGATGCCTCCCCTAGTAACCAGCCCTATAAGGCTCTGTTGCAAGCATTCCCGGAGGTGTATCTCGCTATTCAGTTGTTTTTGAAGCTGCTGAAGTTCCATTTGATGCTTCTGTGCGCTTTCGACATGCGCTTGCCCAATTCGTTGTATCTCCTGCTGTAACAGTCTCTGCGCTCGTTGCATGTGTTGCTCGAGGGTGCGTCTAGCAGCTGCTGCCCGCCAGGGCAAAAACGCCCGAAGCTGTAACATGAACAAATGGCGCTGCTGTAGAGCCGTTTGAAGCTGTTTGAGCCGCCATGTGAGCACTCTGTGGAGCTGCCATCCTTTCCACGCAAAGCGCAGGAGTTGGCAGCTCTCATCTGTGCGCTTTCTCCTGCAGCAGATCTCCATTATTTTATCTAGCCTTTCGTAGTCCACGGCTTGCTGAGCTCGCAAAGCAACCAGCTCCTTCTGAGCAGCTGCAGATCTAACTTGGTGTTCTTGCTGAAGCTGCAATCGTAGGTGCCGCTCGTGCTGCAACTCCCTCCAAAGCTTTTGCTTGACAAACGCTTGCGAGCTCGCAAAACACCGAGCAGCTTCTCGTCGCAGCAGCCCTAGGGAATGTTGGAGCAACATGGAAAACTGGTGCTCTTCCTCTCCATGGTAAGCGCTGGACGCACAATCTTGGCCCACGGTTTCAACCCTGTGCGGCCCACGAGCAAGCAGGTGCCACTCTGGTGAGTGACAAAGGTTGTCGCAAGTTGTGCTTTCTTGAATATTCGTTGACAAGGCCGAGCCATCTTTCGTAACTGCTGTGTGCATGTCCAGCATGGAGTTTTTCATGCATGAATTGCTACTGCGGGTGCACTCCACTGCAGATGGACTGCGGCAGGGCCACATCTCACTCTCCTGGGCCGCTATGCCGGGCGTTTGATTATTTTTGGACCCATTCGCTAGTGTATGCAGAAAAATAGGGTCCACGTCATAGTGGTGGTTGGCAACCTGTTTCCGGTGTATTGTGTCACTGCGTCTCCCAGCCCTCAACAATTCTTTGGTAGCGGGTGGCTGTGAAGGTGTTTGCACTGGAGATTCTTGCAACTTGCTCCTTCGAGAAGTGTCAGATGGAGGAGGTAGTGTTCGTCTGTTCCTATTCATTTCAGTTGCCTTTGGAGCAGGCAAGACGCGTCGAGTAATAGGGGAGCGTCTGGTTTGAGTAAACGTTTGAGACTTCGTGGTTGCGATTGAAGGTGATACGCTATGAAAGGTCTCAGTTGCAGTGGTTCCTGATGTCGGTACAGGAACTCGCTTTGACCGCTGCCATATCCTGCCTCCAGCATCAGAAGGGCTGCTGTCGAGACCCTGTTCTGCAGCAGCTGCCAGTCGAAGGCTTGATGCACCCAGAGCTGCCACGAGACCAGCTACAGACGTGTCATACGGATTCCCTTTGCACGGGGTTCCCTCTTCAGATTCTCCAGCAGTCCTCCGAATGGCTCGTGTAAGTGGCAAAGGACCTTTCTGGGGAACCTGCTCTTTGTTGCAGTATGCTTGCTGTTGCCTGGGGGAGCACGGCCGGTCTGTTACTCTCTGGCTGGCACAAGCTAGATCTGCAAGCGTACAAGGACCAGATAAAGACGATGCGAAAGACGCTATCTGCAGGGAGTTTCCCGTAGTGGTTCCTGCATCTCCTTGCACAGCGAGTTTTTGTGTTTCCTCGAACGTCGACATAGCGGCAGAAGCACGGATTTTTCTACTCGACGGATCTCTAAAAGGCGTATCTGCCACCTTTGTTGTGGCTTCAGCTGTTGTGGTAGATGCTGTGGAAGGAGCTGACGCCAACCTCTTGTCTCCCATGCATGACGTTGCAGGCTGCTCTTTTGATGCTGCTTTGGTTGTGTCATCAGAAGCGGAGGCAGGAGACGGCATCCCACGGTTCGTGTTGTGCGCCTTTGCCATTGGATGTAGAAGGGGAGATACACGCATGGTGCAGTTAGCATCCACAGGTTTTTCCCTGGGGTTACGACTGCACGGCATGCTGGATTCCGTACTAGCCAAAGCACCCGGTAAGTCCTCCTGAGATTCGCCAGACATTGTCAAGGGCGAAGTCTCGGTCAGACCATTGGCAGCCCTATTATCCTGCTCAGATGATATTGGGGTTCTACAGGAAGACCAGTCCTTTGTATCTGACTCCACACTTAGCATTTCTTTATGCAGGAGACGGAGAGTTCAGGAGCTCGAGGTGAACCTGTCCATAACGTGAACAAGATAATTCCTTAACCGTTGCTCCCACATATGCTTCAACACAGCTAGTGTGAAAACACTATTATATAGTATGTCATGCACTTCTATAGGATCTTGGTGGACCCTGTGTAGGGAGTCCAAGCACCTCCATCGTCAGCTGAGGGCAAAAGATTCAAAGTGCTGCAGTTAGGAGGTTCCGTCCATAGATATTTCATCAGCATACCCATAACAATTCTGGCTCGAGCAGTTGCTCACATTAAGCGGCTGTTTTGACTGGCTTTCCACTGGCAGATTTCCCTGAACACCGGGCCACACCACCTACGGCCTGAGGCTTTGATGCACTGGTAATTTTCAAAGCCATCTGCACTTGCTTTGTCTCCACTGTCATGTGAATTGGTTATATCAAAGCACTAAAGTGAAATATAACAACTTAATTTGAATCTCTTTCCGCTTAGCTTGAATCTGTCTTTCCATTCTCGTGACGTGCGGGGTCACTTACTAGTCCAGCGGCCCCTCACCACAAGACTTTAGGCCCACGAGTATTCCCCGTCGGACGCACTGATTGTAGAACTTTTTCATAAGTAATTGAACGCGTTATTATTGTTTTTCCCTCAACTGGTTATGCTGGAGCTAGCTTGCAACAAACTGCGTCGGCGGAGTCTCCATCCCCCTTGCGGTGATACTTATTTAACGATAGTGTCTCGAGCACTAGATGATCTCCTCATGGTAGAGTACACTCGCTCTCTCCGTGTCTTTTTGAAGTTGGAGTAGTCCAACGGGACTTCACCGACGGGACGGGGTGGCAGTGGTTGGCTCCACTCTTGATGGTGGCAGGCAGTGACTCCAGCAACGTGATGTGTTCTCTAATGCTGCATATCTGCTAGAATTGATTGAACCCCATTTTTGTCCATTAGTTTGGCTTTCAGTCATTTCCGCGAAGGATCTGCTAGTATGGATCCTTAACATTTCCGCAGAATTGTCCGTAGTGGTGAAAAAAAAAAAGAAAAAAAAAGAAAAAAAAAAAACCTCACGAAGAATTATTCGAAGACGTACTGCTGGAGAGTGGCTACGATGACATTTGTTGTTCCTGTCATTGCCACAAAGGCAGCTAATGCCTACAAGACGATTTTCTTCCAGCGTCAGAAAGGACATAAGAAGTCCAAGCTTCCCATATTTTGCATACTGGCTGTGACAGCCTTCAGCATTTCATCAGCTCGCGATGTAAACGGTTTTACAATATTGGACGCCTCACTTACAGGTTGGTCCTCCTTTGGTGTCTTGATCCTTTGCCCCGCATGCATGCATCACTAACCAGTGACGCGTGCATGCAGACCAGAGACAACAGAGATACTTGTAGTAATTTGATGATGTACGACGGGGCCCAACCACAAGTACAAAACCACTCTAAAGTATTCGCAGTATTGACATACTGCAATCAACCACCGAGGAGCGCTCAAATTCTTCACATGCTCCAATCTATTGAGCGTGGGGAGTTCCTATGACAATGATTTTGACACATCACACGTCTACGAAGTCTAGCCAGTTCTGCGGAGCCCTTCTGGCAACCAGATTCTGAATGAATTTATCACGCACCCAGCGTAGTTTCTGAGTGCAAAGCTACCCAGTTAACAAACTGTAAGTTCTTCGCACAATAATTTTTTTCTCACTTTTTACGTACGTGCACGGCAGGCGCCGGGGGAGGAGCAGCAAACGATCCGCAACAGCCTTACCCGCTGCTGCAAGACAGGCTGAGGAAGGCCCTTACTGAAAAATATCATGAAAATGCAGAAAGTATCTTTGTGAGTGAAGGGGTGAACACTAGAGAAGAAGAAGAAAGTAATGACTCTGATGACATTGACGAGGCTATGCCCCCTCTTTCAACGACTGTGGACAAATTCGACGAGGCAATGAATCGCGCATGTTCACCAAGTATAAAAAACAGCCTCTTCGACAACCTGGGACAACCAGTGAGCTCCTCTTGGTTTCCGCAACCAACTTTGAACAACCCCGAGGAGGCAAACGGCACCATCCACACAACAGGGCTCGCATAATCCACGAGCAGGGATTTAAGTGGCTACAATAGGCACCAAAGGTGTACTCGCTGTACTTGTACTTGTGCAGTATATGTATCACTCGCGTTAAGTGCGATGTGTTACATATGAAAAGGTTACTGAGGCAGTGAATCTTATGGATCGCTGGATGAATAGCGTATTAGGAGCGATGACAACTCTCGAGTCAGATTCAACTCCGCTGTACGAGTATCTGTCTGGAACGGGGAGTTTGACTGCTGTCATCAAGGGCAGTTGCCTCTTCGGCTTGTCCATTCTTGCAGGTATCCTTGTGGCTTCTTCGTACATACTATGTTGCCTCCCAAAGCTCTGTTGCAAATATCTGCGTCGCTTATGCTGCTGTGCAAAATGCTGTTCTGGGCAGTCCAAACTTTGCTCACGCCTCCTGAAGGCCATATTACTTGCAGCCTTCACTCTGTCAGGCATTGTCTTTGCCTGCTTAGTTTTGATGTACCAAAAAAAAGGTGTACAGGGTGCGAAACAGGCATACTGTCAAGCTTATGCCTTTACTGATGAATTACTTCGAGGAAGTCCCTCACTGGGTACAAACGTCACCCAAGTAGATGAACCGCAGTCGGACGAATTTGAAGGGTTGCTACCTCTAATTGAATCTGTGGAATCTTTGGCTCTGCTTGTCGATGGGGATAATCCAAACAATATTGTTGAATTGTCCAAGAAGGCTGCGACTAATGCATTGGACGTCGTCCCAATGGCTGGCGAGATGACTAGGGCTACCAAATACCTTTCTGATGCATGCGCATCATTGTCCGCAAAGACGTCGCTTTCTGGTAGCTTCCACAAATCGGTTTGGTGTGATATTCGCAAGCGTGAATCTGGAAGCTCCGGGCTGATCAGCACGGAAGAAAAGATGAGCACCTCAGCTCAAAAAATAATTCAAATAAACCCCAAGAAATACGTGGAAACAATATTCTCAAAGGTCACGCTTCCTGCTCTGAATATTGAGGCGACTCTCCCCACAGAGAATGTTAAGGAGCTATTCTTCACTGTTTTTGACATCCTGGGGGACACAGAGGAGACGATCTCGAAGGTGTTGGGCTGGCTCGATGCTGCTCTTAGCGTAGACTGTGCTATATACTTGGCCATCTTGTTGCTTGTAGTCTTGTGGGCTGCTTGGTTCTTCTTTCGTGGAAGCAAGACCAATGGTTTGATTCCCGCACTCTTCTGGAATGTCTTAACGTGGGTGGCTGTAGCACTTCTGGTAGTTGGTGGCGCTTTAGGGTGGATCACTACACTTGGCAAACAAGGATGTTCCATACTCATAAACAACTGCTTAGAGCAGGACAACTGGGATCTGCTTTCTGATTACGTACCAGTGGTGGAGCCACTGATATCCCAATGCCTCACGAAAGAAGGAGACGGGGACTTGCTTGCTGGAGTCGGACTGGACGCAGCTTACGACCAAATGCTTAAAGCGCTTCAGGAGACACTTGCCGGCTTCCCCACAAATATAAGTTCTCTGGACAAGGAGACTTCGGGTGTGGACCCGCCGTGGCTGGTTTATCCATAAGCCATCCAGGAGAAAATATGCACAGGGGCGTATACAATTACCAATGCATGTTATCAACTTGCTGACTGTTGCCGTTGCAATTATTATTTGTGGTGCCTCTGTTCGTAGAACTGGCTGAGAATTACCTTCGCACGGCCAACTCGTTTGGCGCTCTGGTTGTAGCTGACCCAAGCTCTGTAACCAAAAGCAGGAAGGAAGTCTTCCCCGAATTTTTAACGGTGATCCTAGCTGCATCTTCCACTGTTCAGCGATCCTGCCCTTCCTTCTAAGCCACGTTTAGCATAAATGCGGGCTGTTAGCTACAAGTATCCGTGTTTTCACAGTTCCTGGACCATCTGTGCCGTCCACGAGGTGCGCCGCCATAGATGTGCCTTCACATTACAGCTTGCATCCACGCTCACCTAGTTCGCTCTTCCACGTATCGCAATGTTATAATTGTCCTATGTATAGTTGTAGGCGTGAGCATTAGTGTTTTTTTCTAATACTATGTTGCCTAATGGCCTGTGCTTAATATTTCCTAGTAGTTCCTAGTACTCGTGAAAACGAGCTCATAGACATGAAAGTCGCCTTCTCCAAGTAGCTAAAAGGCATTATTTTTGGTTTTTGGCGTGCAAATATTTGCTTGGTGAGGCGTACGTACGTGTGTCTATATGCGTACAAAGACGCAAAGACGCCCTGGTCAGTGCTTCCTTCTATCTCTAGTAAAGTTCGTTTCTGCTTTGTATGCAGAGCGGTATGCAATTACAAGACGCTGACATCGACGGGAAAACTCTATATGGACTTGAAACACTCGAGAGCCTGGTTGCTCCATGGAAATTGCTAGCTCTGCATCCTGATGAGCCAGCAGACGGAGAGTTCATTGTGAGGGAAGACAATCCAACGGAAACAGATAATAATTTCGTCAAATGGCTAGCAAGCCTTAAAGAGAACAAAGTGGGTACATCAAGAAATACCCTTCCATGCGACTCAAGCGAATGGGCTTGTTTGTTGGTTTTCCAGAAGGCACGGCCTTTCTTGCAACAGTTACAACAGCGTAAGCACTTTGACGTATCTGTTTGTATGTTGGCCAGTGTGTACGTGTGCCTTACGATACAAGCTTTTTAGTTCTCAGTTTTCTGCCAACTTGAACCCGCGAAGGTGAGAATCGCATTACTCACCGGGCGGTTATTTCAACTTTTTGGCCATGGAAGCATAAAACTGCCGCTGTGGATGGCCTGCTGATGTGGCTTCCCTTTTCATTATTCTTCTCGCTCGTTTTGGTACTCTGAATCAATGTCGCGCTTTACGTGCATATGCACCTGTGATGCACAGATGGCAGAGCTCCTTGAAAACGGAATCGACGAAGATAAAGCAGAAGCAGAGGCGGAGCGCTTTAAAGTGTGGACAAACAACGGTATTTGGTGGCTTCAACAGAAGCAGAGAGTGCTGGATTTGAAGTATACTTGCAAGAATCAAGCAGGCATGGAGGAACTTTGTGGTTTTGCCGAAATGTTTGGACTGAACGAGACGGATATACATGCTTCCTGCATGTACAATAATCAAAGTACTGCAGCCCAAACATGTGAGGCTAGCCAGCACGAAACGCCCGATACTCCCTGCAGCAATTTTTGAATCCGGTCAAAGTGTGCCCAAATCTGTTTTGAAATAGCTTGTACCGTGCCAGAAGTACACAGAAATAGAAATTCGTTGCATTGTCCCTGCCGAAATCCGCTGCAACCAATTTCTGTTTTTCGGTTTGACTGTGTTGCTGTTATATTCTACCTAGACCTGCAGATCTCCTCATGTTTCGTCAACGCAGGTAGACCACCATCCGGCATATATGTGCCTCAGGCATCGCACGCTCAGCTAATCCCTCACAAGTGAAAAATGATTGAACCGCATGGTGTGATACTTTGATTCATTGTTACTTGGCTCCCGTTATACTGTTTGCAGTGTCTGACTCAATTGGAGAAATAAATGACAAGGTCATCAATCCTCTTGAACAGATAAAGAAAGCTTTGAATTGCCGCTTCCTTCGGCGCAACATTGTTCAAATTGCAGCTCTAGCGTGCGAATCTACCGTACATAACTTTTATTATGTGTGACAAAGCCTACCTCATTCAGAGCATTTTTCAGCCAATCATAAAATAATGCATTCCCGACCAATGACCCTGCGAACCATCGGGTTCTGCACCAGCGTCGTGGCAGGTGTGTCTGTTATCCTTCAGGTGGCTATTTACAGAGCTCTCGGCGGTGCAATTGCATGTTTGGTTGTCCTAGCTCTCTTCATCCTGTGGAGCACCCTCAAGAAAAACAATTCGCCTAAAGGCCTTGCAGGCCCAAACTCCGCAGCATAGAGGTACTTCAGTAGTCCGACAATTTTCTTTAATGGTACGCTAAGGTGCTAGCATTCCTCAATGCATCCACCGAAGGGGGCATTTTCATTGATTGACTGTGTTCTCCAAAATTGTGGGTGCACCTTGTACAGCACAGGAAGAAGCTTCCCTGTCTCTGTAGCTGTCGCGCTTGACCGCACTTGTCATTTTAATGTGGTGCAAGACATATGCCGATGCATGCTCACCACATTAAAATTACATCTCCTTGTCTATATAAACGAATGCCGTATATAGTTTGTTCATATGCAGCAAGAAACTCCCCTAGGCGCAGCTTTTGCTTGCCTAACGTCCTGAATCTCCAAGCAGGACCGCATTTCGTTTGGTGGAGGGCGAAGAACCAGAGCAGTACAGTGTAGCAGCAAACATTTTAGATCCAGGAGCACTGGCACGAAGGGATGCCATTCAACTTCCATTCGGAGGAACTACTGCAGACGGTATCTTCGGTGTAGGTTTTCAAAGTTTTCATTCACCTGCTGTGGTTGCGCAGCCACATGGGCGCTGATAGCCTTCCCGGTCGAACATCGAATATTTTAATTTTCCCTCGTAATATTTCCCTATCGTCCACAGTTCAGCGCCAAATCCTGAAGTGGAACAATATCCCAAAAATAACACCTCCGGTTGTTTAATAATCAGGCCTTAACTTAGTTCTATCGCAAGCTCAAAGCCTCAAATGCAAATACTGCCGAAGGGAAGGAAACGACTGTGCCCACTCAAAGCTTGCGCAGCGAGAAGTGCTGTGAGCTAGCTCCAAAATTGCATTTATTGCCCTACCGTTCGGCCACAGTACAGCCGGACGCAAGTGCGTAAGGAGTAATGGAGGCTTGCGGAGGACTTCCCTCCAGAAGCCATTTCCAGATTTGGTATGCTGTTGTGTACGATATGTGCCCGTGGTCTGGCTGCTCGTGGCCAGGAGAACGCTGTCGATAGCAATGATATTTTTAGTCTTGGGAGGTGTAGTTTTAGTGGTATTTGAGGGGTTTTGAGGCCTTCTAGAGGGTTAGACGACGTTGACTGGGAGGTCGTTATTACGAAGCAGCAGATGACACCTGCGCGTCACGTGCGCCGACCAGCCCGTAGTATGTCCCATATTCATGGTAATGGACGGCCCTAGTAGTGAGGAGAACCGTCAATGGCGAAAGTCCCCGCTGGCGTGCAACAGGGACGAAACACTAATGATGGAGGGTATACGATTTCCACGAAAGCAGTTGCGCTACCCTCTACCCACTAGGCGTTATTTGGTACAGCATCAGGAGGGCCGGATGTTGGTACGGAGATGAAACAGCTTGCTACGATTTCCAGAACGTCTTGTTGCTAGTATTCCTGCAAGGTAAACCAGCATGGACGCATACTCATGCCTCCTTTTGATGCATGCACTGGCAGTGAAGACGCAAGCTGAACACTTACTTGGACTCGGACATTGCAAGTACAGGTGCATGTGCCGGCTTCGAAAAGCAGATGCTATTATGGGAGCACGCAGGGTTTTGAGTCAAAGAGAAAAACATTGTACAGAGCAAGTTATCGGTAGAGCTCTACATAAGGAAGTACCAGAAGCCTTTTAGTGAATTCCAAATAGCTCTATCCATAGTTCAGGAGAAAGTGTAGACCTGCCAAAAACGGCTTATTTTACCTCAGGTTCTCTCAATGTGCGCCTGCTCAACCCATCCAAAGCGTATCCAAGGTGCCACCGACTGGAAGCTAGGTCAGGAGCTCTCCGAGACATACCGTCCAATGATCAGGTGCCTTCTGGTATATGACGCCTAACCTATCAATTCTGAAAAATGCCAAACGAGTTTTAATTAGGCGAAAATGGAAACTCGCAGGGAAATCCGAATGAAGTACCTTGGCGCTGGCTTGTGCGAGCACGTTGTCTGATTCGTGTTGTTCTGCCAGATGTTATGTAATGCAACTCAAATATAAAGTCGACTCGTCAGTAAAGCACCACCTTTATTTGCATTGTTAGAATTTATACTCTGATTGTGAGCAACTGTGGAACAGAGCTTGTTTCCGCATGGGAGCAGTGACCCTGACCAACGATGAACGGCAGTGGCAACGATCGCTTTCTTAAGATAGACAAAATGTAGATAGATTGTTGCACCGCACATCTGGATTTACATGGCAACTGAACCGGAAAATGTTAAAACAAAAGAACTTATTTAAAGTAGGGGAATTCACTCCCGCCAATTCTTCCCGCAGCATTTTTCTGTACCACGGACCAGGTTGATCCAACCTTGATCGAGTGCATGATACAATTCCCATCTTGACGCTAGCGTTCTCAACAAAACAAGACTTAACTAATGAATTTCTTAACTGAGCAAAACAAATTACGTAGCACATCTAACTATCCCTTCGTCTGCTTGTGCTGTCTGCATGACCTTCCCAGGCCGTGAAGCCGCACGGGATCTAACTACACACACCAACGTCCCTTCCACACATACCAAATGAAATGCGCTTTATAAATTGAAATCTGGAAATGCGTGGCGTTCTCTGTGTCAGCTAAAGTAAGGTAGATCCTGTGGCCCATATCCCCAGTATTCGAAATCAGGGCTTACTCTGGCTCTGTACGCGTTAGGCAACAACCAACCTACCGCTTAAGGTAGCATCAGCTGCTCCCTGCCCCAAAGTCCGTAATCCTGCCTGAGAACAAAAAAACTGACGGGCATATGACCCGCCCTAAACAAGTCGGACATGCGGGTTTGGGGCTTGTTTCCAATGTGCAGTATGGCCAATCACAAGCTTAAACCTGCTTACTAATTAACTATCTTCAGTTGCACTGTTCTTCAAAACACGTGGGTATATTTTTCGCACAACGCCAGGAATACATGGGCTCTAGCTGGGATTGCAGTCATCGTCGCGCAGAGGTTCTCTTTTGTCCCAGGATCACCGCATTTGCACTCAATGAATGTTTGGGGTTTAGTAAAACGCAAAGTAAAAAAACAAACCGAATGCTAGAGGTGCTCCTGTCTCACTCTCTGCGATGAACCATAGACTGTGTTCCAACTGGCATCAAGAAAAAGCGGATAACTCCAACTGTCTCCTGTAGGCACAATGCGGGAGAACGATAGTTCCTCATGTCAGCAAAGCAAGGCGTCTGCAGCTTCGAGAACACATTCTGACACATCTGGCGACAAAAACAGTTCAGGTTCGATAACGCATTCTGACACACCTGGTGACACGAATAATTCCTTGCTGCTGTCCAAGTCCACTTCCCCGGTGGGCTCCCCAGTTGACCCGCTGGAGGGCACAGACTCAGCAGAATGCTTGGTATCAGCAAGCAAATGCAATCTAAAGACGACGGCGATCAACTGCGAGTCGCAAGTCATTCGTGTCAGCAACGGCCCCTGTGAGGCAGAAGACGAATCCCATACTCCGTTTGACAAGAGACGGTCTTACCTTCAAATATCCCGTCGTCTTCAGAAAATTCGTGTCTTGCCCGCCTTGATCGCCTGTTTTTCCTCACTGGTTGTCACCTCTGCCGTATGCGGAGCGGAAATAGCCATCAGGGCAGTAGATATATCCTCGTCTGTAGCCCTCCTATGCTCTTCAGTCTTAGCTTGCTTATTAGCCTCATTTGCAGCTCATAGGAGAAGTCACGCTCTTCTCGTTGGCCTCGTGATGCTGGAGATACTATTCACTTTGTACTCAATAGCATTTGCCTCTGTTGGGATAGTCAACGTGGGCCTGCTACGCAAGCGCCGAGAAAAATTGCAAGAAGATGACGTCATGCAGGCAGAGCAACGCGAAAATGCACTGAGGATAACGCGAAACATGCTGATTGAACAGGCAGTATTCACTTGCCTGTATTTCCTCATTGCAGCTGCGCACTGCTGTGCTGCAGCCTCAGCCAATCACCTGCGAGCAGCTGTGAGGCCATTTGACAGTCGCCTAAGAAGAAAACGCCAAAGAGCAAGGGCGATGAAGAAGCTAAACGTTCTACCTCCTCGAGAGCAAGAAGAAATAGAAGAGACTGGCGATCAACGAACCCCGGCAGGAGGTTCTTCGAAAGGCTTGGGTCTGCTGCACTGCAACAGCGTGACTCAGGCTGAGGCGGCCTCTAAGGATAGCTCCGAGTCCGGTGAATTTGGAGAAGGCAACGACAGGCATTCTGTGGAAGACTCAGGCAGTAATAATCTCACGACTAGTTCGTCTAGCTATACCCCTACAGGTTCAAATAGTTCTCAAATGGCAGAAGAAGAGTCTGCAAAAACGGTTGAAGCAGGAGATGTTTCATAAGCTATTTCGGTACTTGTTCAAAGCCAGTATATCTAGATATGACTGACCTTTCCACAAGGCACGGAAAGGATGGCCTCCTGCCAGTTAAAAACGCCTCCAGGAAACAACAGAAGGTGAAAATAAGTAGCATAATTGCAGTCACTTTTGAAGTATTTCAGAGGTAGCAAAGCATAAGGGCTGCATGCTTGCTTTCCTCACTTCTGCTAGTACCCCCAAACAAGCTCCCAGGAAGCATCACACCCGAAATGCTTGCTACGGCTATCTGTTGTCCATTGGGGTGTCCTGGCACATCAGAGAGAGAAGATGGTACTCTTCACCAGAAACTCCGGATTAAAAATGTAGGCTTCGATACAGTGACTTTTTCGATGCATTACGTAACAACATGCTGATTAGCATGATTGGCTATACCTCAGTTCCAGTATTCTATTGTTTCATTTCAGTTTGACACAGAAAAAAATGTTTGTGAGTCCTACAAAATTTGGGTAACTCACTGCACCACTGATCAAAACGTTACTTGAAGAGCTCATTCAGGCATGGCAAGCATTTCAGTTTGACACAGAAAAAAATGTTTGTGAGTCCTACAAAATTTGGGTAATTCACTGCACCACTGATCAAAACGTTACTTGAAGAGCTCATTCAGGCATGGCAAGCCACAGTTGGTTCATGCCCAATTGCCACGGTGGCAATCAATAAGTATATGCGTCATTCCGTGCTTCGCTTCGCAGGGGCGAACCCAGATATTCGATCGTCTAAGCGGAGCCGAGCTTGAAGTCACTTGGATAAGTTGACTGTATTTTGCCGAATGCATGTATACCTCCTACATAGGTCCATAAAAAACTTTCAGAATGGCGGCACAACAAATGTAACAATTGACCACTTATACTTCTCCACTAATCTGCTCTACCGTACGTTCCAGTTTTCTCTCCTCAAGAGGCCGAAGCGTTTCGGTAAACTTATCCGTGGTGAAATGTGCGATAACCTCTTCCTCCACCGCGTCATAAACCAAGTCTGCAAAGCAGCATCCCCAACACTCGCTTCACTAATCGTTTCGCCTTCAACCCATGTAAGATTTTGTGTGAAGCTTGCTAGTCAAGGAAAAAAACGAAGGCATATGACGTATGTGGCTTCCTATTTGCCCTTGAGTAAGAAGCATTCATCGCTTGCAGTGCGTCCGGGCATTTCATTTGCTAGTTGGTCGGTCGATCCACTTTGTGGAGAGAAGTGTAAAACAAGCCTTCAGCAGTAGAGTGCCTCAGATGGGGGTCTAACGGTTCCTTTCAAGGGTGGAGACTACGACTGGCAATGCGGCTTTCCAAACTCTCCAGTATTGAATATAAGCTGCAATAAACCGTAACTCACACATGCCGAGAAACGCCGCATGGTTAATGATCAAGCATAACAAAACATGTGGCAGATGGCCCTCAGTAAATCTCGGAAGCGTATCTAGGGCGGGGTAGAGGACTGGTTGGAGGCAACTCCAGACGCAGCTGCAACGAACGACATGTGAAAGGATACAGAAGAACACAGCCTTTTATCGATGGACACAGCTGAGTACACGCTGGCAACTGCGCAGATGCCACCACTTGCACGCAAAAGACTAGCAAAGGCGTCCCTGCTACTGTTCTATAGATCAACTTGCATGCAGTCCTGCATGCAGTCCCGCATGCAGTCCCCCGTTCGCTTGACCAATAAACCTTCTCCACAAGCCTTCGCCACAAGCTTGGAAACGTTTCATTCAGGACTTCATTAGGACGAAATAAACCCGAGTCCAAACGCATCGAGGCCACGTTCATATTACTGTTTACAGTCGTTGACATTTCCTGCTCCCGCTGTTTTGGAGCACCTGATGTATCCGCTTTTTGAATGCGAACCTGCAATTAGAGACACTGTTGGCGATTGCCTTATGCTTTGCTTCACCGCATGTTGGGCTCCAGCGACTCACAAAACACTGCCAAAGCTGTGTCACCAGCGACTCACAAAACACTGCCAAAGCTGTGTCAAATAAAATATCCCAATAAGTTTCTGTTGCTATGATTTGAACGGCCTGTGGGGCACGTATCTTGTCGAGCGTGAAGGTTAGCACTATGTCTTGAGCTAGCTGCCGTTTCTTGGAGCACACCACCATAACGCTGCAGACCCCCCTTCTGCACTGTGTTTGTACAAGATTAAGCAGTCGCTTTGCCTGCACTCGGTACTTACTTCTGGCGGCTCTGGCAGTAGTTGTTGCATGATATACCCCAGTAAAACATGTATACAGCGAATTACCGCAGGGGTGAATCACGCAAATGAGGTGCGGCAAGGTACCTGCAGGTTGGTGCTGCCATCGGAAAGTAGCGCAGTAACCTACATTACTGGTCAGTGTAAGTGGGCATCTCAAGAGGCACTTCTCCCCACTACAAGCTAGCAGTAGGGACGCTTTTACTGGGAAGGAGCTCAACATCTATCATGCGGGTTGTTCCTTTCAGCCGTGGTGCTTTTCCAGGGGACAGAGGCTTCACTATTTGTCAGCCTGTACAACACGCAAGCGACTTCTCCTTTTCAGCATGTGAAGCACGTAAGCGACATTTCGTAATCAGAAGTTCTAAAATTTAGCCAGGTCACTATTGTAGGTTTCGCTTGCTCGCTAGCCTGTACAGCTTTTAGCCGCTTAAGACACAGTAACCATAACTTCTATAATTGTGCATTTCCATTGTTTTGCCCCCTGTTGACGCATATATGTGTGTAGTCCCCAGTAACATGGAGCAAAGCGAACATAAGCTCGAAAACCCTTGCACGCTAGGAGAGTTTGTGTTTCAAACTTGCAAGCATACGATGAATTAGATGTCAGCCTTTTGGATTAGCAGCTATTACATATCCGAGCTCTTTCAAGCGTCCCATTCATTTAGGAAGTCGAATAGACGATGGGTGCGCACATGAATTGTTGCTGAAGGAGCTGGAGTCTCACAGCAGACCGATATATCAATGCACAATTGATGAATGTGCAAACATCTGCTGAAAACGGAATCACGCAGAAAAATACTTGAACTGTGGCTATAATGGACACTCTGCGTAAAATGAGATTTCGAAAGCTGCTTGGAGCTGCACCGAAGGCTAGTCTATCTCTGGGCAAACACCTTAAGCCAGCAAAATATCAACGGAGGAAACTTTTACAAACTCTCCACTAACAGCTAGCCTTACCCAGCCTACAGGACGTAAAACGCGAGCTTTGAGTGGATCGCGAGAGGAACATGCAGGAATGGAAAGCTTTTATTGCGTTAGTGAGGCAATGTTACGGCTCATTTACAAGCACAAAACCTATATGAGCCGATCGATGGCCTAGGTTTCGAAACAGCTAGTGAGATTCCTAGCAACTGCCGAACGTACAAACTGAGCCCCGCTCTCCCTAGACGGGCGAAAACTTTGATGTAGATCTATGCAATTAATTTGGTGTTTTAAAGGCACATTTGCATTGGGGAATATTGATGCCAGGACGAAGTCATAAGCATAAGAATACTTCTAAAGCACCTTAAAGGTCAAGGGAGAGAGGCATATCAATAGCCGATGCCTTTACTGCATGAACTTCAAAGTTTAAACTACCGTCGATGTTGGTGAAACACAACTACCTGAGCCTAGGTCACTTGAAGACAACACAGAAACTTCATGCCACAGGCCTATGGAGTACCAGAAGGAGCCTACGTCACTTGACTTCAAGCATGGCACAGGCATACAGAATACCTGATGGCCAAATGAGTTGCTGGGCTTCTGTGGTTTTGAAATAGTGTGTACAGGTGACTGTATGACCTTGCGGTCTCAAACCTCCAACTGGGTCTCCAGATAGTGTATACAGGTGACTGTATGACCTGGCGGTCTCAAACCTTCAATGACCTTGCGGTCTCAAACCTCCAATTGGGTCTGCAGATGTTTCATACGAAAGCTCTAGCCTACTAGCCACATACAATGTGACCAATATGCAGTGGCATATTCTCCTTCTCAAACCGCTTAGCGTTCCAAATCTCAACTAGGCTTGTCTCAACGCCGTTAGCCACCCCAGTCAGGAAGGAGCTGCATGATGCTCATAACTTGGTAGCTGCTCAGTGTCGAGGCTCACCAAGTTATTCAAGCCGTTCAGTCCCGAATACAAGTCTGGGGAGGACAGATACAAGCTTAGGCAAAAAGCGTCAGCCATCTCCTAAGGGCACGCGCCTCGCCTGTAAGTGGGTGCTTCCCCTGCACAGCACAAGACAAAACGACTAACCTCTTTTTCTGGGAGAAAGCATTGCCACAATCGTGCTGTCACTGGAATTTGATTCCTTCGTGAACTGGTTAGTCTCTCGCATGTCATCGACATGACAGGCAGCGACCAGGGCTAAAACAAGCGTATGAACTGCTGGGCGAAGGGCACAAACAACGGGTTTAGCAAGTGTATCATCCAGTGGTAGTCATTCAGCCCTGTTCCACACCGACGCACAGGTAAGTTTATTGCTTTGTTTTCAATCCGTAGCAAAACTGCCGAAATTGTTCGCTTAAGCTGATAGTCCAGGACAAAGTTCCCTAACGCCACATCGGTCAAAAGGGATCCAATGCAAGCCTTACAGTAGCCCCTGAAAATGCGGCAGCCCATGCTCAGCAGCCTCTTTTTGTAAGTATCCATTTGCATCAATCGACTCCAACCACAAAGTAATGCACTCGCCTCACCATGTTTCCGCATTCAGAACTTTCTCGATCGGGTCTAAGCTCTCCAAAACGGTCCTCAGGCCATACTCGTAAGCTTTCTCGGCACAATACAGAGTGCCGACAATTAGCTTAACAACAGAGCAATGCGGAATGGAAGTGCTGCACCCCGATGTAAAGGGAGCGCTTCGAGAATCCGGCTGCTCACTCGCGTTCAAGAGACTGAAACAGGAACAATCAAGAAACAGTGAACGCAGGAGCCTAAGAGGCAGGACGTTTAGCTGCTGCAGTTGGGACATAGTAGTTACTTCCTGTTAGTCTGTTAAGCTTAATTGCTGCGTTCGTACTGTGTGACACAGAAGTTGCTTCTCATACACTGTGCAACTGAACTGCCATCCAAAAAGGATCGCACTTGAGGAGTTGCTGAGCCCGGTCGAGGTGTCCCAGGAGGATGTTGGCAACCAATGCATTCGACAAAGCAACAACCTCCCACCGTTCCAGCGTGTGTCCTGGTACGTCCTTACGTACGGAATCCTCGTACAACGAGAGGCACTTGTCATACTTTTTCTGTCGAATACATAATTCAAGTAGCAATTATTGGAATCATAAGCTGCTATAATATCTGGTATAATCCTGCGCAATTATTTATCCCTACCTGCATGAAAAGAATGTGCCCCATGTTAATCTTCCAGTAGGTGTTGTCGCTGCACAAGCTACCATAAGAACCGAGCAGCCTGTAGAACAACCATTAACAGCAAAGTAGTATTATCTCAAGCGGCCGTCCATGCCAGTACACAATCACTCCCACAGAACTGTGGTTTTTAAACATCAGCAAGCTTCGTGCAGCTCTGACAAACTGACAGCTCAGCTTTGGCAACCATCCCTTCTGCATTATACAGCTTGGCCAGCGCCACCAGCACCTGCGCAATACAATCTCAGTAACATGCATGGTACTTTACATAGGCAGCAAAATAATTAGCTGCCTGCACGCTAGGGCAGGGATTTTCGAAGCACGTACAGGGATCAACCTTTCGATGAGTTCTTGCAGTGCATTTGCCGTTGTCCTCTCGACCGAACTTGCTGCAGAGCATGAAGGCGATAGCTGCAAATTCCAGTGCATATGTGTCGGTGGGTGGTTACCGGGAAGAATATTCAGGACGGCTGCACTGTCTTCTTTGAAATGTTGATGATGAAACGTATAATACGTTCTGGTGAGCCAGCGTTGGTTGTTTGCGTAAGTGATTACGTACTCTATGCTCTTGTAACTCCCGGATTTGTTGCCTCATCTGCGTTTCAAGGGATTCGAGCCGTCTGCGAGCCTCTAGGGGAGAAGAAGGAACCTGTCGGTGCGTCAATCAGGCTTATATATTCTATTGCAGTGACCCTGAAAGACCTTAGCTTGTGTCTCTATGGCTTATGGGGTCGTAAAATAGTACAACTGCCACAGGTTCGCTTACCATTGTGAAACTTCTCAAAAACTCTGTTTCATATTCGTCCAGGTCACCAAGACTAATCCCGTCAAGTAAACCCTATGCAGTGACAAAGCGAATGCTGCTTGTATTCCCTAGCTCCGCGAAAAATCAAGCAACCGTCCCCACTTTTACTTGTGAGGGTTATCCTAACTTTACACCAACTGAACGGCTGCGTGTGTTTATTTTCATGAAGAAAAGGGAGACTTCTAAGCCGCATCCAGCAAGGGTTTCAGAACTTTTCTTCCGGAGCTAATCTGCATCTGATGCCGCCACCCTTCACCCTTGTTCTGGCCCTCGGTTGGTTTTGTGCTCTGAACTTCCAAGAACGCGGAAATTCAGAGTATGGCAGCTGACACCGTTTAGGTATTGCATCACACGTTCCTACTCGGGCGCAAATTAGGTTGTATATTTGACACAATGCTGTAGTTGTGGTTATCCCTCCAACTGAAGCCACAGTGACCTTACCACTAGCTTTTCAGCAGCTGCGAAGTGTCCCTGTCTGAAAAGAGCATACGCATGCCGCAACCTTCCAGGTTACCATGGGAGTGCCGAATTCGATGGCGCCACAAGAGCCCTCATAGCAACAGTTACATGCATTGCATTGCCAGGGAACAACTGACTTGCAGTAAAGTATCAAAAGGTTTCCCACAGCTGTCTTATAAACAGAGTGTTCATCAAGAAGGCTTGCGAGGATTCGGATGCACTCTGCTGGATCGGAGGCAGCTAAGGTTAAAGCCCGGTTGTGTAGAGTCACGTAGTCGGATGCTGATATTTACAAAGCCCACATAGCACCTTCAATGCTGTTTGTTTTCGTTCCTGTTCTGTCAGAAACTAAGTGAAGTGCCAACCTTCAAATTCACAGCTCCCGAGATGGAATGCCTTGATGATAAATTGTTCGCTCTGCCGTAACGCGTTGCCTTACTGGACAGGCTACTTGATGACAATAATAGCAGATGCTCGTTTGCAGCACGCAGACGATTTTCAACAACATCCACAGCACAACAGAGGTTTGCAGCTGCCACCTGCGTTAAAGGGAACAAACATTCGAATTCTACACCACGTAGTGTTCCTCGGGCCGAAGAGACTAGAAGCAATGCAACCTGCGCAGTAGTGCACTGCCAAGTTCACCAACCAGAGCCTTCAAAGTGGCAAATTGTGTGTCCGGATTCCTCGTTAGATATCGCTTATCAGCTGTCAGCCAGTGCTGGCTCCCTCCCACGCCTCCAACGACTTCAGTTTGCTTTCCGAAGCAGACGGAAACAATTTTTCCAGCAATCCTTGCTGCCCCTATCTTGTCGCCCGACTACGAGCAACACACATAGATCTGCTGCTTGGCATATGGATGAATATCTCTGTGGTTTTCGTGAACCTTCTAGAGGGCGAAAATGTGAAAAGCATATGTAATGGGCCAGGCTGTCGAAAAACAATGTCTACTGTAGCGTGCCTTGTAAGCGCATAAAGCTTCATTATATGCAACACTCGCAGTCCACCCATTTTCAGCGTTCGCTGCGGACGCCACTCGACGACCTTCTTCAAAGCTCCCGCGTTGGTAAAGAGCAGCTGACTCAAACAGTGCCGTATCAAGTGGTGTTAGTGCCAACTTGGCGCATTGGGCTGCATACAACGCTCAGGAGCACCAATTGTTTCATATTCATGAGGTCTTAAGGGAAAACTAGGCACGGCATTTGCATATGGAGTGGCCATTCGGCTAGCATAGCATACATCTGCTTGCATTAGGTATGCTTGTGGGAATGCTGCAAGTTGCTGCACTATGGACTCGCTTCGAACGGTTCGGAGAACAAATGCCAACTGCTTCCAGCTTCTGGCTTAATCCGACCTTGGCACTAGGGTCATCCCCGCATATACCGCACTGGATCGAACAGTACGTACTGTATAGCTGCACAAGATGTCAGCAAAAGCAGGTTAGATCAATAAACACATATTAATGAGCCAATTCACTTCTCCTTTTCGGAGAGCATATCAGCCGGACAAAGGGTAAACCCGATATCCAACAAGAAAATACCATACCTGGTATTCCTTAACAGCAGGGAATGCTTCGAACAATTGATTGTAAATTTCCCCTGCCGCTTGAAAGTCCTCCGCCATATATAGACAATATGCAAGTACTGAGAGCAGAGGGTAGCAGACTTTCTGGTCAGGAGGGTTCAGGCGGCTTTGCAAGAGATCCACAATAAAAGCAATTGCTTGATTAAACTGTTGCTCGCTAATCAGCTTGTATAAGCTCTCCGTGAGAGCTCCATCGGGAAGAGCTCTTTGCGTGTCCATTATGACACGAATCAAGCAAAATAATGTTCGAATGAAGTTGCTTGCAGCATACGACCGCAACTTCCTGTTGAGCGGAACTTCGCTCCCCTACGTAAATGCAGTTGATTGGCGGGAGGATTGTGAATCCCTGAGTTTATTGAAAGTAAATCTGCATTGAAGCGAAGTGCTGTGTTGCGCAACCGCATTTGGGTCTGAGCTCACACCCAGAAAGGGTTGTTTCCCAGCTGTTTGTGTCAGACCACGTAATAGCGCGGCTTCCACTGGCCACCTGGCCACCCTGGGGATATTAAATATGGAGTAAACAAACTACAGAACCATTCAACCAGCTCGAAGGAAGTACGATTGTAAAAAAACTTATTGGTTCGCGCAATGCCATGGCTTATGCAGGATAGTTGGCTTCGTGGGCCCATAGATCTAGCAGGCACACCTGCTGTGCTGGTTTTGGAAGTGCGGAGACACGTTACTTGGAGAAGCTCAAGGATAATTGATTAGCCTGCCTTCTCCAATACGGATAACTAATTCTTCAGAGTTGATACGCTTGCAAGACCAGATTCCATCTCAAAAGGGTGGGAGGGTACTTCAGCAGATTCGGCACACCTGGCATAATCAAGTGGTGCAGAGTTGGGTACCCCGTTCCTCAAAGCGTTTTGGAGGCACTTAAAATCCTGCGCATGAAAGGTATTGGGGAATTGCTGGGGGTCGTGTATTCCTTGTGCTCGAAGCAAGTACGAAACGGGACATGTGCAGGGCTGCGAAGAGGCCGCCGTGGTTGCTGTCACATCGGGGCTTGGGAGAGGCTACCTCTAAATCACAACTGTTTTCGCCTGCTTGGGACTCGGACATGTTTGCTATAATATTTTTGAATATTTGGTCTTCGTCTGGCCTGAGTATTGGCTTTGTCTGGTGTATCACACCGAGTTGACACTTGCAACCTTCATGGGTGTTGACAGATTGCGGCCACCACAGTGATCCGCTATTTTTCCTGAATTTCGCAGCCACCATAGCGGTGTAAACTACTCCGTTACATTTTGCGTAGGTCTGATGGCTGAATGCCTGTATAGCCTTTTCAAATCAAACGTTCTGGGGGTGCTCAAAATTCTCACGAGTACTCTGGCATCCACCATATACTGATAAGGTAAAGAGGGCCTCGCTCAACAGTTCCATCTGGCGTTCCACAGTGTAGCGCAGCGTGAAGATACAACATGCTTCAGTGAAGCATTATAAACGAACTCGGGGGCAGCCATAGTGAACAAGTCTGGGTTGCTCCCAGGGAGCACCGTCGCCTGGGAGATCCATTCATGTAGGATTTATCATATAAATTTCCGAGGCCCTAGTCAGATGCCTAAGGCACAAAAATCCCCTAAAGAAGTTGGAGTTGTAACCGTTTTTTACTTCCTGCAGATACGGCGCAACACATTTCATAATTCCTTTGGCGGAAGTCTTCAATGCATGTACTGAGCAACATTCATCAGTTCCCTCTGTAGTTAACATACATCACAACAATGCAATTTCCGACGACTTCCGAAGTTTCGCAGAGCCCGCAGGCGTCATTTTTAACGCCCACAAGCGGATCAGGCCTGAAGCACCGCATTCGAGAGCTTGAATGCATAATTGACTCCGAACTCAAAACGCTTCAGCGCCAGGTACAACAGCTGAAGTCGCAGAAAATTGTCCAAGTAAGCATCGAAACTTTCCTATTCCTGCTGAGAACCCACATGCAGTACATGGCAGGCTCCTCAGCTGCAAATGCTGCTTTGTATCCTGCTGTGCCTCCATAGACTGGCCGAACAGAAGAAGTTGTGCAAGAAGCGAAGGAGGAAATTTTGGCCGCCCTGCAACACTCAAAAAGCGAGCTGAAGCAGTTTTTCCTCCAGCAAAGAACCGAAAACCAGCGACTTCATGAGATGATACGGGCTCTGCGAAACGAAAATTTCGCCTTGCAACAGAGCCACCTAGCTCTCCAACGCAGACTCCAAACGGCTGAAGTGGATTTGGGCCAGTAAACATTCCTATTGGTCACGGGACGGAACAGGAGAAGCGCTGTAATAGAACCCCGAAAAGCATCGGTGGGAAATTGGAAGTTCGCATTGTTCAAATACGTGCCTTTTCCATGTTGTGACCTTGACGTCTTGGGGAGTATTATAGAATTATGGTGCATGGGGTGAGGGACAAACAACTTTAATCGAACTTGCACCAGCCTATAGAGGAGTTACCTTTCCCTTGCCTTCTCCTTGAAACAAAAGGCGGCAAACTCACCAAAAAAGAGGCGGCATAATCAGGGTGATCTTGCACTTCCGGACGATTACACACAGCACTATTTAGTATGTGGTATCTTCCGGAATGTGCGACGGATTGGCTCTACCCGTCAGTAGACTATATGTGGCGCGTTCATTTCCGTGACCTATAGAGGAACGGCTTAAATGAAGCCAGAGGGAACTGGGTGGACGCCAGTCAACCTAGTAAAATTTAGTTTCTTGCCTGCCAGTGAGCCACCATTGGGAGTCGATAGTGTATACTGCGGCTAGATGCAACGTGACGGACGGCTGTCACGTAGGCGAATCAGATCAGCTATGACAGAAACTAGTTTGAAGCTGTTAGTTTCAGGATTTGCAAAGCCAAATATTCCAGTCCAAAGGAGACGGTTAGCGGCAGTCCACGATGATACGGAATTCATGGTTAAATCATCCAACAAAGAGATGGTCTATAGCTCGTCTCCAACTACACCGAAGTTTTGAGCAAGTGACGAATAGAGCTTAATAGCTTAGGAGTGCTATAGGCAGCGTTTAGAAGACCCAAACACACATTAGGTTTGACAGACGGCAATTCCACGGCTACCGCTCTGCTGTGTCAGACTATGAGTCCAGCAATATCCGCCGTGCAAAGCGTGCTGGCTGGCCTCTTGAAGGTCATACCTAATTTACTTGGAGACTTCTTGGGTATTAAGGATGACCTGGTGCTGCGTGAATTCTGCTTGTGTGGCTGACCACTTGCGCAATGCTCATGCATACTGATATTTAAAGTGAAGATTTCTTTGCATGCAAAGAAAGCCATCCACAACAGCATTAAGAGGAACTTCAGACTCCTAACGCCAGCGTTCATCGAATTTGCCCGTGGCTGTGTCAAATATTTTCGACCAGTTAACGGTGTATTTTGAAGCTGCTGCTGACGCCTGTGGCACGGGTTTGCCTCAGCATTACACCATGCAACGTAAGCGGTTTGGAAGTCATTGTGTAAGGTCTTGCTGAAGTTTTATGATTCTCTGAGACGGAGTCCCACCGTAGAATCAAGAAAACGAAGCTGCTGGCCGAAATGCAAAAGTTCCTAACATTGGAGGACATGTGCCGCCGACTGCTTTCGCACAACATCCTGGTAGTGCTGTTTAGGCAAGAATTCAGTATTTGCAGTTCATTCTTGAAGCATCTGCCTTCCGCGTTGCAGCAACACATCGCCTAACTCCATCCCTCCGTGCGTCCCGGTCGCTCGGCAGCTACCGCCAGAACAATGCAACTCGCAGGCAAATAAAGGGTTATCGTCAACAACCGTCCTGCAGACAGCTTGTTCCAAAGATCGTTCTTGACGTCTAAGTGCTTCCGTTTACTGTAGAATTTGGTCTCCTGTTTGCGGAGGGGATGATCAAATATTCCGCCACAGCGGAACGGCCAAGTGTGGAGGTCGTAATCGTGGCGTGACCCAAATGCGTACGCTCGATCTACCGTACTTCACCACGGAATACTAAATATTGAATTGTCCCAAAGGGTAACGACCAAAAGCCCCCTTACTGACTGAATATCTGGCTACCAAGCGCAGTCAAAAACACACAAGAAAGTGTGAAGCTCGTCAATATCAGCATAATGAAATTTGCAAGTGTTCAGAATTGCTAATCTTCCGCTTCCTCACTGAATGATCCATGCTAAACTCTCGTACAGGGCCTATCTTTGGCAGAGAGCGAAGTCAACTATGCCATACAACTCCCCCACACTGCACAATTGAGCACTTCCGTTGAAGGGGATCACCCGCTTGCAACCGTTTTATTTGAATCCTCAAGACGGCCCTAATGACGTTTCAGAGGAGCCGGCGCGGCTCTGTCTTACGGTTGGCACGGTGAAGCAGAGATCCAGCTGCACCCGGCCGGGTTACCCAATTTACTGGATTACTTTTGCTCTTTACTGCGTGAACGGCTGTGCAGGGGTGCTCCTGAATGGCATGCAGGCTTGCATTTCCACAGCTGCAAGGTGAGTATAGTACAGGACGTCAAAGTATTGTAAGCTTTTGCGCCTAGCAGTGATCATTGACCTTGATTAAACTATCTTAAATAGCTCTTGTGCCGAGACCTGCTCTGCATCAAGTTCAGCTTATGCACTGTCCGCCGTGTGTGAGCGCAGAAGCTTCGCAGGCTTTGACGACAGGAAATGTCTGCCTCTGGTCGTTGGGGCCTAATGCTCTGAGAGAAGGGCAAACACTGAAAGACACCGTAGTCGAAGGGGGGAAGCTCCGTTTATGTAGGTCACCGTCATCTCTATATCTTACTTGCAACAACCCCACAGTGCTTGTGTTGAATTGTCTGAACAGCTGTAGGAAGGGGCTCAGCACCAACCAGTCGAGGCGAGGATATGCATTTTCTCAAGCAAGCACTCCAGTCACCTGCGGATAGACTGATTTACGGGAGCGCCTTTATCCGGTAAACTGCTATATTGGGTCATGCAGCATTACGATGCATCATCGGAGCTTAAATAGTCGCTATTTGCGCAAAGCGCAGGTGAGTGAATGTTCCCTGAAGTTAATGAGCCGGTATCATGGTTGCGCACGAGGAAGGCTTGAAGAACAGCTAAACATTCACTCTTGCTGCTCGGCAAAATCGGGCTGGATCTAGATAATTATCTCCGTTTGGCTGTGTCAACTACGCCGAAGCATATCGCAATGGAAGTTGGCTCCTCAGCATTTGTAAACAGGTGAAAAACACTTAGATGGCTACTGCAAAAGGGCTGCATTCCTGGCCCGCTGGACAGGTTTTCCATCGACGTACCCGCCACTCGGTACACCTGGTGTGCAGGGATCAACTTCAGCAGCCCGTGGTGCCGCTTGCACTTCCAGGAAGTGTTGCATCCTCGCCGTTTCTAGTCCCCGAATGTTGCATCCGCTGAGTCCAACGCCTGCTGACCGCGTTCAGATTCACAACTTGTTACATGAGTATTACAATAGCATAATATTGCTTTCCTGGAGCTTTCGATTTTCCTTTCACTTCTGTTCAAATAGATTCGCCCAGAAAGCCTGCATCTGCTACACAGCAGCTGGCTATATGCCGGGCTATTTTACCATGTGTGCACTGTTGAAAAGGACGGCATGTCATATAGCCAGCTGCTACACAGCAGCTGGCTATATGCCGGGCTATTTTACCATGTGTGCACTGTTGAAAAGGACGGCATGTAAGGAAATTCGCAGCGGTGGCTTCTCTGTAAGAGAAGCAGGGTTGCTGCGCAAGAAATATTTCAGCGTTCAAGATCCCGAGGCTAGTGAGTAATGCCCGGATCCACAGTGGAATGGATTCATACAGCGCGCATTTGGTTGGCCTCGTTTCGCTGGTCAACTCCAGCGAAACGAGGCTAACCAAATGACCCGGAGAAGCAAAGCACACAAAATTAGGTGGGCTATCAGTCTCAAGATCCACAAAGTACGCCGGTGACGCCAACGGGTGCTCACATCACGCTGAATACCATCTGGTATGTTCGCAAATTCACATGGAAAAACAGATGGTACTGAACAGCGCATAGGTGCTGTTGCTTATGCTGCTAACACCACTGACAACCTGGTAATTTTCTCCTGAAAAATTGCGGTTGTGACGCTATAGTTTCAGCGCACACCACCATGCATCCTGCGCAGACTGGTGACGGGCATCGACGATGTGGCAGCGCTGGTGGCGCAATAACAAGGATGTGGAATGATAGAATTGAGTGCATTAGAACGTCGCCTGTTCCACCTAAAACTTGCTGGGGAGCAGTTGCTTCCGGTGAGGCGGGGTGGGAGGCAGGCGGCTCAACCGAAGTTTCGCCGTCCTGGCTGCAGAGTGCACACCCCGCCCTGGCTGGGTAGTTGCACACGTTTATGTACGAAGGAGGGTCATGGCGGATTCCGCAGGTGTATAAAGCTTTACGTGTATATCCCATTGTGAGTCGCACGAATATACACGCTACTTTTGCTTTCCCGGCGCCTTCCAAGGACCGGCGGCAGCACTCTCGCACTGCCGCCGGCCGCACGAGGTCGGAGCAGCTGCCACGTGATATTGTCTGCAGCTGTGGTAGACGACGAACAGGAAGAGAAGCCAATCTACTGGCGAGCGGATTTTACAGCGTACACCAGTAGCTCAGGATCAAAAAGAACCTATCGCTAGGGTGTACGCGCGATGGCATGCTGTGCGGCATACTGGGGTTATTTGCCGAGCCGCTAGAATCATTCCTAGAGCTGATGTGGGTCTGCAGCGGCATCGCGTACACGCATAGGGCCACGCTGTCGAGCCGCTAGAGTGGCTTGACGTGACCGTGTGTCCGAAAAAGTGTTGCAATGGCTTAACGCCCACTGATCTGCATATTCAAAAAGGGTAGCAGTGTTACTGCGTTGTAGAATTCGTTTACGTCCTTTGAAAAGCAATTTAGCGAGAGGCATTAGAGGTTGAACAGAGCATTAGGATATCGACGCGTGTTGCTGCATTGTCACGCAATCGGCAACCTCCTAACTTGCCCAAGCCGTGGCAGGCAAGTTTGTCGAAATATCAATCAGGCTCGTGCGCAGAGGCACTATTTTTATAGCGACGGAAAAAAGCTTAACACCTAGTCAGGCGTGGGTCTAGAAACATTCGTAGGAATTATCCTAGCAGTGGGCAGACTAACGATGTCCAGTAACCAGCAACGGCAAGGGGAAGTGCCAGATTGAGGTTAAGTCTAACTGTGCGTTTTACTACTGTGCTTTATACTACATCAGCAGCAAGCTGGTACCGTTTCATGCGTCTATTTTCATTATGATATTGATCTGAGTAGGCAAGCCTAATACAGGCAACTTGGGGAAATAGGAGAATCTTCTCTGAAAGCTTTTCACACAGAGAAGAAAAATCAGTGAGCAAATGTTCGCAGATTATCCCCCGTGCACTATATGGCGCTCGTGGTTCGCAGAGTATCCTACCTTGCGAGCATCAGGTAAGATGAGCATTAGAGTTCCCCCTTGCCACAAGTCCATATCGGCTTACAAATCCATTGGCATTCAAAGCCTTGAAAGACCATTGGAAGCACAGTCCAGGCGGAGTTCAAAGAAGGACTGTTTTTTGCAATCGGGGTCCGGACTTGTGCTTTCGTATAAGCAGTGCAGACTGTGGCAGAGAGGATTACAAGTAGCCAAAAATTTGCAGGTAAGCAGGTGTCTTTATGGACTTTGCACCTCAGGAAAGAGGCCAATGTTGGGCAAATTAGTGTTCAAGCAAGCTGTACTATTGATTTTTTCTAGCAGTATATTTTTCCAAAATGATGGCGAAAAGGCAAAATGCAGCAATTTTCCCACTAGTCATTCAGGCTGGTCGAACGGTTGATTGACAATTCATTTTTAACTGTATTCTACCATTCGAAGATAACTCCCTGTAAATAAAATTGCCAAAAAGGAAATTTTTCTCTGCAGGTCCTACCGCACTTTGACCTTCCAGTCCCTAGGTTGTTAACAGTCGTGAGCAAGGGACAATTTCAGTGTTGTCGAAACATGCTTTGGAAAAAAATTACTGGTTAGGCAATTACATACAAGGCGGTACGTTTGCTAAAAAACTGACATTCTCGCTTAGCATGGGCTCCCTTGTGGCCAGCTGGTGGTTATCAAAGTGTACCATTTGGTTCCTTAATTTCTCTGACTATATGTGGGAAAACACTTGTTAAGGCCAAAGTTAAATCGTGGCTCTAAGGTAATCTCGACGGTATATGTCGTCATGCCTTTTTCTACGGCTCATAATATCTCAGTACATTAGGGTTAAATCGGGCTATACCTCCTCTCTATGCACATTAACTGTAGCTTGAGGAAACAGGTAACGTCTTTGACGTCAAACAAATGGCAACCGCAGCCAAAAATGGCAATGTCTTCATTGACATATTATAGGCAGAGATTTCGCGATTCGGAACTTTTTTTCAGTTACCACGTATGTGATCTAGAATAAAGCGCTTGCATCCAACATTTTACAAAAAGCGAGAATAGGATGCTGCATGCGGGATTGAGGCTAATGAAGATCTGCGTATAGTGTGCTCATTGCAAGCGTGGATGAGACTCAAATGAGCACAGGCATCACGCTATCACTTTACCCCAGAGGCATGGGTGATTTTGTTCACATTTTCCTAAATGGTAAATGCCTAATAGTATGAATGAGGACTTACACTTCCTGTGCCTACCGAGAATTGTGATAAAACAAAAAGCTGTAGTGCCGGTAGTGTATCTTGCTCTCAGCTATAGAATTTAGTCTCACGATTCCGTTAGCATATGTTTCCTCGACATCTCAAGGGACTACGATTGAGTGGATATGAGGATAGGCTATAGAAATGTTCGACCTCGCCATGACTGAATTTTAGAGGTCATCATGCTCCCGTCAACCTCTGGGCTTCATGTTGCAACAGGTACCACAAGACACCCCCGCTGACTATGAGAATCGCTATAGTTGGACTCTATATCACATATAGTGTTGCCTAGTTAACAGCTGCTGTTCGCGCTTATGCGTCAGAAGGGAATAACTCAAGCTAGCACTGTGACGACTTAGGTCTATATACTCAGCGAACCCACAGTAAAAGTGGATGGTTATCCTGGACACACATTTGAGTAAGGAAAGTGTATGCCGAGAATATGTTTAGGTTGTTCTATCCCCTAATATACACTTGCTGAGTGTCAAAATCAAATTCAGGGTAGCGTCGTCCAGACTTGATGAATGGCCAATTTTCTGGCATGAAAAAAAAAAGATATGGTTTCGATATTCACACTTGCCAGTATTGGTTTGCTGCACATCTTGCTAAACCACTGAGGGAGGCACTCACATATTAAGGAAGGCTGAAGCGCAGCTAGGAGGTAGCAGTCGGCGCAGTCTGCTTCGTCGTTTGCCATGCAAACTAGGGCAAACAGATATCAGGTATACAATGAGCAACAAATCTATTAGCTTGGTATGCTACACGCAGGGGCAAGCTGCGGGTACGATGATTCACAGTCGATTTACGCCTTTACATCACGCCAATAGCGAACGATCGCAATTTGCTGTGTATCTTCAATGCGTACCCCAAAGTTCTCTTATATCTGTATATACTGCTAATACGCTATTAGTCATTGTTTCGCATACGCCTAGCACGAGAGAATCTCGGGTTCATTTTAGAAAAGTCGCAAAACAATAAATACCGCAGGCGATATCTCTAAGTATTCATTTCGTCTTTTAGGTTTTTAGTATCTGATGTTGACACTATAATCAGTTCCAATTCTCCTACCAGCTGTTGTGCAATACTCTTTATGTGTCGCAATTTGTTCAAAGCGGTTTTCCCCTGCTGACACCCAATGCCTAATAAGTTTGCAACGCTCGTTCTGCAATTAGGCATTTAGCTTAGTAAAATCCCACTCCAAGACGTACGTTATTAACAGCAGTTTCACTTTCCTTTCGGAAAGAAAAGTGTGACCTTTCCACTACACTACATATAATAATGTCGCTCTTCCATCTACGCTTCTGCTTCCTTTTTGAATGATCTACTCTAGAAGCGGCGCCTGTACTCTCATTAGGCATTTCGCTAAGCAAAATCATACTCTCGTACGTGCGTTTTGAACAGCCGTCTCACTTTCCCTTCGGGTTGAAGTTTGTGACGTTTCTTCTCCTCGGCTAAATAATCACTCAAGCCTAAACCGATAATTTGAATTTCATCAATGTCGCTCTTCGGTCTATCCTCGTGCGTCCGTTTTGGGCTGCCTGTGCTAGTGGCCTAGAACTGAAACAGACCAAAATTCGAGGCGTCTGTGTTGTTCCGTTTGTACTTCGCAATTTTGAGCCTGGCTGCTTTTGACAACGCATTAGTGTTTAGGTGATTATGCCTTAGATTTCAATGTAGGAGATCACACGAGAATTGACGTATGAGAGCCTAGTTATTTTTTTCAGGCCAGCCCTTAATACCGCGCTGAACAGTTTTGCTTTTCGTATTTATGCCAGGGTTGATAGAGTTTGGGCGCTGCAGCGGGTGCGGTTCCCAAATCTTGGAATATGCAAATGTTTTTCTCTCGTGTACCTGTTTGTGAACTTTTATTATTCTTCAACGAAGGTTCTTAAAATACCGCTCGTGCCTTCGGCTGTCCCGCCGATGCCCTATTCGCATCAACTATTTCAACTACAGGTCAGCAAATGCCGTAGTAGAGCGGAACCCTATACGCTTGTTCACCGTAGATGGCTAATTGCAGTATGTTTGTTGCTGGTGATTCGCAGTTGAACTAAAGGCGTAGAGCTAGGAAAAATAATCCATTAGCCCTAGCGCTGCCTTTAGTTCATTTTTCCTTCCAAGGCATTGCACAAACATATTCTGCCAAAACATTTTTTTACCCTCATTCATATCCTACGCACTCTCCCGCTTCTCGTAACTGCCTACCGTGCATAATAGACATTGAGAAAAATGGGTAGGGGTAGCGAACACACTTAACAAATTTGTTGCTAGGCATCTGCGGCAAAAAACAGGATGCTGCTTTCCTCTCCAAAAAGCTCTGCCACCTGTTTCTTTTTCTCTTTCTCCCTCTTTTCCCTTTGTTGTGGAGTGTCTGTGAGAAAGCGGAGAGCAAGAAGCTTCAGGAGGAGTTTCTGTCTGACTGGCTGGAGCAGCGCCATCTGTCGCTTTCGTTTGTTTAGGTGCACTGCGAAATCATGCAGAAGCTTTTGGTTGTCGGATGCAGGAGCTGCGCTTTCCTGCCATATGGACTCCTCCGCCGCGGCCGATCGGATCGCTGCATCAATACAAGCCCACACCAGAATAGGAACAAGGGTGCATTTCCCCCAGTGCTGGTATGCTTAACAATTGACATTTCAGGTTCACGGAACGAGAGACACTTAGAGCAGGTGCGGGATGTGACCGTGGCCTTCTGCGACTTGCGCTTCTGAACCCGGCGTGAATTTCTACAGTCTCGCTGTCTACTCACCTGACATTTTTTCAAAAACCTCAACCACTGTCCATTCAAGCGCTCTGGTGATCGTCTTCAGATGCTGCAAATCCTCCACATTCGCTTGACTGAACTGTTTTGACAGGTGCGCTGCCCGTTCCAACTTCCTAAAGGCCAAGGTCTGCGGCGCTATTGCAGCAGCGTCGTCACCCGCTGCTGCGACACTGTCAACACTCCAAAGACTGTCCTGGCTAGCCTGTTGCTCAAAGACGAAATTTTCTTCATCCCCTGTTTCCTCAAAGCCTTTTTGTGTATCCTCATCCACTCTGTTTAGCGGATTGGAAACTTTCGCGTCGACCGCTGGTACGGGCGAAGATTTCAGTTCTTTCAACCACTCCTCAAGCGTTTGCTTGTTTTCCTTGGAGGCCTTCCTGTTTGTTTGTCCTCGACTCCGCCTTCTTGTATCTCTATCCTCGATAGCTCCTATGTGCCGCACAACAAGCGTCTCTAAGTCCCTGAAGGCAGCGTTGGCCAGGTGTACCGGTAACAGTTGCTTTTCGGCTGCAGCGTAACGCTTAACAAGAAGGCTGGATGTAACTAGCTGCTCCACAAGCCTGGGGGCAACCCGAATCCAAAAACGCGCATGTTGATGCCGTGTTGGCCATGGTGCCTCAAACGGCTCTAAAGCGTAGTACTTTTCCTTGATTTCTGTTTCGCCTATTTCGAGAGTGCTTCCACTTCCGCTGCTGCTCCAGCTATCGTAGCGCCTTGTATTGCCATTGAATAAAAAGAGGCGCTTACACCAACTCCTTCCTACGAGAAAGAAGTTGTGAAAAAACGACGTAAACTTCCGCTCACCGTCGGCGGCATGGTCGTTCCTGGTGGATGACTTGTTGGTGTATCCCATCATGAGCTCGTACTGTTGAAGCAAGGAGCTTTCAGTGGGCAAAAAGCAGCATATCCAGCATGAAAAAATAATGAAGCAGAGCAGACCGAACGTGCAAGCGTGCACTACTGCCAAAAGAAGATGTTGATTCGAGTAAAGGAGGAAGGAATTCGTCTGAGCCCCTGTACCTGCAGCCGCTAAACCTATGCCAGTGACACCTACTAAGTGTAGAAACACGACAAGATGCATGCAATTGCTGCTGTAACACCGAAAAGGAGGACGGCAGATGGCAAAGACAGCGAAAAGCAGCATCAGTCCCGCTGCTGTTGTCGTTTTGGCCGACTCTCCTAGAGGCTCCTGGAGCACGGCCTCTGCTAGGGAGCTCGCTGTGAGCTGCACGCTTTTGCTTGACGCGTTACCCCCCAAGCTGGCAAGCCATCCTAATCCAGTGGGTGAGAGCGACCGGCGCTGACCTAAAAGTGAGGATGACGTGATAAGTGCTGTTTTGAGAAACAGCAACCATACCCTAAAATAGCTTCTGAATCGGCCACCCTTAAAGGATGAAACCAGCCAAAGCTTATTCGCCATCCAGTCGTTGTTTATATACAGCAAGTATTCTAACTCCTTCTGCTGAATATATTCCTCTTGCTGTCTACCTTGACCAGCTACTGTGGCGTTTTTCATATCGCGCACCAGCTCAAAGGTAGCGCGACAGAATATTGCGGACACACCGAAGAATGATGCTAATCGAATTGCCAGTAGGGCATAAGAGTCACAACTGTCAGCCTGGTCACTGCAGAAAATCAGGGGTAGTTCTATTGAAAGGCAGGCTGGCAGGCAAAACAGCGTGACTGCCGCCCACAGTTTGGTAGCAGCTCCTAGTGCCGCGTAGAAGACGAGGGTGGCATGCGAAGCGATTTTGTTACATATACCTTTGCACCGCGTCAAAAAGGTCGGTGACTCCGCCTTTATTGAACATGCAAGCATGGCTGTGACAGACGGACGGGCTTGGGAAGGTCGACGAAGCTTTTGAAGCTCTTGTTCTTTCTTTATTTTGTCTAGCTCTCGTTGTCGTTCATGAAGTTCATAGGCATACACAACTCTAGGCCATGTCGCAGCAGGCACGGCAACTATTAATAACAGCACCAACAGCACTATACCTCGGCCGGCTGCATCCAGGGGATAGCGACCAAGCTCATTCGTTGTTGATAGAGGCCGCAAGAAAGTCGGCACATCTAGCAGTAGTAATGAAAGGCCCCGAGTCCAAATATTCCATCCGTAAGGAAGAAAAGGTTGAAGGGCAGAGAGAATGATAGCGAGCAACTGCAGGCCGTCAAGCAGCAGCCAGAGCTTTTCCTGCCAAAACAGGCAAACAGCACGGCGTGGTGGTTCCCTGTCGCCATGTTCTCCCATGGTAGTAAAGCGCCCTATACAACGATAAGCAGGTAGACACGCATAGTTCCCGGCATACTAGCCAACAGTTTTCACAAGAAAGGCACATTAACACGGCAACTTTTCAAAAGGCCTACTACAGGAAAAAGCAAAGTTATATGTGTTTGCGCTTTATATTATGGCTTCCGAAACGCGCCTTATATCCCCATGGGAACAGCGGGGCTGCCCCTGTAGATGCACGCGTTGTGGGGCTGGAATGCAGATGCTGACTGTCATGCATAGGAGAGATGAGATGCTCGACGAGCGCTGGGGGCTTTAAGCATAACGCAGGATGTCTCCCGTAAACTGCTTTTCGACTGCAGTAGTCCCGTACAACATCTTCCCTGATTTCAGAATAAAATAACATGCTGTATCCGTTTTTGTAAGTGTTATTGTAGTTGCAGGTACAGGTTGGCAGCGAATACTTAGTATTCGTTTGCCTCTACACTTTGACAGAAACCAAAGCACTATACCCATTTATATCATTTGGTATTTGCAGAAACCCAGAAAGATAATATATTATCGCGGCAAGTGATTCAGCATCATTTATTTGCAATACTGCAGCAGTGCAGGAAAGCAGTGGAATCATTTCGGCATCGGCTGCCGAGTTGTCCAGTAATTCCTAGCCCATGTTCGCTGTAACCATGTAGCAGGATTTTTCACTTAACTGACAAATTTGTTTCTCAGCAATGCAAGCATAATGCCATGAGTCACGGAATCCACTTTTTCCCTTTGAACAAACCTGCACAGGTTTATCATAAACTAATTTCCATCTGCTCCTGCAGGACGTGCTGCATGCGCTTCGTGTTCACCCCACATATGACAACGGCGCTGTGGACGCCGAGCCTTTCATGCTCTAAGCAGAAGCAGCTGCCAGTATGGTGTGAAAAAGGCCGAAGCCAACGACAGCCAACACACAAATCTAACTCCGCCTGCCCATGATCAAAACGTGCAGATGTCCCCTATGCACAGCCGATTACCTCCACCTGTCCTAAGGTCCTAACTCTGCTCAGGAAGCTTGCCAGCGTAGCCAGTACGGCTAGATTTTCAAGTACAAAACTACCCTGGGCTGAACCGCATGAGCCGCTAGCCACTTTTGGTCATGGGATGTGCGTGAACCGCAACACAAGCGTCCAGACAATGCACGGCACATTTAAGTGTAGCCTCACTCTTTTCCGTTCGCGGCCTAAACACAGCGCACACAGCCTCAAAACACTAAAAACCTACAACTTCCCTGACACAGCGAACAAATCTCTGTGCAGAGCGGCATATGGGGAGGAAGCCGATAGTCATGAAATGGAACCCACCCTGCCCCAATATATCTTAGTGTACGAACATACACAGTCCTAAGAGAAGGTAAGGAGTTGCGTGGCCACCCACAGTCAAACCACACTGAAGTACGAGGGCATTTGTCAAAATCAGGTACGGTCTAAAGGTTGGAGTCAATCTGCCGGGGGAAAAGGGCAGCCAAACTATGTGCTTGTATGAGCTGGTACCCATTATATCTTGCATATTGGCCATGATGACACGTGCAAAGGAGTCAGAGTGTTCTTTGCCTGCCCTTATTATTGCGCTTAAACGAAGGTTGCTGCTGCCCCCGTTCCTCTCAAGCCGAGAATAACATTGACTAGCGGGTTCACCAGAATCCTCCCCCATTCGAACACTACTGTGGCGATATGCCCTTGCGGACTTGAGCTACTGAAACTGAGCACTTGCTGCTCTATGTATTCCACCGGGTCGCAGGCAGCCATTCAAGGAAGTTAGAAGTCTGCCCAAATCGGATATAAGGACTTCCTACAGGTAGTCCACAAGAGAAAATGCCAATGAGCAAACTCGGCAATCCAGTGTTGATAGGTTCTAATGGCATTAACGGCAGATCTATCACACTTGTCGAACATGGGCGGAATGATTACCGTCCTTGCCCTCGGCAGTAAGTACACAATTTCCCATTGGCGTAACAGAGTCATAAGGCCCAAAAGGTGTGTTGCCACAGCCAGAATGGAAGTAACGGGGCAGCCGTGCAATAGCTGCAACTCACGAAATAGAGGACTCTGTCCAAGAAGCATAGTTATTTGCGGTGTTTAGAAGGCATGCCAGGTTATGTGCTTTATAAAAAAATCCCTTGATGTGATGTGCAAGGTAGCTCCTGTCTTTTCCGAGCAGCCCCAGCCTCCGTGTTTACGCGCCTTTGCTAATTCCAAGCATCCGCAAGGTGGCGGTAGGAGGCTCTGATTTATTCAGAACGATGCCGGCTTGTCAGATAATAAAAAAACCAGAACTTGGCACAACGGCGCTGCTGTCCTCTGTGCGCTCAAAAAAAGGGGTACCAAATAGCAAGTGGGTTACAGACCATATATATCTAGGCTCAAGTATATCCAACACATATATGTAGGCTTACGATGCTGGAAATAACGACTTCCGTGGAGTTTCAACAGCTACAGAGAACAATTGTCCATCCGTGAGTTAGGATGGTTCCGGAACGAAGACTTACTATGTTGTTCGCAGTGGCTCGTATGCTCTCATGGCATTTGTGCGACGCCTGTAGAATGTTCCACATCCCAGGAGGAGCTGCACTTTGTCAGGTTCAATCCGGCAGTGCATGAACGACGAGTAGCAGATAGGCCGCTACAAATCCCACTTGGGCAGTTTTGTAGCCTGTTGATGCAATCGCCAGACTCAAATGCAGCTTTGCTGGTAGAGTTACCACGAAGTCCGTCAGAGGCCCGTGTTCGGCTAGATGCTGAAGCAGTGGGTCTTGGAGCCACGCTGCCTTTTGAACTGGATTCCGCGTGTTCCAGGGTTATCCCTGCCGCCGCCTAAAATTTACAGAGCATGCTCCACCTGAAACCGAGGGGAATACTAGTGACGGTTGCCGTGAAATTTCTCCCGTTTCTTTCATCTTAACAATCTGAATCCACCGGAAGCTCTGCATACAATATGATTGTACGGTTGGGCGAAGTTTCTTAGATCTCCTCTTTACGTGGAAAGCACTCCATACTAAGTAGCGAGGATCCCAGGGAACCTCTTGAACCAACTGCTTTCCATCTGTGAGCTGCACTTTGACTTTTGCGTCTTACCATATGCTGTGAGCGTACTGGGTCATTCACTGCAGCCGGCGAGTGCTGTATCCTTTTAAGAATCGGTCTCGGAGTTTGGTTGCTTCGCCGGAGGCCGTCAACTTGCGCGACTGGTGCATGTTGCTTTTGAGCCTTCCGTATAGATGCGCACAGACGCTCATCCTGCTGTTGGCGAGGCACTTTTATATCTACCATGTCGAACCACTGGAGAGCCCGGTGTGTGCGCCTAGCTCTTCGCACTGCCCATAATAGGTAGAAACAACCAACACAGACGGGTTATTCTCCAGGGCACCAGCCTATATGCTCAGCACGTGTTTAGCAGATGCAAAATGCCATGCCAGGCAGCGCCTTTCTGGTTTCCTACAAGCCACCTGTGTGCGTCATCGTCGGCGCCACGCTGTGAGGGCTGGCGTTAGCAATAGTGTTGTGCAGAAGTAGACACTCGGCTTCCGTTGCTGGGGATGCTGCAACTCACCCACATGCATAATTATCGAGCAATTGTCAATTATTACCCATTTTGGGGGACAGTTTCAGACTTATAAGGGAGGGTTACGTTGGCTGACTGTCCGATGCATGAGCCAGCTAACTAACGTGAGGGAGTTCAACACTTCCTAGGTAAAAGCATCGGACATCAGATTCCTTATGGATATAGAATGTACTACTGTACAACGACCTCTTGACTCTATCAGTGATTTGATAGCTCACTTCCAGCTAGTGACTGTAAGACCAAACGCTGCCTCTCTGCTGATCTCAGTAGAGCCAGTGCAGATGGCTGTAAGTGCAGTGGAGGCCTTGTGTTTGAAAGGAATTTAATGCAGCGTCCCAAACTCCACCCAAACCTGCATGCATTATGTGGTGCATATGCTGAAGTAGTTTCCCGCCTGCCAGATGTCGCAGAAAGGCTGTACTGGTCCAGTTGCTAGAACCGATGCAACACCAGAACTCCTAGAATTATTGTGCGAGCGGAGGAAGAGCTGAATGATTAGAGGCGACGCTTTTATACCGCTAAACACTGTTGTTGATCTCCCAGGAAGTTTGGCCAGCGGTAAACATTGCAGCAGGGACCGTGAAAAACTGCACAATCCAAGTGTTACCTTTGCCTTACTTCACAACAAAGTACACGGTAGCAGCCGCCGCTGCTGTGCCAAGCTCTTTGGATGAGTGCAAGAGGCAGCTGCCTCCTTGTTCAATCGCCTCATCAATGAATGCAACAGCTGTTGCTAGGTCCTTCAGCTTCTGCTTCACACTGGCCTGCGGAACGAACACGAATGATTTGAAGATATTAAAGGGCCATAGTCTAACAATTGTGGCAAGAGAAACAGCACAGTTCAAGGAGAGCCAGCACACGGATAGATATAAGATTCGCACCGGGTCAATCGACCTGCCCTTCTGTTCCCACTGAAATTTGAGACGGCGGGGTGGGACCGTCGGCGTTGACTCATCCGTCTCCACAACCCCTTGCAAGTCGTTATACGGCTGTTGAGGGCCGTCATCAATAGCTACAATGTGGGAAATTTTATGAGTTTTTAGGAATTCCTTCCCGACGGCGATCGAACGCAAGGAACAGAAGAGACCGTCCTTAAGGCGCAGCGGTCCAAATAGTGGCTCTTCGTCTTCAGCCACCATTCGATGACATCTAACAAATTCGCACTGCTCCTCAGTATCCGGACGTTTGCATTCTTCGGATTCTGAGTCATGTGGGCTGGGCACAACTTGACTATCATGAGCCTTGACAGAACAAGAACTACGTTGTTCCATTGTGATTTTGGGGGACGTAGGGCAGAATTAAGGAGAGGTTTGTCTTCTATGAAAGTGTCACGAAAATGTTTTTGTGAAGCGTGTAGCTAATTTTGTCCATTGCGCGATTTATTCAAGCTCGCAGATTGACAAAGTTCGAATATTTGTCAAGTATGTGCCCAACGCTGCTGCCAACTGACAGCGAGCATTCGGAAGTTCATTTTAAGCTGGCGTATGAGGCATGACAGCACAATATGCAGAACGAAGCACAGGCTGGAGTTCTTGCCAAGCAGGAGATTTCAAGGAGGAGGTTCCTATAGCTTTGATTTGTTGGCTTCAGAAGTGCACTCGTAGCCACCACAGGCAGGTGAAAAACCGGGAGCACAGCCACTGTGAATTTTAGGATAGTCACCGCGGAGTCCTAATGGTGACAACAAAGGCTCAAGAAAGCACAATTGGCCACCTTGAGGTCCTTTGTGCTGTCATGCGTTTCTGCTGTAACTTTGGGTAATCAACGAAAAAACATTGAAAAATGCTGGTGGTTATGTATGACGAGTATTATTGGCAGCAGGACTTCCCTTCTCCTGACTAAAAAGAACGCCGTTGTCTTCAGCCGAGGCACATGCGGAATTCGTTGGAGTGATATCCCAACCCAACACCCATGCGCTGTGAACCTGTTGGCTACCCATGCAAACCTAAGGTGTAGACGGTGATGCGCAGCTGATATTCCTGAAAACTCAAGTTTAAGAGACCATTTTGCCTTTTTAAGTGTTGATTCCCTTCAGAAGACTCAATAATGTGGGAGAAGGCCTGGATTTCTTCAGCAGCAGATCTCCCCAGTAACTAATCCCCAGCAACTACGGCAATTTTGGTCGAACCTGCTGTAGATGCATGCTGTATCTAACCCTAAAGCGGATGCAACGACATAAAAAAGAGTGCAGAACTGAAAATTCGTAGGATTGGTTGTCGTCCTTCGCTTCCTTCCCTACATTTAGGGCACGTCTAATACGGAAGATGTCCACTGCGAACATGTTGGCATCTGGCAAGCATCAACAGCCTTATGTTTCGGTCACTGAGGAGGTTTAGATCTACAATATTACATTTATAATTTATTATTCGGGACATTTAATTTAGGTTCCACACGTGTTGCACATTACTGCAAATTAAACCCTGTCTCCCGCATACTCTTGCAAGACTCGCAGTACTTACAGTGGGTAGAAGCCGTCCCTTCTGTATAAGACACTGCCTTTTTCGGGGAGAAAACAGCATTCGCATTTCCTAGAGCATGACAGCATTCGAAGGACAAAAGGCCGGCTGAAAGTCGCCACCAAACTTCGTTTTCATCCACTTATGGCCTTGATGTGGAAAGCACGGATTGACCAGTACGATAAACGCCCTGTAATAAATACACACTGCACAAGGAGAAGCAAAAGCGCTAACTTTGAGATAGCTGCAAAGGATAGACCAACAAGCGCTGTTAGCGAAGAGGATCCTCCGTATACTCAAGTTATGGTCGGCGTTGGGACAGTTCATAAGTTCGCAGCAAAAAATTGCAATAAATTTCGAATCCTCGTGAGCAATTGATGGATGCTTGTTGCGTCTGGAAACGATCATGTGGCCATCGCAGTAAGGGTTCCCGTTCGTGACGGACTGACCTGCAATCGGATATGGAGGGATATCACGATAGATTTAACTGTGTGTCGTATGGCTTAGGATTTAGTGTTGCAAATGCACGGACTTTTTGTTCTCCCTCGGCGCCGTCTTTGAATGCAGTTATTTCATGGAAATATATCCCAGTTTATCTGGCAGTCTGGAAGAAACTCATGCCTCCCCCTTCGTTCAATATGAGTTGGCACTCCGTGAAACTCGCATTTATTCAATTGTTGTTCAGGGGTGTCATACCCTAGCCAGCCGTTCAGCTCCCAAACTCGAGTATGATTGTTTCCTGCGAACAATCATACTCGAGCTTGGTAGCTGAACCGCGGGCTCTGGCTGCATGGACGTAGTACGAGAACACTTCTTCGTACAAATACTTTGTAGCAAAACAATAGAGTCACAAATAGGTAGTGGAGCGTGTAGACCTCGGCTCTCCAATTCGAACTGATGCCTTCACACTGTCTATCTGTGTTAAACACACACTATTTTGCGCAATCATTAGATAGCTTTTTAGTTTACGTACTTAGGTGGATCTACTCCGGAACCAAGGGAGTACACGGAGCGTTGTCGTTCCTGCGTATAAGCAAGGATTGATCTGGCAGGCTGGCAGTCTTGCCATGCTCATTTGATATTTGCCTTAACTTGGAGAGGGTCCAGGCTTGAACTAGCATAAAATGTGTTCAATGGTGTAGCAGTTTAAAGTTTAAGTATAAGCCGCTGGAATGGAATGCATACGCTATATTAATATCAAATGCCAGAAGAATTCATTTGGGTCAGCTCGTCTCCAAAAAGAAGAAAAGTATCAATGCCTCAAGACCTACTATGAAAAACGTGGGTATAAGGTCTCAGTGCAAGCATTAAGATATGGGTCCCTTGGGTGTATTGCAAAGGAAAAGAAACGAGTGCTTACACACCGTATCCGCCAGAGCCATCGTATTTGGGGTTTCCACATGGCAGATAATGGCACGAGGCGAGCCAGAGGAGGCGGTCGCTCTCGTGCTCCCACATTTCAAGTTGTATGACACACTAATGAACTAATAGGACACTAAGACACATACACACTCGGTAGCAGCACTATGGGTATATACAGACGGTATATACAGACGCGTGAAGACGGTTGGCTCGATATCCGGGCGTGCCGTAGGACTTGGAGCTCCCTCGCATCCCCCTTATAAACCTTTTTGCTCGAGGCGCAAGCGCCCAACTCCAAACCCCAGCTATCAAATTTTCAATATAAAATGCGGGGTTTGGGCTGACTTCACGGCTTAACCCTCGATGAGGGGGTTATGTGTCAAGCTGGGAATTCATTTGGGATGTATGACACTTTAGTGGAGAAAGACGGCACTGCCGAGAACGCGAGGTGACAATATCCAATATTTTATGAAATCCCCCGCCTCAACAACTCTGCACTCGGTGGTACAATATCTCAAGAGGGTTGCTGCATACCACCTTAGCTGGGAGATTTTGAAGGAATTACTCAAGCGCAGGGTGGTACGTAAGGGAAGCCTGCCTGAAGCGATTATTTCTGGGGAAAGCTGCCAGTGTTAGGAAGCTTTGTGTCTGTTACCTTCCTCCACGGTCTTCATCAACGGTTCCTCTTCACTAATGGCTGGTGCCGTACTTACCACCTGGGCACACGCTGATGTTTCAGAATATACGCAGTGCAAGGATGGAGCCCCTGCCCTAGCTAAGGAGGAGGCTGCTGGGTCATGCTCGAAAACATGGGACAAGCCACACGGAGATGGTATCGTATCGCACGAAACAGGGGGGAACCCAAAGCCCTTCGGGTTGCGCTGTTTTTAGTAGAGCAGTGCTTGTGTCTGCGACGGTGTATTAGGGTGAATGAGCCTGTATGAGCCCAAGGGTTCACGGCAATCGTTTCCTGTAGCGTAACTGCAGGCGCTCGACACTGGAGATGAAACCATGCATTGGCCTGGTGGAGTTTCTTGCAATTAAGGTTTGAATCAGCTTCTGCACGAACACGAGTTTGTTTTCCGTGGCTTTGCAAGGCCGGTTTTGGAGGCTTGGTTGTGGTGCAGGCAACTTCTGTGTCCAGCTAGTCTGCGGTTTTTCTATCCGCATTGGCCAGCATGGGACAGCGAATGCTCTCAGAAAGTGCCATTTTCCGAGTTTGCTCATTTTGTTGGACACCTGTTGATGTAGGAAGTAGTCCAATCTGCTGGTTTTAATTTGGCTAACCTACTGCACAGCAGTACAAATCGCTCTGGAAATCCTCTCCACCAGATGTTCTACGAGACTTGTTCGGCTGCTTTTTTGCACCCCAGCTTGAAGGGTTTGCCGTATATATATGCTGTTGATCCTCCGCCTGGATCAGCATGCAGCATTTTTTTGCACAAGACTGTGTGCAATACGCTGCCAAATGTAGGCGGACTGCAAGAAGAGAATACGCTTAACCAAAAAGCCAGCGTGGAAGGAAAAATGTTATTACCCATATCGGCCCCTGTTAAGTAACATTACAGTAACTGTTTTAGCGGAAATGGCAATCACCACCCTTGGTTTTCAAGGGAACTGCTCATGCTCATTTGCGAGGCACGCATTCTGGCGTTGTCGTGCCTGCATAATTACTAGAGAGCGTTGTCTGAACGGGTAATCTTTTCGATCGCATAAAACCAGAGACTCTCCAAATTTTCTTGCCTTTCCCTAACGTCTCCTGATTTGGATTATCAATCACGTTGGGAGGGGGACTGACAGGATTTTTCCGTCCTCTGAGCAACACGGAACATCGTTGCCGCAACTGGCAGTATCGTTATGCAATGGAGAAACGCTATCGATGGGGGGCTGGATAACGGGTGCGTAAAAAATTCGCCACAGTAGGATGAAGCATGCATGTAGTTCAACTGATCAGGTGCTAACGGAATATGGGGAATATGCACACCTGTCCCTGTCAGGAGTACATCAAGCTCCAACACCTCTGTAGCGCTGGCTAAGGGTGCATGGAGATTGATTGCCTCTCGGAAGGTGGATCCCTTCCAAAATGACACGGTTCCTTCACGGGTGATGGAGGCCCAGCCCGTTGCCCCTCCAGGACTCGGGGAAATGGCCAAGATACAGAATGGGGGATCTTCAAGTTGCATAATGACATGCAAACATTCGGCAGCATGCGGTTGCCACAGTCGGATGGTTCGGTCCAGGGATCCTGAACATTGAACCGCGTATCTCCAACGGGTATTGAGAACGCCAGGTAGGCAAAAGTCACACGGCGGCATTAAGTTCGTCAAGCAATTTTGTCGTGTAATCCTGTTTACCTGATACTAGTAAATTCTCAACAGTCTTCAATGCAGTAATCGAATCCTGGGTACCAACAAATACGAGCCAAAATACCAGCTGCTGCGGATGCTCATTAATACGTAGTTATAGCAAGAGGGGCTAGATGCTGCTAGGCTATCCGAGAGGAGATGCAATTTTACATTCGGTACCATGATATTCTTCATCTCATCCTACTGTGCCTCACAGTGTGTCCCTCCAGGTGGATAACCTCTGTTGGGTCTTCCAAGCAGTACCGGTTGATATCTTTTCCATTCCCTGCTGCATATTTCACAGCAACCATCTGCTAGCCACACCGTTCATTTAAACGCTGAAAATGATGTTTGTTCGGAGGCAGAGCATGGGGGTGTAAAACAGCTGTTACCCGAGAAGAAAAGGCCCTTTGAATAGCAGACAGCTAGGTAGAGAACCTCCTGGTCTGTGCTACTACTGCTTCTATACAACTCCTGAGGAACCACAGTGATCCATGAGAAAAAGGAAGCTATGCGATGCTTAGCGCATAGTACCGGGCGGTGTGTTGAATATGTGAGGTTTTGCTTGTTCTACTTCCAGCACTGCCTTTGCGAAAACGGTTGTCGAAGACTAAATTGGGTGGTCCATGTAACTGGAAAGCACCCTTTCTCGTAAAGTGCACCAGCGGATTTCATACACTTTGTCTCGCCACAATTCTCCCATCTATTTCGTTTACAAGCACCAGGCAGATGTTGCCATCATAGCCTCCGGTCAAGACGTAGAACTCATTGTATTTGAACTCTGGCTGTAGTAGAGAGTTCGCTAGCCCTTTATTGTCGTTCGATTGCTCCGTAGTACCAGACCACGATTCCATGCAAGCTACTGTGTTTTCATGAAGGGTTTTCCCTGATAAAGTTAAGCGATATATGCAGTGGGTTTCTCCAAGGTTCATCACTAGCAATACCAATCCACTTCACCACCATGAGCCACAATATCTAGCCCTACTTCACTTATATCGGAAGGCCTGCGAATTCTCGGCTGCATTGCTGCTTGGTGGTATTAACAACCGTGGCTTAAATTCTCACCTTTTCGGTCTAGCACGGGAAACGAGCTATCGCTGGGGAGCTGCCAAAAACGGACTGAACCATCTTCATGCCCAGTTAGGAGAACGTCCAACCCAGTCAAAAAGGTAAAGCTACCGCCAAAATTCGCATATATTGAAATGGAGCCCATTTAGTGCCTGATGATCTGTGAACACTGTCGGAAAGTGGATTGGGCTCTGAGGTTTATAAACACTGCTGTAGATTGTCACAGATGGCGATGTAGCTTGCCTTGTAACTTCGGCATGCTTGCAGTGAATTGTGGAGACCGCCGTCGCCCTTTGCAAATCCCATCTGCGCGCATGCTTCCCACCCACGTCGTAATTGTGTTTACTAATCTGAGGGAATAGTAATACGAAGCTTGTGGCTGTTGGAGTTCGTTCTGTTTGGCTCTCCGGAGACTCACAGAAGAAAAGTTTTATCAGCTGCCATCGAAAGTAAAAGACGAGTGCCTCCCATGGACAGCCAAAGCAAATGCGATACAGCACCTAAGGGGGCATGTTATAATTCACAGCCGCTGGCTGTTAGCCAAAGGTTCGTTTTTGAAATGGAGATGGCCACTGGGCTCTGGATAGAGCAAGTATACTCCAAACCAGCGGGGGGGTAATTGTGTACCTTCGTGACCAGAGAGGTGAAGCTCTGTGTTGGAATGCTTCGCTCGGACAATGAGAACAGAATGAGCTGATCCAACAACGATTCTGTCGGCCTCTGGACGCATGCCATCCCTCCACGTGGGGTAACACCAATAACGTCACTAAACGCAATTTTATGTAGGTCGGCTACACTCGGAGAAGAGGGAAAATCAGAATACCTTACCCATATCGACGGATATGTGGAGAATCTTGTGGTCGCTTATTTGCTGTGATGCAACTATTTCCTTTGAGTATATGTTGAAGTAACTTAAGGTGCCTGAATCGTCCCCAGCAAGGAGGAGGCTTTGCTTCGCGTCCCATGCCAAGGCCGAAAACGATACACCTTGTGGATTTGCCTGCTTCCACCAAACTTCCCCCAGGTATGGGTCGACGACAGCAATGCCTGTATCGCTTCCAGCAGTGACTACAACCGATTCTAAAGGAAGTGCATACACTATTCTGGTGCATAAGCTGTGCACCTGCATCTTGCGATAAATAGTGAAGACTTCGCGACACCACCGAGGAGGTCGTGTTCCTTTTGCATTAAACTCAGCGAACTCTTGGACCGCACCAGAGCCACCACCCTCTAGTAAAAACAGCCAGCCGTCCGTAGACGAAGCACAAACGCGGACTTTGTCTCCTGCCCATTTTGCTGTCACACTTTCGAACCAAGAATACGCCAACACCGCCATACCCTTGACCGTGGCTGAACACGACACAAGCAGATTCGTCGGACACCGATTGTACTAAGTCTAAGCTTTTCCACGAGGTGTGATAAATACATGCTAGTTGTCTGCTGGTTTCGACGGACATGTGTGGGCAGATCCGCTTTGTAGCTTCTGCACCAAGGAGAAAGTTGGTTCCTTTCTCGAAGAAACGTCGACAACGAAGAAAGAAAGCGAGCCGTCAGTGGAAGAGGATATCAAATACGGCATGCACAGGGCCAAGGAGACGATTGTTCCGCCGTGACCTCCAATAGTCCGGATGCATTCCACGTGTTTACCAGAGATACTCCAAATCCGAATTGTGCGATCTGCTGAGCCACTCAACAGCCACTGACCCCCCACATCACGGTCCTCCGCAGCAGTTCCAGCGGCGGAGAGTCCGGGAAAGGCCTCTGGCTGAGTGTTCAAAGCAAAGTGCAAGCACTGCACTGCCCCACTGTGTCCACGAAGCCTCTCAGCAGCTGCAGCTGTTGGTGGAGGGCCGAATACGTCGTGCTGAAAGTATAAGATGTCTCCCGATGACAAACCTGTGAACGTCAGACTTAACTCAGGAGAACGCACAACTGCGGTAATCTCGTTTGGCGTTTCTTCACGAGAGCGCAAATGTCTGCTGAGTACGGAAAAGTCCTCGTGTACGAAGGTGTCTGTCACAACAAACGAGACTTCAGGCGTGGGCTCGCGAGGCCTTTCTGCGGAGGCTACTATGTGGGACCTCGTTGCCACCGCCGATGATGCTCCTGCGCTTTTCGCATGGCGACCTAGATGACTAGGACGCCCTAAGGAGGCGCGTAGGTGCTGAGTATGAGGTTGCATTGCTTAACCCTTTTTTGACGTTGCCAAGATGGCCGCAAGAGAGAGTGAAACGAAGAGTTGTCTGTGGTTTTAGCTGCTGAATCAGTCCTCTAGGCACTTTGTGGCAAAATTTTTCTGGAATATGCCCATTAATAAAGTGATCAAGAAGATTGCAATTTAAATATCAATGAAGTGTGGACGGCGACGGATATTCCTTGAAGGTACTCCTCATGCAGAGTGCCACAGAGCCCAATTTCCTCCGTTAGTGCAGAGAAATAAACCAATCTTCTCAGATATGCGAACAATGCGCTCGAAGACCGTGTAGAAATAGTGGAAGTAGGGTAGGCGTCTCACAGGCTCGAGGCGCCGCGGGGGCGTGTGCCCTGTCTAGCTAGTTTTTGGTGCTGGCGAACCGCAAATACGAAGCCAACGTGCACGTTTTGGGAAATTACAGCTACAATCGTCGGTGAATAGCTAAGCAGCTGTGTTTGATTTACCCCGTCGCTCACTTCTCCGTAAGAGATGGGGCCACCTGAAGCTGCACCAATACAGCTAATAAAGCGCAATAAACCAGCATAGTTAGCGGGAAATGGCAAACTTATGATAATTTGTGTCAAGCTGCAGATGTTGCTGCTCGTAGAAATCGTTATGTGCTAAGAACCGAAACCACTTCTCTCCTCTTTTCTGCTCTCCATTGCAACTGCTCAAGATAATCCAACAGTAAAATCGTAAAAGCCCTTTAAATTTTCTGTTCTGTTTTCTCCCTAGGCGTAATGAATCGAAGGAGAATCTGGTGGGACTTGAATGCTTGTGGTTTGTGGCAGGAATTGCGCGCTTCTTTGCTTCTATTTCAAGCTGCGCCTTCACATGACAATTCGGAAGTTTGAAGTCAAACCTTACTCAAATCTAAATCTGGGCAAAGCTTGAACACAACTGAATCGCCTTCAACAGTACTGTGGTCCCCGAAGCAGGGATCTTGCTGATCCAGCCCGAGCAAAGGCAACCGTATCATACATGAGCCGGATATATTCCGTTAGGCTTCGATGTTTTAATTTCCAAATGTTTACATTGGTTTTTGTTAGCTGCACAGGCGAATATAGTGGTACTAGGTGGATTTGCGTAGGGCTGCCTGATCAAAGTTCGTGGCTTTCACTAAGCGGCTCAGATCTGGTGTGCGTTCGAGTAACCACTGTTAAGAGAGGCTAGCGGAGTAATATTGCAGAGAGACTGAACATATTTGAAGGGACCATCTCAACCGACTCTGGCCCAAAATGACGAAAATGTGAGTACACTGCTGAAGCAATTATGCAGCTGGCGTATACTCTTGCTTGGGGAGGATTGAGCTTAAAGTATCCGTGCTGCACCACCTTCTTTCTTGCCGTAATAAACATTTGCAAGGGTTTCTATTTATCTTCTTTTCCCGTAATAAGACAGTGCCACAGCAGTGCCACGTTGAATATTTTGATAATTCCAAAAGGTATTTTAACTAACGCTCAACTCGGGGAAAGCCCAAATTGCAGGAGTTTTTCTGACGTGTAGTAAGAACCGCTCAACAATATTCACCAATCGTATTATACGATAACTAAAACAAAATTTGATACTATCCCGTTATGTGGTCGTAGGAGCGGAGGGCCTTTTCATGTGTACCAAGGCGTCCTTAGACGCGACGGATCTATGTTAATGCCCCCCTAGGATATGTGTGACTCTGCTCACCGAAGTGCGGTAGAGCTCTCTTGTGGTATACTTTAAATCTAACAAAATATGGAGAGCGGTAGGCTGTCTAGTGAATTGTAGCTACATGCACTTACCCAGGAGATGCAATCTGTATACTGTCAGGACGCGACAATCGGCTTCCTCATGCGGAGGCACCCTTTTCGTAAGGTCCCTGCACAGCTGTACAGCAGTGACGGGCCACAGATATGGCCAAAGTTAGTTTGGAGACAAAAGGATCTCGCTCAAAGCTTGCGACATGGGATTCACATGACATACAGGCCGAGGATCATGTACACAAGAAAGGTGTATTGGAAGTACCTTTCTTGCTCCACAGGGTTCGTACGAAGATCCATGTTTCACTGCCACCACATTTTTAACGCCTCTTGTGCATCTCTCTTTTGCGGCGTTGGCCTTTCTGTACATACCATGGCGTTACCATGGCGTTACCTTGGCGTTAGCACGTATGGTATGACTAGGATGCTGTTTATAAAGCCAGCATGTATACCTCCAAAAAGTGTTAGGGGGTATGATATGTCTCGTCAACCGTGACAGGAGCTGGCAACTCGGAAAAAGATACCTATCTCCCATGCTAGCTTGCTGCCAGGGGTGTGCCGGGAGGTAATGGTATGTCTGGCTTTTCCCCGTGCATATGCAAGGGAGTAAAGCCGAAGTTCTCGTAGAAGCGGGCGGCAGCAGGTTCCTTCTGGTGCACAGCCCTGTCGCCGACACTCGGTTGACAACAACTGAGGTGTTCCCCTTTCTGCATTCAGGGTCGGCTCCGGTGAAGACCTAGTATGCCATGCAATTGAGGACGTTTCCCCTGCTATAGAGTTTTTAGAGCCACTGTGCTTCCCTCAGACTGCGATTATTCTACATATACTTGAAGATCAAAAGAGATTTATCGAGAGCCTTGCATCGTCAGACGGCGAGCCGAGCAGAGCGTGGGCAGCCACTGTGCTGCGCGCTCATCAGCCGATAGGACCCTCTCAGCAATAATAATAAGGCAAAAGCGCCTAATAGAAAACGGACATCATGGTGCTGAAACTCGCTTCAACATGAACTCCTATGACGGCTCGTTCCACTTAAATGAGAGTTGTAGGGGCAGGCAGTATTCTGCAAACTCAAGTGGCACAACCTCGACAGGTGCAGAAGAGCAGTCAAGGATGAAACTGGGGTGGTGTTTTGGCATCAACGCCGTTTATTCATCAAAGGCGGACATAAAATTTCGGCTATGCTTTTCAGTGGTTGTTACACCAATCCATTATTCGCATTTCATATTCCCCTTATGTTCTGGGCTAGTATGTATGGTACCGTTTGGATACTGGCTGCGGTCTTACAAATCATTTGCTTGAAAACCTTTGTCATAACAGGAGTCTTCGCGTGTTCAAGCTCGTCAACAACCTGCATGTCTGTTGTCCTAAATGTGGAATCCTGTGAATCGATGGCGGCAGGACTCAAAATTGCGTATGAGCTGGAATAGCTGCTAGACAGGTAAGGCCAGGTTGAAAATGAAGATTTTGCTGTCAAGCTGAAGGTTGTTTCTGAGAAAGCAGTGACTTACTGGCCCTTCTGCTAGTATACAAGCATAACCTAGTTTGCGAGTGGTTGTGAGCAGTGCAGAATTGCGGCTGTAGTAGGGATCCAGTTGGACCCGCCCTCATGCGTCAATCAAGCCAGATGAACAAAGTACTGCCAATCCGTGTAAATGATCAAGTAGACGTCAGTCTGCACCAGGGGAAAATTCTGTTTCTCTCTGATGGGGATGAAGCCGATGCACACACATACTCCAGCCTCTGTCCTTTTTCTTTTCCAGCACCGGGTTGTCCCCAAAGGCACAATGTGGCGCTTGAGCTTTTCTATATCCCAGCAAAATTTGGGGTTTGTCGGTACATTGGAACAAAGTATGGTGCTCTTTCACTAATGAGCTCACTGCTGTGCATTGAGCATCCAGCAGGTGGCCGGTCCGCTGGTAGCTCTTGGAATCGCTTCAAACCGCCAACTTCGTAAGACCATAAAGACCATTACAACGGAGTGCATGCACCTTTCCGTCGTCTCCTGTTGAGCTGCGCGCCCAAGAGCACCCACACTCTGCTTTGGGACGGTTCTTGCACTCCTGTTACTGTAGAGGAAACAAATATCTTTGGGAGCGGCGATAGGTGCACTCCCCCCTATCGTCCTGGACAATAAACCTCAAATGTCAACATCAGGGGGCCACATATGGTCCCTGCACTGGGCTGCCGACGCCTTGCACAGAATTGTGTCGAGGTCACTGACATATGATTCATGGGACTCAACATCATTATATGGCCATAATTGTGACCACCCTAAACTGTTCTCTTGGATTCTTGCGGCGTACCCGAGGAGAGCATGCCAAGGGATAGATTGGTAGTTTGCAGCTCCTGTATCTACCGAGATTCAGCCCACGTCACAGTTCGTGTCAAATATAGTTTAAACCTCCTAGTAATTATTACTAAGCTGCATACTCACAGAGTTAACCCCAAATCTGTACTTTCTGCTGTTCCGTGTTTCGCCTCAATCGCTGCACCGAAAGTTGCCCGCGGTCCATGGCGTTTTTTGGTCTCTGTGTTTGTTCCCGTGGAAGCTACACTCTAAGCGTTGTTGTTCCTGTTCCTTAGTTCTTTTCCTTTATGTTGATCCATCTGCGGGACGACTGTTCACTATCGACAGGTAATCCAAGCGTCTGACTTTACTCACCTTTGCCATAGCATGTTCTCATGCCGACGTGGGAATAAATTCACATCCTAGCGGGAGTCGGAGAGCCTCCATAGTCCTTGTATATTCCGGAAAGTTAATAGCTGCTATTAGAAATTGCCGCCATTGCCATATCCACCCTCCAATACGAACTGCCGCTCTTTAACCACATTTTGGACGAGGAAGTTAAACCCCAGAGACGCAAGCAGCTCCGCCCCTGCCCCCGTATTGGGGTACTTATCCGTGGACCGTTGGCACTGGCGACGGAATTCTCCGTGAATTGGTTTTGCTGTAGAACCTTTTCCGTTCGATGATACACAGATCCTGCCACTGTTTAAAGTTGACGTAGGTATCAGCCGTTGGTCATTTCTTCACTCCACGGCAGATCCGGATCATTCCAGATCCCTTGAAAGGAGAAATGGTCGTGCTCTAACAACGATTTTGGTACTGCATCACAAAACCTTTTTCTTAATGGCCTCTTCGGTAGTGATCATTGCTATGCATCAGGCCGTTCCGAAGTGTTGGCTGCATTTGTTGCCCGCGAGGAGGAAGATGAACCATGCGTTTCCACCAAGTGTGACGAGGTTTCTAACTCTCATCCCGGAACCATCGCGAGCCGCAGTAGAGTCCAGATAAGAGTTATCAAAACGCAACTGGCCTCTTCTCCAGTCCGCAGGTATCCGGGGCGCTGTTCCCCAAGAGCGTGGGGCTGGGTAAGAGAAGCTGTCGTGATCTCAGTTACAATTAGTGTCGTAGTACATGCAGCCGAGCACAACCCGGGCCCATCTTGTTGCATGCAGATACACTGCATAAAATTTTTCAACACTTAGTAGGTCTTGACAGGCAGTCTAAGCGCAATTAGAAGTACGTGCACAAACTGTGATTTCTCCGGCGGAACACCGAAAGACGCCTAGATTATGAAGTGTACAAGTAACAGGAACTACATATGATACAGTATAATAATTAGAGTTCAAGCGTTTCCATGGCTGTAAGGAAAAGTGTAGTCCTCAACTGGGACGCCGCGCTTCCCCCGAGGTGGCGTCTTTTCCCAAAACCCGTCCGCGGGTCCGCTGCCAGCCTGCGTCCTGTTGAGATGCCCTCAAGGCTTTCACATTGGTCTCTCGACTAGCTTTGGTATCGCCTCAATATGGGAAATTATGGGGTGTTAAGTGTAGCCACAATACTCCTTATGAGTTGTGGGAGTTAAACTTGGTGCAGTTGCCTGCACAGGATCCTGCGGCACTACAGCCTGTCGCTCGCGAAAAAGAGTGTGGCACACCGACGTCAACTGTCTTAGCCCTGGGCTTGCTTAATTATTTATCATATTCTCTTACTTCCGGATAGACATTCAAAGAAGGATAAGGGTGGAATAATACCTGTTCCGCTGGCAGCTGTGCCGCTGGCTCAGCGCGTCTTTTGACCGCAAGGGAACATGGCTGTGCACACCGCTGAGGGATGGGCGCGACTGGAATGTACCGGATTGAAAAAGCAAACATATATCATTTATATCCCATTTTTATAATTTTGTTCCTCTGGCAGGATTCCTTCAAAATCGCCTGTAGGGTCACTTCCCGCAAGCCCCACAGGGACCCAGCTGGCTTCTTCCAGCCCAACTGGGTAACACAATGGAAAAGCCAACTGGAAAACCACAGTTTTCTCCTTTGAACTTTGGCTCTGTAGGTTTTAAGGAGGGAGTAACGGTGTCGCTGGCTTTTGCCTTGTCCTCACCTGGCAGCCTTCCTGAGCACAGGAGAGAAAGGCTGTCCGAGCTGCTTTAGGTTGGGGGAAAAAACCTAGGAAGCTATTATTCATGTACCAAAAAAGCTGTTGCATTTACACCTGCCAGGCAGAAGCTATGCTCTGTGTATGCTCACGGGACGATCACCCAGAGATGCTCACTCTCTAATGCCGCAATCTGCATTTTTTCCGTGCAAACACAATGGAGGCGAGAGAAAGCGAGGAAGCAAATGATAGCGCTAATCATGAACTAGGCTCTGAAGGGTCTGGGCAAAATTCCGCCGGAGTAGGAGCCAAGCCACCTGGGACGACCATCACCGATCTGGGTAAGAGGCGAAGTTTACTCAACGAAAGGGATTGACTTCGGCAGACTAGGTGTAGATATTCCATCACCGGAAAGCATCCCAGCCTATGCATTTAGGTAGTAGAATCGGATGCAGTGAGACGCATGTGTGACCGCGCAACAAAACTTGTAGGGACGGTGATAGGCGTTGCGACAGGAAAGACACTATACTGTGATGAAAAAAAAACTGATTAGATGAAGTTTTTAGTATGTTTTGGGGGATGCAGAACAAGCGAAACTAGCTGCGAAAACGAGCAGCGGATCTGTAGAGCGGCACAGGGAAAGTGGGCAAGGCAGTGTTTCCGAAGACCCCACCAAGCATTCCGTTAGTAGTCAACAAGTGAATGGGCAAGAACGAAGTGTAGCTGCAGTAGGCACAACAGATCCACATAAGGAGATGCTGAACAACACCACACAACGGTTAGACGCACAGGCAGCAATTGACTCAGTGGAGACCGCAGAGAAACACACAGTGGAGGCTGAAGTTCTAGCGAAGCGAACACAGACTATCAGTAATGAATTTTCATCGACTCCCACTTTAGAACCTACCTGGAAGAGAATGCCCGACTGCGAGGAAACAGCCGTTGGCCCAATTAGTTCAGCAACAGGTACAATGGCGACAAATGGAGGTTCTACCCCTGTAGCGTTGCCATCAGGAAGGGCAGCAACACTTCTCTCAACAGCAGTGGAAACCGAAGCACCAGCCATGGAAACACGAAAATCCTTGCCTGAAAAGGACTTCAACGGTGGCAGTCGCCACTCTGACCCTTCATCGAAAACGAGCCCAACTGCGGAACAGCGAAACCCGCCAACTGTAAAATCAAAAGGTGTGCATACACCCAACGATGTCCTGAATGCCTCACCACCATATGAGGAGGAAGAAGATGATTTGCCCACTTTTGCTGACGAAGAAAGCATCGCTTTATATGGCGAGATACGCGATAAGCAAAGGCTACTGTCCAGACAAGGGACAGAGCTAGGACAGAAGGCTGAGCGAGTAGTGCTCATGCGGCAGCATCTGCAGCAACTGAAAGCCGAGGCCGACCATTTAGAAAACCTCGTAGCTGCAAAGGAGGCTCACATAAAGAGTGATAAGCATATGGAGGAGGTGGCAGTTCGCCAATCCAGCAAGCTCAAAACCGAGGTGCAGCAGCAACAGCAACAGCAACACCACCTCCAATCTAGACTAACGGCACTGCAAGTGGGCGTTGCTAAGGGGCAGGAACAGATGGATTGCTTCAAACTACGGATGAAGTGGAATGAGGAGGAACTGTCCCAATGGCGTTCAGCTGCCCACCAAAAAGAAGTGAGGCGCATGCGCCCCCACCCACAATTTGCGGGAGTATTCCCGAGACAAAGTGAAACACTAGTGCATTCCCCAGTGCGACGTACCACATATCCCACTGATCCCAAATAAGTGGGGTTCTATGTATGGCTAGAAGCTTTTCGCACTGCCTCTTACATGACGCGTGTACCACTACAGTTTGCATGCCTATGGGTGCTCGTTTAATGCCGTTCCTCATGCTACTGATCTACAAAAGTTCATGTTTTATTTTTGCTGCATCCTGTGTCCGGTGCCTTAATCTGTGAGGACGAGAAGTGGGAGGCACGGTGACTCATTTTGCTCTGTCCCGGACCTTTAGGAGGACTTAGCATGCCTCGCCGAGTTCAAGAAAAAAGATGACGCGCGAGCTGCAGGGCTAATGGCGCAAGCACAGCGGGCCTCTACCGAAGTGAATGAGGCAAAGAAGCGCCTACAAGAGGAGCAAACGGCAGCGCGTGCCGCAAGGGCAGAGCTCCAGCGGTCTCTAGAGTATTTTGCCGAGCAACAGAAGGACAGAGCACTTCTAATCGCGCAGGGGTGAGGCCACAGAACCTGCGTGCGGGAGTCGGAATGTGCTGCTGCACTTTATAAATCTCCCCTCCATTTTAGATGATGACACATCCCGAACCTCAATTTAAAGCTTCTGTGGGCAGCGAAACGACTCTAGAGGAGATGTGGAGGAGCGATTCTCGCATTGCACGCTCAACGAATGCATTTGAAAGCGCTCAACAAAGACTGAAGCAACAGTTGGAGAAGCTAGGTAGCACCAAGCTTTACGACTGAATTGAATTCAACTTGCTCGCCCGCAGAGCTGTAGAGATCGCCTCTGACGCTTTCGCTGTGGACGCATTTGTTCTCCTGCCACTGACATTGGTGGCGAGGTGCTCTTCGTTATGTAACATTCAGTTTCAACTACGCGCGTGTGTGAGCAGCGGCTGCCAAGGGGTTTGCCCTCAGACAGCAAGTTCAAAACAAGGAACTTCAGGCTTTAATAGCCAGCTTAGAGCAACAGTTAAGCCTCTGCAGGTCGAGCTACTCCAATGCAACGATGGCCGTTAGCCAATTGACAGAAGAGGTTAGCAACAATGCAGTAGGGCCACTGAGGAGGTGTATACAGCACAACGTGTGTTGATGAATCTGACAACTCGTTAAGGGTGACATGCCATTTCTTATCAAAACAGCATTCACATAGGCAGCATAGAACGATTCTGGAATGCACTGGAGATTAAGGGCAAGACACTGCTGCAATTGGCTCCGCCCTGTTGTGGACGGGCATTATGACAGATTAGGCAATCATTCGAGTTCAGCCAACAAGGGGAGAGCTTAAGTCCCTGTCTCTAAGAAGGATGCAGCGCATTATGCTGCCCTGGCCTTAAAAGTGTGTCTTTTCAGGTGGCCAGTCTGAGAGGGCAGCTCTCCGCTACAGCTACTAGAGGAAAAACAGCAAAAGGGCAGCTAGTGGAGCTCCACGAGAGCCTCGCCATTCAAAAGCAGCGTCTAGAGTCCATGAATAAGAAAAAAGAGGCAGCGCAGAGAAAGCTAGCGAAGGAACAGGAAAACGTTCGATCGGCTGGGGAGGCGGGAGATGCGAGAGAAGCGTTTCACGCTCAGGTAGCTGCCCGGCTGCAGCAGCTGCAGCAGAAGGTCAAGTCAAGCAGAGACAGTCTATTTGGAGTAGCGCAAAGGCTTGCAGAGGAAAAGACAACACTGAAGATGAAACGGGGAGGTTTAAGTAGCTCAAAAAATGCCTTGAGGAGTCTTCATGTAAGACACTACCAAAGTGTGACGGTTCACACCGCGGCAAACTTTAACTCAGGTCCTTGGGGAGTAATAGTGAACAGAAGAAAAGCACTAACTGCGAGCTGTTGCATGCTCGAAAATATTAGTTGCAATGTACTTCTGACTTCCAGATGCCCTGCTGCATACTTGGCCAAAATTTCTAAGAGTGGTGGCTTTGTCGGCCAACATATTGTTTCCTGCAGCATCTAGGAAGATGTTATTTGGCCAATCTGCTACTGATCGTGTAGATGCATGCCTGTTCGTACTGCCTGAACTTTTCAACTCCCAAACAAATATGTGAATATATGTAAAAGGATCGTTCCGTGTAAGATGCCAGCGCCAACTAGCCATGCTCTCATTACTTCAGGCCCAGCTGCAACAGCAGGAGGCAGAGAAAAGCAGACAACAGGAACTGCTGTATTCTATTGACTTCCAGTGCCAAGCAATGCAACGGAGAGTCTCTCGCATCTCGGGTTATAAGACTGCAGCAGAGACAAAAGCCCTTCAGAAACAGATGAAGGAACTACAAGCTGTGGGCATCAGTCTCCTTCGCTTCCACCCCGCTAGGCAAAATGTAGCTCAAATAAATGCACCGTATTTGATCCATATGTGCGTAAGGGAGTTGGCGTATGCGTTCTCGATAATTAGGAATCGCAACTGCAACAAGAGGAACATTCAATGCTCTCCTCTCAAGTCAAGCACCTTGATGGTGAATTAAGGTAAAAGTGTCGAGTATCATTTTAGGCATCCCTGGACTCACCAAACACAAATGATCACATGGAATGTGCAGCACCCTAAAGGAAAAGTTCACTGAGAAATTGTGTATGCTATCCCTACTGGGCAGGAAGGCTCAACGAACACTTGCGAGGATTGATGAAGAGGACAGTCGGTGTGCTAACAACGTGGGAGACCTTCGTCTGGCTTGCGCCTCTCTTGACCGAGAACTACAAACGACTGTCAAGCAGAAGGAGAACCTGGTTCTTGCCGAATCTCTCAGAAAGCTCGAGGTCATCATAGACCGTTGATATTACTCCTTAAAAGCTTTAACTGTGGACGCCGCTGGAAGCAACAAAAGATTCAGAGTATCATCCAGTCAGTCCCTGCGCTGTTTGAGAACATTACTACTTTCCAGAGCTGCCAAGTGCTTGGTTCCGCTGTCATCATCAGGTCACACGGCTTCATGAGGAATTGGAGGCTTGCGCCGATGCCTCTCTCGAAGCAGAGAACAGGAAGGTGCAGCATCAGCTACAGGTGCAAGAAGCCATCGCTGCCATGGACGTTGAGCTGGATGGCGCTAGAGGACAACTGGTGAGCCACCACGTGAAAACAACATTACTGCCTGAGTTTGCGGGTTGGAAAATCTGTTCTCTGGTTATCCGAGGAGTTGAAACGCCTAGCAACGCCTTCACTTGTCGATTGAGTGCTTGTGCGTCTATTTTCCGGCTCAGCGAGCGGTGGAGGAAGAGAGGCGCAAGCTAATCAAGGAGGCAGCAGAGAGGAAGTCCAAAATATCAGCGCTGGAGGCGAGATACGAAAATGTTGTGCAGGTGAATCTGCGAATGCAGCTTTTGCTGCTGCTTATGCGCGTTGTTCCGATCTAACGACATCAGGCACACGTCTATCATTTGCACATGCTGGACTCCGCTAATGCAGATGTTAGTAGTCGTCGCTGCTGCCTGCAGGTCTCGACGAACCACATAGAGGAAGTATGTAAAGTGTTTTGTTTGGGCGTACGCTCAGAGCAGCCAGACGGCCGATGGCGCAGGACGTTCCCAGGCCTACTACGTCATTCGTGTTGGGCAGGTATCTTTAGCATATTGCACGGCTGCTCAGGCCGCAGAGGCCTATATGCTGATTTTACACCTCTTTAGTAAAGGCTGGAGTCGTTATAACTGGCTCTCAAAAAAACCGACAAATGTTAAACCTACTGGTTAGAAACGTGAATTATACTAACCTGTTGCAGGAGCGCGAGGAGCTTCAGCGGAAGGGAGCTGAGATGCAACGCAGGCTGCAGAACGCTAGTGTCGAGGTACAGGGCCTTCAAGCTTCTCTAAAAGATGTATCTCTCTCCAACAGCCGCCTGCGTTCCAGGCTTCAACAAGAAACCGGAGCCCTTGGTTCCCTACGTGAGCAAAGAGCAGAGAAGGAGGGGGCCCTCTTCCTACGAAATCATATGGTTTTCACACAGCAACAGCAAATCTGCGTACTAAAAGAAGCTATCGAGAAAGAAGAGCGCTGCCTCGAACAAACGAGGCAGAAACACCAGTGTATTCTGGACAGACTGAAGGTGAGTCAAAAACTCCCATCGTCAAGAAGGCGTTTGCCCCCTGTAGAGGTACAGAAGGCGCCTGGAGGTTGTTTTGAGGAAGCAGTTGGTACCATCAACTTTAGGAGGGGAAGTCCAGTCCGTCGTGGACGTGTGCTGAAGCTGTCGCACCGGCGTTGTAATTACATTACTCACTGCCAACTATTGCTGCAGGACATTGACGAAAAGAGAAGAAATGTAGAGAAAGAGAGCGACTACATCGATGAAAAACTGCAGCGTTCGATGAAGCAGAGGCTTAAGCTGCAAACGAGCATACAAAAACGCCGTCGGGTTGCTGCACCCTCAAGTCAGCCGGTAGAGGTGAACGACGAGTGCCAATTCTGCAATGCCGAGATACAGTGTCACGCGGAGTGCCTCAAAGGCATGTTGCAGAGTCTTTATCGCTCCATGGGGTAAGAAAGGCGAAAAATGATTGTGGCGGCGAGCTATAGTGCTCCATAGGATACGCTGATCATGGCTACTGCCTAACATTATAAAACCGCTTGCGGCTTGCAGCAGAATAGCTACGCGTTTCCATAGCATCTTTGGCTGACAAGGTTTCTTGATTGAGAGGTGCAAAACTTCCTCAGGCCAACTATGGCTTCCCAGCCGCGTGCATTTGAGTCTCTTCAACGAGCACTAGGGGAGGGTAAGGATAAGGGAAACTGCGTTGACACATTAAGGGAGGCCTTATTCCCTTCGCGCGTGCCACAATTAGTGGACATTCAGTGTCAATTTTCACTACTTGTCAGCTTAACTGAGTATCGAGATGAACGCTTCGCTTCTGGTTTTACCTGACTTGACCCTGTTGATTCACAGTTAAATAGTAAAGCTAACGGAGGGTTTCGGGGCTAGAGAAGGTGATGACGGATGCGTGCCTCGAACTACAATGCAGGACTAGCTACTTCTTCTTTCGATCTTTCCCTCTTCGACAGAGCGTCATCCCTCAGATGATACACGAGGACAGCGCTGCAACCGTAAGTGCGTGTGTTAACTGTCAGTATGATCTCCTTAAAGGGGGTTCAAAACGTCACCAACTTTGCTCAGACGTCAGAAGCGCATACTGGCGAACACCTTTCAAATAGCGTTGTGTGCCATCTGGATGCACAACTGCTCATACAATGGGTATTCAGGTACTGCTGAATATGTAACAAATGCAGGCGTTGCACTACAAGTGCCACTCTTCAAGCACAATGCTGTATGATACACTGCCATCTACCTTCTGAGTCTGCCGTTTCTTTTATCGGCGTTATTGGCGACTAGGCGGACGACCCCGGGGAAGATGAAGACTAAAATTCTATTTGATATGCTAGTTTTGCCGCTTCTTTGCGTTTTTGCCGCAAGCCCTTCCCCGACGTCGTATGGTGCGAGCAATATTTTAAAGAAAAAACTGCCCTTGGACGTAGGCGGTGGTGAGCAGAGCATGTTGTAAGCTGCAAATTTGCCCGCTTCACAATGGAGACAGACAAAGAAGCAAATCCACTTGGAATCCCTCGAACTCTCGTAAGGACCCTTGGTTTTCTAGAATACGTGAACACTGCGTTTTCTATGTCCTATTATTTACATTTGCCGTTAGAACGGTTACTGTGGCTAGTCATCTCGGTCACACAGGCATTCAGCATAGAGACAGCCCTTTCAAGAGGCGTAGCTCCTCTAACCACATGCCGCCAAAACAATCAGGACTTTAGAAAACCCACCCACGACATGCTCAGATTCAAGCGATATCTTTGGAAACCAAAGTCCTGTTTCCACAGATTTCGCTTGAATTTGGGCATCTGTGGAGGGTGGCTCTTTCAAGGATGGACAATAGCTGAAAGTTGTAGCAACAGGAAGCCGTGAATACAGGCAGCGCGTAGAGAACGATAGTAGGTTTTTGCGTCTATTCTGTCCTTGTATACTCACTGTTCAAGTTCAACGGTGCACACTTTATGCCAGGCAAGCAGTGGAAGGTTGATTCAAGCGATCAAATGCATTGAGAGTGTTAACGCTTTGAATCCATGGGTGAGGTGACAACGGCACATGCGGAGTTTGCAACCAGAAGGCGTTCAACTTGAGAATTTCCGGATATTTAGTACGCATACAAACTGGGTGCTTTTCTTGCCACGCCTTGGGATGTAATGTAGTTCACTCTTCTGGAGCACTGATGCTGTTATCAAGAGCTTGGCAGCTGCACTGCGGAGGGTTTAGGTCCTGTTATTTTGTAGTAGCGGGTTCAAAACATACTGTGGGGACATGAAGTACCTGTCACCTGTGACGCGCCTCACCAATGCGCAGTGGACGAGATGTTTTTATACTAGTACCAATGTTACCAACAGCCTTTTCGCCTTACGTATTTTTGTTGCGAAACGTCCTCCATGCTGATATTGGCCTAATTGGGTGTATCGATCCATCGGTGAGGAGGACAGCTAACGTACCAGCATTCTATGCAACGGCGACATTCCAAAGCCATCCCGGAGAATCAGCCTACGGCAGCTTCTGAACCGTCATCCAAAATAGTACATTACCTAGAAATGGAGCCGGTGTTCCCATAATTCATCCATAAAAGATACCAGCCACATGCAGCAGAACTAGTTCAAAGCGTTTTTCTGGAACGGGTTACTCTGCCGACGGACGCACGAACAAGCGAGTACTGGTCAGTTAGGATTTCCCCCGTCTACCGAAACCATATAACTGCACGAAATACGTGTGTAGAAGGAGGTGTGAGCCCTACTTCAGTGGCGTGATGGCAGCAGAGGTAGGTGGCACATACCACCTGGTACTCCTCTGCCTGAACAACATCCAGTGAACAGTAGAATCTGTGAGGTAGACTTTGGATTCACGCTATTTTCCCCCCTCCTTCTGCATGAGGTTTAGCGTCAAACTATAACTATTGCTCTGGGAGTTTGGAGATATCTCGAGGTTTTGGAGGCCTCGAACAACATCGAGCGTTGAAGCCCGGCGGATACCACACTATCAGTCCCATCCACACCAGACATTCGTATCCCGTTTTGGCAAAACTTGCTTTGTATGGATGCCGTTAGACCCAATTAAAGCATTTGCTTCAAATAGGATATAATGAGATGAAAATGTTGCCACCACCTAGTGATCGAGGTCACCTTTTCGGTCTTCCCCACCATCACTGAAGTATCCTCTGGTTACTGAGCATTCCTGCGCATTCGCAACATTGAAAATATAGTTCGTTTGTAGGGACAGAACTAAGAACCTCTGAATACCTGCTCAAGCCGTACAAGAAGTACTTCGAGCGTTTCGTTGCTCGGTACCCGCGTCTAGTCGGTCGTAGATCCACTGGTAGTGTTTTCTATGACACTATAGCATATAGTGCCCAATCTAGCCTTGAACCATAAAAGCAGTAGTTTGGATTAGCATGAAAAGTTTTGAATGCCTCTCGTGAATCATTAGTAGACTACCGCTGGTGGGCAGATCCCGCCTCCGGAGTACGGACCAAGACAAATCCTCATGCCACATACTCACCGGTTTGCATTCATCCTTTTAACTAACAGGGATAGAGACACAATGAAATTGCAGGACTAAGAGAAGGAAAGGTGCTTGTACTCTCAACTGCAAGGCCGAATTTAGGCAGTCTCTTGGAGGACCTTGCTTCCCGGGGATCGCTGGAAGCTGTCCTCTCCCTGTGCATCTCAGCTTCCCTCTGTGGGGAACTATTTGGGACAAATATAATTCCTTCAAGGAGTCATTGCTTCCTCGGCGCCGGCGAACTGCAGCAATGAAGACTCCCTTACCCCGTCGAAAACCGTTGATGCTGCTATCGTGCGGCTCCAGACCCGAAGGGTTTTGTTCCTTTTCTGATGGTCGTATATGCGAACTCTCTGGAGGGTATCTTCGTGTCACTCATTTGGCTGGAGAAACCGAATATATTTCGTTAGATGATATTCCCGGAAAACCAGGGGAAAGCCAAGAAGAGACGAGCCAACCGCCGTACGTCTTCTGCGCAAGCCACGACACAAGAAGGCTATTGGCTCTCGGGGCAGCAGGCATCAAGGCAACGATTCAGGTTCTCCACCTCTCATGCATTCCTCCGAAGTGCGCATGGAGGCGCACACTCACCAATGCTAGTCCAGTGGAGATCATCTCTCTCGAGTTTTCACCATGCGGGCGCCGATTATTTTGCCTGTCGGTGGGGTTGCAAGAGGCCAAAAATCGGCATTCGCAATGCAGTCAAACCGTTTATCATGTTACAGTTCTGGACACGGCTGATGGGGAAGTTCATGCTTGTCATTTACTGCAGTGGGATGAATCCGCGTCCTGCCCCACCAGGCTACTTGCCGGAAACAACGATATATTTGCTGTCATATCAGATACTAACTTCATGCTCTTGCAGCTACTTCAGAGCAGTGAAGACAAAGTTATCACTTCCGGGCTACTGCTCCCAGTAGTTCCGGGCCTCTCCCTCAGCTGTGGGCGAGACGTAATAATTTCTGGGGCTTGCTGGGTAGATGCTACAGTGAACGGGACTCAGAATAGCAGCAACCACAGTTTTCTTTTCTTGGCACTGAGCAACAAAATGCTTCTTTCAGTCGGTGCAAGGTGCCTTGGGGCTGATGGGCTGTTCCTTGCTTGGGCCACTATCGCTGAAGAACCGTACATCTCTCTATCAGCGGAGAATGCGACAGGTGTCTTGTTCGGGTTAACAGAGTCCTCAACCCTCCATATTTACAAGCTTAATGAAGTGGTAGCTGGGAGAATCCTTCAGGACACGGAAGTAAGTGGGCTTCTTCCTCTAGAACGATACTACGCCTCCCCAGTAATCCGAACACCCGAGGCTGTATGCAATGAATCGTTCACCCTCATTCACACTAGTAGACACAAGGAAAACAGCTTGCGCAAGCATAAGGAGGATATGAGTTTTTTAGTGTTCCTGTGGGCACTGGCGCTATTCATGTGCACTGGTTCTTATTATTTGTGTGTTCTTCAACAATGCAGGGAAACCAAAAGAAAGAGCTGAAGGCTCATCTCACTCGGTTGCTTCAGGACCACCCGAAAAGGGGTAGAGTTTCACCTCTTAAATCGGATGCTCCAGGAGAAACGTTGTCCACTTTCTTCCCCGCTAACGGAATATCTGGACCATTGCTGGTGCTGGAACGCCAAACTCCCATTGATCTCCCAACAGCAGTTAACCCGCGTAATCGCGTTGCTTCCATTCCACCAAACATGTGAGGCTGCCGCCCAGCTGTGCCTCTTCGCCATGCATATCAGCCGTAACTTTGAGTGTTCAAATCCGTTCTTTTCTTAGACATATTTCAGTGGGGATGGGGGATAGATATTTTCGGGTGAAGCAAGAGGTTCGACTGCAAGATTGACCCAAATGCGAACTCCCCCGCGATACCGATGTACCCGCTGCTGGAAAATCTTGAGACCCTTTGGGTGTGATTATTCATGAGCTTAGGAAACGGGGGTCTCTACGACTACTTAACAGCCGCAGTGATGAGCTAGCGCCACTCCTCCTGTTCGATGGAACAGGCTGCATGTGGTGCCTATCTAAAGATAGAGATATCCGGGCATGTTCGAAGCGTCACAACACACACAAAGTGCTTCTACTGGCATAGCCGCTGAGATTTGCTCTTCATTATCTTGTCAAGCTTGGCATGCAACTAGTCCTGACTCACACAATATATAATCGAAGTTTAAGTGAAAAATGCAAATATTACTACAAATTGGCTTCAGTACCTTAAACTTGAATTAATAATAAACGCATCACAATGTGATCTAAGGAAAGCCAGTTAGCGCCGAACTCGAAAAGCACTCACAAACTCGCGAGTATCTTTGGTGCTTCTGTATCAAGCGCAAGGAAAACTGTCGCAGCATGCGCTGCACATCCTGCTCATTTTGTCCCTGGTTTTGCTTATGCGTTAGGGATTCTGATGCACTGATACAATTCTTACGCAGGCTGAAGTACGCAGTGGACGGAGCAGCCCTCAAGAGGTCGACAAATCCTTGGCGACCGATGATTCTGATGGCGACGACAGAAAGTAAGGATGAGAGCATTCTGCTAACCCACTTCTCGTAGTTGTGTAAAACGCTGAGCAGCCATGCAGTAGCTTTAGCGAGTTCCTCTGCTCCTACTATGCAGTGAACTGAGCTGGGCTCCTGCTGTCTGCGGTGGCTTTTTTGGTGGACTCGTCGGTATGACGCTTGCGTGTGACGCCTGCGACTCCCGCCATCTACGTTTGCGCTTGACGGCAGCACGTGCGGCAGGAACAGTCACGTAAGGAGCATCTACACATTCGTGAAGCTTTGCAGTACCCTCAAACTACCTGCGCCATGGGAGAGATTAACAGCGAGGCCACAAATAGGTTCGCACACTTTAATCTGATGGTTTATATCGCGCGGGAACGGGAATTCAGCCGATGCTGCCGCCACATACCAAAACGCTGCTTTCTTCTTAGACATGCATGCATACGATATTTCTTCGCGTAGGATAGTTGTGGCTAGTTAATGGGAATGATGAACTGTCGTCTTTTTGTAACGCTGTAGGGAGTGGGACATATATGCAGAGATTGACAAAGAAGCCCTCAAAGTGTCTTCCAAACTGTCTAACTGCATCCATACTGGCTTACCCATAAGCTGCTTAGGGTACATCGTGGATGGTGTATCTGGCAGTAAACATAAGCCCGAAGAGAGCTCGGAGCACTGGCTCATCCTGGGTTTTCCTGATGGCGCAGTTGCATGCGTAGAACACGGCATTGTCCGCCAAACATGCCGGTGAGTCCACCAGAGTGCGCTAGTGAATCATTCGCCAACATCTGCGAACCCGTCGTGCAGTATCCACCAGTTTTCAGTTGAATGCCTAGCTGTGGGCTTTTGGCAAGGGAAGGATGCAATATCAACTGCAGAAAGGCCATGATGACCAACGATGCACCAGCAGAATAATTTTATTGCTCCTTTTCCGCTCCATAGGGTGTCGAGGGGCCCAATCAAGAGCCTGGTGGGGACAAGGATTCTAGGCGTCCCTTCTGCCGTGCCACGAATGGACCAGCGTTGTTTCCCTGGTGCAGCAGGCAGAGCCGGGGAGGTGGCGTGGGCTGCAATCTGCTCCAGTGGAGAGGTGGCCTTTTTGTTGTTACCAGCAGACATCGCAACGGAGGACTTCGCCATGACTGTTGTGAAGAGGTTCTTCCTGGCCTCCTGGCTAGCTGGGAACACACCTACTGTAATGCAAATCACGAAGCCTATGGTATTTCATATTAGACGTTTGCTCGTTTGCTCGTAGCATAGAGAAAGGAAAGAAAACAGTCACTGCTTACCCGGCCTGTTTGCCTGCAGTCAATGCCGGCACAAGGATGCACATCATCTACCCGTCTTCGCCTTCCAGAAGGTAACGGCTGTTGGGTGGAGGAGGGACCTCAGATTTGGCGAACACTCCAGCCCCACGATGACAAACAAACTGGCCATTCAGAAGCTCCTTTTGGAGTGTTCGCGCTGGGGTTCGGAACGACAGTTTTTGACACCCCGCTGAGCGGCATTGCCTTTTTCGCACCCCGTGTTGACGGTGATGGGGCCTCATGCCACCCACAAGTAAACCTTGCAGAGGGAAAAAACCTGTAAAATGGGGTAGTGAACTGCACTGTGACATCAGCTACAGAAACAACCTGACTGTTCCGCATGCCATGCCAGCGAGGCCTATTATAAGACTTCAGAAGAGCTTCCTTTTCAGCATAAGAAGCCATACACGATGAAACGCAGGCAATTGCATATTGTAGGACGTATCTAGGTGAGCGCGTTTCACAGGGATACTGCGCACGCTTGTGCGGCTTTGTTCTACCTTAGGTTTGTTGCAGTCGATTGAGTGTATCACCAGTCAGCCTCGCGAGCTGCGGTCCCCTTTTGGTGGTTGGCACCGCATTTGGAGGGGTTCTGGTATTCAGTACGCAAGACCTCATAGGTGAAACGTACAGCTGTGTTGAAGGATTTGCTGCTGCTGCAGCTACAACCCCGCTGACTTGTTTATCACTCGGCTGTCTTCCGATACAACGCATAGAACTCTTCTGTTACAGCGGCAACACGGAGACACGCGCAGACCAAAAACGGGTCCCGGCATCCCCAGCAGATATTACAGCCCATTTGTTGGCCGTACAGGCGGATGGGACAGTCTGTGAGGAGATGGTGCATCCTGGATTGCTGCAGACATCCCTTTCACGCTCCCTTCTTCACGACAGGAAAATGCATAGCCAAGCGGCGGGGGACGCCTGCAGAGTACTGCCAGCAAATACAGCACCCGTATCAACTTTGTTAGGAAGCGGCGGTCTCAACAACTCTCCCGTCCTCACAACAGCACATGTAGATGGTGGACCTTTGGCCGTTGCCATTTTAGGGGCCCCAGGCGTCCTCCAACTGTGGCTGCTAGCAGAAGGAACAGAACAACAAAGGTTGAGTACTGAATGGACAACCCCCCCAACCTCACTAAATTTAAAGTTTTCCTGGTAAGACCAATCCCTTGGAGCGTTGATGCAGGCTCCCTGTGGAGACAGGTGGATGAGTAGTTAGCTTAGCAACACGCCATTGCCCGCAATCATAGAGCTTCCAATCCAACGACTACAACTGGACCCAACACTGTTGCTTTGGATTGAGTTTGCATGCAGCTCTGCTGCATTCGATTTTGGCTCTTCGGCAGGAGAAATGTTTCAGTGTCGAGAAACCCAGGGAGATATCCACAAAAGCCCCTCTAACCTTGCATTGTCACCAAAGAGGCCACGTTTTCATTTGACACGCCGCCGATCAATGGCTTCAGAAGTGAAGACACAACTTGACGCTATACTACAGGAAAGGGATGATCTTCAAGGAGAGTTGCAAGCTCTTCTCAGCAGAGCTGCAGTGAGGGTGTTCTGCTAAGTCTAGCTCAATGTTGAATCAAGAGCGTATCTTGGTGCCTGCCAGAAAAGTTGCGAGGACCGTCGCACCCACCAAATCTGCACTGGTAAGCACTATTCTGGCAACCATTATGTGTCAGGAAACACCTGCTCTTCGCGGTCTAGAAGCAGAAGCAGCGAACGTGGATGCGAGTGTTCGGATGATCGCTAACGAAAGAGCCGTATCAATTCAACAACAGAAGCAGCGGCACTTATTGTTGCTTCAGCACGCGTTTTTCGCATTTCATCAAAACTTGGTGCAACATTTGCAAGCTTCAATCCTCACTGCTCCTAAAGAACTCAGTGTTGCGGCTGAAACCAACGGAGAAACAATCAACGCGAAGACGTACCTCTCCTTCAGGAAGAAGCTGAGAGAGAAGGCATTGTCGAAAAAAGTTCTCTTTTTGAGGAAAGTTCAGAGAGGCTCAACGCTTCATGTGGATATGATGAAATAAATATTTTGGCTCTTAGCGATGCCACTGAGCCAAATTGCCTCACTCTGCAACCGTTTGTTAATTACAACTCAACTCTTTCTGCATGGTCATTAGATCAGTTGACACCTCTTGAGGAATACGCAGCTTCTTTCAGAATGAGGTATTTGATGGTCCTGCTTTGTTTCAGGAAACTTCAGTTGAGGGAGGATGAATGGGTAAGGCGAATGACCCCAGTCCATGAATCAATGCTACACATGCAAGAAGACGACCTTGCACATCCTCTTGAAGGTTTCGCAAGAAGCGCACAAGAATATCTGGCCTTCTACTACGCCGCAGATGCAACGCATGGTGACAAAGAGTATCCACGTGACGTGCTGCTGCGGCATGTGTCGTGAAGACGGGTGCTAACATTTCATCTTGCATGCACCATGAACAGCCTTGCGCCATTAGTCCGGGAAAATTGCATGTTGTGCCTGTGAAAATCTACATGTAGGTGGTGTAGAAGCTAAGGGGCTGCTGCGGGAAGCGGCGATACCTGGTCAAAATACCTCAAGTGGATCGGAGATACCAAACCATCGCGGAACGATATACTCGCAAGAACCCCTAAAACTTCTTAGAAGGATGCTGCAGAATCCACTAGGGGTATTATCTAATGCCTCGCGCAGGATGCAATTTTGGATTCTACGCGAGATATCGGAGGAGGTGTGTTAACGTGATATGTGCAGGCCTTGACCAACTGGAAGGTGGTCATGATACAGAATATGCCGCTCACCCAGTAGTGCTGTAACGTTATTAGTTGGCCACTACACTTAGCGATTTCAGTCATCGCACACTAGTAGAGGAAAGTTCGTCATGCTCCCATGCCAAATTAGTTCTTTGTCCATCCTTATATGTGCCTGCACAGCTCCAAGCATCGTTCAATCGACAGCTAGAAGAGTGCAGCAGAGCTATCCTTCGCAAAATAGACAAAATGCAGCAGCAAGCTACGAAAGCAAGGGAATGCGCATCTCAGCTGAACGAGGCCATAGATGCTTCAGCTCCAGAGATGTCCGTACCATCCAGTGCCGACGCTGTAAAAGACTTGGTGGGCAACTTATGGAAAAGTACCAACGTGCCCATCGTCTGTACATGACAGAATGATGAGTGGCTGTTCGCTTGCGAAATAGGCCTGCCGAAAGATGTGAGATGCAGCACTTGGCCCCGTTTATGCTGTTTGGCTTGCAGGAAAGTGCACTGAAGAAGACGAGTACATCAGGCGTCCCTGGAGGCGATCATGGCGCAGCACCCTCAGCAGGAGGAACCAATCCTACGGACTCAGGGGCCAAAAGAGCCCTTGATAAAATGATGGGGGGGAAACTGCACACCGAAAACGCCTTCACCTCACTTGAATTTAAAGCCGACAAGTGGTGATTAAGTCTCACCTAAACACTTCACCTATGCAACGAAGGTTTGGAAAATTACCTATCGTTTTCCCTCTCCTGGACGGTTTTCCTGTGAGTACCCCGTGCTGCAGTGCAAACAACGACTGCCGCCTCAACTGGTGTTTTGCGTGCCACCGGTGCAATAGGGAGGCGTGGATGGAAACTGTTGCTCCAGAGGCGATGACAGACGCACAGGCAACGAAGTTTGCCGCATATCAAGAGCAGCTAAGGGCCATTAAAGAGAAGCAGGAAACCGTGAGGGCAAAGCTTCAGGGGGAGTTGAAAAAAATGAGGTATGGCAATACAAAAGGCTGTAGACGGACTGTTGTGGACAAATCCAGGCAGTGACGAAAGGGGTCGCATGAGACGTACGAACAGGGATACCCTAGATAGGCTTTTGGAGGTCAAGGGCAACACCTTAGAGATGCAAGCGGTGAAAACACCTAAAAGTTATGTAGTGTTAGCTATGGAGAGGAGAAGGCCTTAGTGGCGGAATGCCAAACAAATAGGAGTCTCTCCCATCGAAGTTGCTACCCCTGATAACCATAAGAAACAGATATGCGGTTGCTTTCTCATACAGGAACGAGCTCACCGCCACTGCAGCGCAGCTCCGTGCTGACCTTCAAAACCTGACAGACTGGAAGTGAGCAAGCTCGATCAGATGTTACGAGGCGTAGCCAATGCAATACGGGTGAATAGGGCTAACGAACACGACGGGAAAACACAGTGTAAACGAAGTTAGAAGCCAACAGTCCACCCTGTGTGGACTATCAGTCACGCCGAATCATCTCAAAGCAGTGGTTCCCTTTTTTGCCCCGCCTATCGAAGGCGGCCGTTAGGACGTCCAGCCGTCCTCTTTACTCGGCCATTTAGAACATTGCCTTTGTGGCAAGCGGCAGCTGGGTCTGGTGATGACTTTTCTGGTCTTGTTGAACCATGCTAGGCTCGTCTATGAGGAGGAATTGTTACTCAATGAGTTAGCAAGCGCACGACTCACGGAGACCATAACGCAGGAGACCACATGGAGGAAGACTGGAGCAGAACTGCGAGCGAGGCTCGAGGAATCTAGATCAGATGTACAAAAAGCAACTCGAGAAGTTCAGAAGCAGCAGTGCGCTTGCTGGCTGCTAGAGGATGAACGCACAGCCGCTCAGCGTGAGCAAAAAGATAAGGCAGCTGCCTTAACAGCTGCGCTTGGGGCCGGACACGTGCCTTCCGAGGTGCTGGCAGTTGTCAGCAAACGCCTTGACGATGCGTGAGACTGTGCCCGTCCAAGAGCTAGACACAGATTCTCTATCAGTGCAACGGCGTTATCACATGCGCTTATCCCCTAGTGCTTAAGCAGGAGATGCTCACCAAATATCTTCACACTATGCTCTGTTGCAAATGCAGATCAGCTCCACAGGAAGTTCAGGAACAGGGGATTTCCACTGAAACAGGCGAAGAACCAGAGAAGGCTCTCAGGAGGGAATGCGCTGCCTTGAGCTGCCGCCTGGACATGGTAATTGATTCACTCAGGGTGAGCAGTGACTCCTTGCTTACTCACGGCCGACATTCGCAATCGGATGTAAATCCACTCACACCGGAGCAAAGCACATTGTTAGCTCACGTTGCCAACGATGAAGAATAAATTGCATGCCCAGAAACTTAAACGGTGCCAGGTGTGCCAATGCCAGGCAGAACTTGGCACTGGGTCGGAAGGTCCTGTGTGCAAGCTTCTGGAGGCGTCCCGTGATAATGTCTACGCCCAGCGACGGCTAGTCCTTGCCTCTGAAGCGGCAGAAGCAGAGCAGCAGAAGCTGGCATGCATCAAAGCGGTACTTGGCGCCCCCTGCATTGTGAATTAATCAAAGACAGAGCTCATAGTATGCGTGACATGAACAATTTGTCCATGACGCAAACCTGAAATGTACAATTCTGAGATCCCCCTCGTTGTTATCTCTGCAGAGATTAGAACTGAGCCAGAAGGAAGAAGTAGCCCTTCGTCTCCAGCTGGAAGCGTCTTCGGAAGCCTGCGAAGAAGCTCAGCGCGACGTTGACTTGCTGCTGAGGGTCAAAAAAGGAATTGTTGGGGAGCTCCCCTTGCCTATCGCTGCTCTTCGCGAGCCCTTCGATTTTTCAGATTCGTGCCTCGTTAGCAAAGAGGCCGTGGATAACTATAAGCAAGATATCATCTCAAGTGGACGGCAGAAGCTCAAGATCCTTCAAGCCATCAAGGTCAGAGGTTAACTTCATAACTGTGTAGTTTTGTCCGTTGGGCGGAAATACTTATCAGTGGCTGTGCTCAGGTTCTTCAGAAATTTAGACTCTAGTGTGTGCACACACCAAAAATCGCAGGCACTCCGCCGGCAAGTTGAAGCAATACAGTGGAGAACGCGTCTCCTGGAGCTTGAGGCAAAAGATGTTAGTGAGAGGACAAAGGACATTCATCTTCTCCGCATAACCAGAAGCATGCAGCGAATTTTGCAATTGCCAGGTACGTCTGGTGGTGCTGCAAAAGCTGCGTATGCTCACGCCAGTCCTGCTCCTGTCCACGGGAGCGGCCATCTATTCCTTTGTTGTTTGGTGGAATAGCAACTACAATACATCTAGGCGTTGCACAACTCGACATAGGCAATCCTCGAGGTGCACTAGTTTTATACCGGCATTTTTGGTGAATTCAGCCTCAAAGAAGCCATTTGTTTTTAGGAGGGAATGCCCCCACTAATTGTTCGGCCGTAGTGACAAAACAGCAAAGGGAACCTGGCAACCACCAGTGGGCCTCTCAGTTGCCTACAGAGGGCTTAAAGGATGGCCAAGATAGTGAGGTTCAACTCGAAAGACTTGAAGTAGCGCGAGCCAAGCTGGAGAAAAAAGCATCTGCCGTGGTAGCTGAAATAAAGCAGCGGGTATGCCATTCGGCATTGGGTATATGGGAGACACCGAGGCAGACCTACACTGGGGTGGTATGATCTGTTGATACTTAAGTGGTTATTGTTTGCCAGCAACATGCACCGTCATTTTAACTGTTGCTGGGGTCAAAGCTGACAACCAGGTTTGACAACAGCGGAAAACCTTCCTCATACCCCTCCATCTGAGGACGGTGAAGCTCGTGCTCGTGCTGCTCTACAGGAAAGTGCGATTGAGAGAACAGAGCGGCAGCTGGAGCGTGTAAACCAGAGCAGAAATTTTAAGCAGCGTGTTGTTTCCCTTCGCCGAGCTCAGGAAAAACAGTCCAATGAGTGTAAGCTGAATAGGCGATGCCCACAAGCGCCGCAGGTCTTGCAACCCTTTGGTTTGTGAGGAATACAGATCGTTCATGCAGTGGCATGCACTTGTTAGCCAGCCCCAGTAACCATATCACGCTGAAAGAATCCCTGTATAGGCACATTTCATTAAGTTTGTAACTGCTGTGCATTACTGAAATATTTGGACAGACGCCACCGGAAGGAATGCCTCGGCTATTTGGGAAACTGCAGATGAAATACGGATGGTGTCCCAGTTGCAGATGCGACTTCGGAAAAATACACAATTGATTAAGTCGCTTAGCCAAGAACTTAATGCGCTAAGAGAGCGAAGCGTCATTTTCTTCCAGGATGTACCGGAAGCTCATCCAGCCAAGAAGAAGCGTGATCCATAATCCAGGAGTATGCTAGTGTGGGAAGTTATGCAATGCAGTAAGCTTGCACTTTATGCAGGCGTGCACTCAACTGCTTTGGGGTCACCTGGAAGGTTAGTGACAACATTGGCACGGGATATTCTCTCACTCGTGAATTACTGTATCTACTCTCATTGCTGCGAGTCTGCAACTCACTCGCAGCGCTACCCGGCTGCATGAATCTACACTGGCGGGAATTTCCAATATAGAAAACTAGTGGTCACCAATAATGCCTGACTGCATGTGTGTTGCAGGTGCTTCAGGGAAGTGCCACATTGGATGCGTACAACGAGTATGCATCCTTAGAAAAATGCGCAGGGGCCATTTGCAACCCATATTTGGGTCACGACGAATGCGAAGTACGTGTCATGTCCTCCTACATTACAGCGTGCCTGTGTGCTTTTGTTGAGTCTGCCTTTCGGGTACGCCAACGACATGGGCTATTTCTCCCTGTACTGTGACACTTCTTGCGTTGGGTGACAGCACGGTCACACCCCAATGGGCGATAGTGTGCCGGCTTCCTCAACTGCTTCATCAGAGCTGAAACCCCTATGCGATTTCAATTTTCGTTGTGCTATGCAAAGCTTTCAAGCCAGGGGCTGCGTTTATTTGCCTAAAGGATAGGTAACGGTGCCAATTCTGAGCTACAAAACACGTGTTCCTCCTATAAGCTACTTTTGTATCATGCCTAATCCTCAAAATGCAGTACCACCCGATTCTACATATCTTTGCCACACTGCCTGATCGTTCCCATATGCAGCATTTGTTAGCTTGATGCAGCAGTTCTCCTAGGTACGTCGTACTACGACGTACCAAGACTGCTGGTGCTTTCACTTGCTGCACAACTGCTGCACGTGGAAGAAGGTGTAACAACGGCATCAAAGTAGCAGGCAACTTATTTGTTTGGGGTTATTTGAGGAGCATACTCAACCCCAATCGGTTGCCCACCGCAGTAATGTGCCGGCTCTAGAGGAATATGGGAATGATAAATAACTCCACCCCCATGATATTGGGTTATAAGGGCTACTTTACTAGCTTTAAAGACCAAGTTGTTAAAATATGCCATCTGCAGCTTGGGGCTAGAAGAAAGGATCTACTCGCCAGGCGAAGACGGTGTATGCAGGGAACGTACGGAGGTACCCTACATGAGGGGCGCTTGTACTTGCACCACGTCCTGGTCACTCGCCCTGCTGCAGTTTCTTAAGACTTGACTTTTATGCAGAAAGCGGTGTCGACATAACACTTCTAAAGCTGGCAAAAGGCTGATAGACACTCCAGTGATGCGGCTAAAGCCTGTTGTTGGAAACAACACGGCATGGAACTGAAGTGGGGCATTTTCCGGGATTCTAGTTGTATCTCACACTGGAAAGGGCAAAGATGCATTTCTTCCTGGTTAAGTAATAACTGACTGCTGCTCGACATACAGTACATGGCGCAACACAAAACCTATCAATTGCGCCTTTCGAGACTGCGATTGTAGACTTAGTATTGATACACCGCATAAGCGGTGGCAATGCAGAAGATTGATGAGTTTCTATATACTGCACTTGCCACTGAGTCCCTCTTTGCATCCCAGAAACAGCGACAGCCCACTCGAATACCTTGACCGCAGTCTTCCCCCAGATCAACGGTGACTCCTATCCTGTACCTAGGTCTTGATAAGGCAGTTAAAGCATCGCGAAGGGAAGCTCCGAGAGTCTTGGCCAACTGAGAAGCCTGATCCGCTGAGTAGGCTTCTCCTTTTAGTCTAGACTGGAGCACAGATGCCATTACCTCCTCTGCTGCCCTGACGGGAAACCGACTGTTTAGCGGCAGCACGACCGACGATGGGTCATCCAACTGCTGCGGTAGGGAACTATCCACTCCTTCCATTTCTTCTTACCCCAAGTGAAGCTATACAGAAACAGAAGCAAAGTTTGTGGACTCGCCACACTGGGAGGATTCGATGTGGATACGGAACCCTCCGCCGTGCATATTACCGGGAGATTATGCGAATAACTGCAAAGTGAATCAATCTAATTGGACGCCCTGATATTACCCCTTCAAAATGTTGCTTTCTTCACGATAAGACGTGCCGCGAGCTAGCAATATATTGGTCATGTTGGTGGATCTTGACGTGCCGACCATTCCCGTCGCACCAGAGGCGACGGCAGAGTGTCGTGTTCCACAAACTGAGAGCAACGAATTAAGGGATTATTCCTAATCAAAATTTGATGAATTGCTTGTTAGTTGATAGCGACATGCTGCCAAGGACACTGGTGCGTCGTTGTGTTCAGAGCATGCCTCCGCACCACTGTTAACAGCTCGTCACCCTGGTGCTGATGACAGGGTCGTAAATACTAGTAAGTGCAGCAACGTGTTATTTGCATGCTATGCATACCTGAGAAGAGGGAATCGGTGCCTGCAGCAGTACCGGCAACGAATAGACAGGGTGTTTAGAGAGGAGCCGGGCAAGTTTCCACTCCGGCGGATAAACCGGCGGCGTTTTTTTTGTACATCGGAAGAGCAACGCTGCACCCACATTTTCCTCTTGGTTTATGGGCTTAAAATTGCTTTTTAGTGTCATTTTAAGGAAAACTGGCGGCAGCTGAAGTCTAGCGTTTCGCACAGGAGGCAGACAACAGTTAACTGTTGTCTGACCCAGCGACACACCAACGACACTACGGTATACACGGTAGCTAAGCTGGCTTCCTTCTCGTCTCTCCAGTATTTCAGAGCGCTAGATGAACTCTACGCATTATTACCTTAGGGGCTTTCGTTCGGACAGGGAACTAATTCCTGCTTCCTTCTGCGCGGAGCACGCCGAGGTGCCGCCGACGCCACACACTGAACCCCAGCTCGTGTGCCACATCATACTTATTATTATTCACATATATTATCTTCCAGCCGTTCGAGGCAATTTCCAGGCAGACCTTCAGAACTGGTGACCGGCCAGTGGAAGGATTCGGCTCAGGGAGTCATGGAACGACAAATTATTACTCACACGGGGGGCACCATGTTGGAGCAATGTGAGCGGAGTGTGCACTACTGTTAAGTTCCACGAGACTTTCCCATGTTTCCATTGCTGTACGAGTGTAAAGTCCGTAAATGACGGCACTTGACGTTATTTCCAAAAGTAATGGGGGAAGTCATTTTGCTCCTCAGTGAGTGCTCCATAGTGCAAAAATTTAAGGATTTTACGGGTACCCGCTCCACTTCTGAGCTCTGGCGATATTTATTTTAATGCTTTCTACCCAGTGGAATGTACTGTACTGGAAAAAGTAGTACACCTGTTGTAACTCGAACGCCCCATCCTTGGCCAGTGTGCGGGATTGTTATTCTCTACAGTATGATCTTAGCGCTCATGAAACTAACAGGCGAAAGTGGCGAGAGCGTTGTGAGTCCGCTTACTCGCTCACTGCGTACATAATATTTGGTCAGACACCCCTTAAAAACAAAGCGCTACAATTCTCCTCAGGACCTGCTTGGCCGAAGCAGGTCGCGACGAGAGCCCAGTGTGACGCCCAACGCGTTCTACTCTTGAAGCACTCCTGGATCTCGGCGCCACAGTATACTCGGCTCCACATGAGCACCTACGCAACAAAAACCGATCGGATACTGAATGTGCCGTTGGACTTCACATCCGCCGGTGTACTGTAGGGGAAAAGATGCAGGCAAGCTCACTGCAGTATTGACCAGCTTACCTTTTGTCTTCATTCTCACGATGAGAGCTTGCAACCTCTCAACTTCGCATTCGCTTTTTCTGAGCGTTTCTTTTAGGCTCTGGAGTTCGGCTAACCTCATCCTGGCATATGTGCCGTCGTCGCTTGTGTTCTGCAGCAATACCAATCCCTTCAAAGGCAGTACCTTTCCCAAATGCCCTTATGCATAGCATTTCGACTTTCAGAAACCAGCGGTTCTCGTACCGCCAGTCGGTCCAGTGTCCATCAAACTGTGTAGCTTACTCGATGGCGCTTATCCCCTTGTAGCTGCTGGGTTAGAACTGACTCGCTTTCTCTTGCCAAGGCGAATCTGTGTAACAATTCAGTGTGACGCTTGGTTATGCCCTGAAGCTTGTTCTTGAGCTGCATGTACAGTTGTTGTTGCTGCTTGAGCTGTGCCTGAGAAAACCACGCGCATCACAGCCTGGGACCGTGGAAACTAAAACACCTCCAAACGATAATCAGGACGTGCTTCGTGCTCTGGGCTGCAAGTCGAACCCTATCAATATCTGTTTACTAGAGAATAATTGATGCCAGGTTCGAATTTCATGAAGGATAAACTCGGGCTAGCTTCCGCCTTACTTGCTTGACAGCTACCATTTCCATGTCTCTCTCAAATGCTGGCCTAACAGGCTCGCTGCGTGCTTGATTGTCCTCGCGACCTGCAGCAACTGCAGCTGCTTCAACTTGCTCCAGCGTAAGAGAAGCACCGAATCTAACTAGCTCAACAGCTTTGAATGTTGCTCGAAGACTTGCCAGGTGCTGCGAGCTCTGCATCACACTGCAGCTGCTTCAGGAGACAATTTGTCATTCTGCAGCATGGTAATCCCTGATGATCATGAAGATATTTCTCCAATCCATATGGAAAAGCTTGCTCTTTCTATCATTCAGATGCTCTGTTGAATGTGGTATTTGGACTGAGTAACAGTGTTGTACCTGTTTATTTTCTCTTTGGGCGTTCGCTAGCAAACGCTTGAGCTGCTTCAAGTCGTCTGCCACGTCAGTTGTTTCGTGCTGCAGCTTTGCAACTCTGCGTACACAACAATGCATTAGGTACTATCTCACTACCAATGGTACTGCCAGACAAATGTTCTCCTTTTGCTACCCTGCCGCGCCGATACCAAATGTTCGTCTCTTTACCCAAATCACAATGATAAGAGCACTCCACCTACTGTTGGCGGAGGGCAACGAATCCGTCATTGCTAAAAATGACAGCACAATCTAGCTTTTCAGGGAGCTGCCATCTTTCTTCAACAGACAGCAAGCATTTTATCTGCACGCCGCAAAAGTACGCATCCACCCACTACATTTTCAATGATATTGGGTGCAGCATCCACACTGCAATTGAACAACTTTTCAACTCAAGCACAGGAGCGACTGAAGCTGCGAAGAAAAAACCTGACGCCAAACCAGGGCAAGGTGTTGTCTGTGGTGGAAAGACAAAGCAGGCTCAAAGGTGTCTGGGAGGCATGCTCTGCCGAAGTGCAAGTAGGCACCTGGGAAGACCGCAGTGGCACAACGGTCTCTAACTCGTTGAGTGAACTCTGAAGCTCTCTTAGAAACTTTTGGACTGCTGCCTCAACAGCCTTGTAGCGAACTGCCTGTTGCTTTTGAAGCCCCTGGACTTTCGCGTACTCCTACGCATAAGGGGCATGCAAAAACCAGCAAACATTGTACCGCCGGAGGAGCAGCTCCAGCTGTTCAAACTAAGTTGGGACAATATGGACTGCTCTGCTGCTAGAGGAGTTGTGATCTTCTTATTTTAAAGGGGCAACATGCTCTCCACGCCCTTCGTTCCAGTTACAGTTGGGGGAGTTGGCCAAGCCCACCTTTACATTGAGGAGTCACTTACCCTCTTCAATTCTTCCAGCTCTCTTTGATGAACGGTGAGGGTCATGTAGTTTGCTGTTTTTTGGTCTCTGCAGAGGCGTACACATTATCACGGCCGATGTGCGTAGTTTGTTTAAGAGACCCGGAATCACGGCTCCCCTGCGCGCGCGCATGTTACCTGAATTCTAAAAGAGCTTCGTACACCGCCATATCGCATCCTAAAGGGCAAATATCCTCCTCGACATCCCCAGCGTTTGCTTGCACTTGCTCAGCCTCATCAACTTCGTCTGCATGCGCAGTACAGCTCGCCACGCACACGTGTTGTACACGTGAAACTGCTAAAGGCATCATCGCAAATAGTACGACCCACGCAACGTAAGGAGAAAGCCAAAACGTCCATAAGCATTACTCGAACAGGAAGAAAAGTAAGCGTGCGTGGATTTCACCCTCCGGATCACTAACGTCAGCGTCGCCAGCTTGTGGGCTCGCTGACAGTTTGGTTGCCTTGTGCGCCACCTGCCAGAACATGCACTAATAAAAAGAGCGTGCTACAGATATCAAAATTCGAGATTGAGAGGCAATCGGCACTTCATCATAGTTGTATACTTATGCCAGGAAAATAACAAGGAAAGCAATTATCAAGGGATGATCCAGTGAACGAATGGCACATTGCGTTCGAAAATTTGCATGAGGGCAGCTTGTTGAGGGTTTCGCTGTCCGATTGTTTCCGCTACACGTCGGCGGATTTCTACTTCTGTCGCCTGCATTAAAGCAAAAGGAGACGGGGGGGAAGTGTATATTGGTTCTCCGAAGTGCCTTGGCCATCCCCTGTTCAGATTCAAGATTCAAGCTGTATTGCTGCACAGCGTAAGCTGCAATTTCTTCTCATGCTTTATCCTAATCTAGTTGCGAAATTCGCCAGACTCACGCGGCAGTTATCGATTCCTTGTATCCTTTCAGCGATGGAGGCATCAAGAGCTTCAAGGCGACTATTGATTTGCTGGCATTCCTTCTGCTCACTCGCCAGTTCCTGCTGGAGTCTTACGTTCCGTGGCTCCACTGATTCAATTATAGACAGCTCTCGAATTTGCTCCTGAGCAATGGCAAGATTATCTGCTTCTTCTTTCTGTTCAAGACAGCATGCATTTGTTTGCCGCTTGCGGTGAACGAGACCTTATACTGAGCACCTCAAGGGAACGCACTAGCTGTTTTAGGCGTGCCAACAGCAACTGTTGGTGGACCCTTGTGCGGTCGTTCAAGAGAACCCGTAATTCTTGATCGAATGCAGAAACAGCCTGCTTAATCTGCATACAAATACATACATACAAAAAGTTAATTGATAAAGTGCACGACATGGAATTATTCCCGCCAGAGCTGCTTGCACACTCATCATAGCCATCCTCAGAATCGCGGTTGTCAATGCAGATGCACACTACTCCTGTTCTGAGCGTACTGCTTCAATAGAACTGTTTGCCTGAAGTTGAATTTCCAGAGTTTCAAGCGCTGCCCAAGTTTTGCACGTTGACGACAGAGAACCAGCGTTGACGGAGTCGTCAACGTAGTAGTGCTCGTAGAACTTTGAACATTCTTGGAAGTTGAGTGCTTTTTGTACCGTGCAACTTTGGCTTATCTCACATCTTCTAAGACTATCTAGGATTCCTGCAAGCTTCTCCTTGAGTTTCAGATCCCTTTTGGTTGTGGAACTACTACACAAGTCTGGGGAAGTACAAGTCTGACTTCCTGGGACATCAGGGCTGTACGCGTTCCTATCCAATACAGTGTCCTGATCTTCCCCTTCCGGCGTATACACAAAAGGGCGCAAATGCTCAAAAGACATAACGAACTCGTCTGGCCGCCTACGGGCCTCAGCAAGAGCACTTTTGACCTCTTCGATTTCAGCCTTGGCAGCCTCAGTTTCGAATAAAGCTCCAGTGTTGCTCATCTCCTTGAGTCGTCCTTCTAACGAGGCACTGTACCACATGGAAAATAGCTGGAGCGCATCTATGTACAGACGAATTGGGGTTTCTTATAGTGTAGGAGGTGCTGAATTGGCTGATACGCACATGAGCTGCTCCTTGCCAATGCTCCACAAGAATCCGCTGGATTGTTCCTCCACAGTGGCGCTTTCCACCATTTCAGTCAATGTCTGCACCTTGGAATATTCGGCTGACTCTGTAAGCTCAGCAGCCTTCAAGGCTTCACAAATTTCGCTCAAGATGCAGCCGGATGCCCTCAGAAGTTCCTTGCGCACTTGGGCCAGTATCTCGACCTTTCGATTAAAGGCATTTGCCTTTGCAGAGGCCCACTCCGCAAGTTTGAGCATTTGATTCTTCTTCCGTGAGGCCACAGTTCTGTTATGGTGTAAACATTCACGCAGGCGAAAGCCCATGCTGCCAAATACCCACTTCTTCTGTCTGCAGCTTTGGACACGCTTTTCCTGAAGTGCTGCAGTCCAAGCTACTCCTCCATTGTTTAGATTTGGGTTTTTCAGTTCAGCGGATTCATATTACCGACTGTAGCAAGCTTACAATGAGACGTCGGTCACGGTCCCGGAGGTGGTGAGATTGCATGCATTCAAGTTTTTGATCGTTTCTGCAATGCGCTGTTCATCGTGAACGTTTGTAGAGTCTTCCTTTGGCTGCGCCTTCAAGAGATCTGTCATCTCCAGCATGCGTTGTCTCCGGGCATCAGCCGATGGTGCAACTCCTACGATTTTGCATAGCCAAGATTGCCATGAGCTGCAGCCACTGAGGAGTTGCCAAGGCACAATCAGTTTGAGCTAGCTGACCCATCGAATATCCCAAAACTCCCGTGAATTGCTATCCAAAATGGCACGACGGGAATCAATGACTACAAAGGAAGATATATAAGATGCTGACCTGCTGTCCCAATGGAGTCACTACTCTGCAGAGTTAGAGCGAATAGGCTCCCAGGCCAGTTGCAGATGCCGGGTATGTCCATATCTGGAGTCTTCGATGCTTTGATACCCTCTGGTTCAACGGTCGGCCGCCTGCCGGAAGCTGAGTAGACCAGTTATTGCACAACCGGCAATACCTCACTTAGTTGAATGCATTGTAGAAACGTCTGCAGCACCCAAAGTGACAGAGGAAGCGTGCAGTGTTCCTTGGAATAGCTGCACCCGGTGCACCCGCACAAGGGGTGTAAGATCCTATTGCTTGTTCGGGAAGAAGCAGTTGTCTCAGTTCCTTTTCCCGAGCGGCTTCCACAATTGCCTGCATCTCGGCAACTCCACCTGAGGTAAACTGTGCCTGTCCTACTTTTAGTCGCTGAATGTCCTGGAGAAACAGCATCAATGTAACAAAGCCTGACCATGGATAATCCGACAGAGCGGCGCTGACGCTGAAACATTAACAGGAGGCAGTATGTCTGTTGAATGATAACCGAACTACTGTATGTAAAAGCTCACAAGTGGTGTCTGGGAAGTAGGAAATGAACACACGCAAATGTCCTCGAAAATGCCAGCCACTGTGAGGGCTTCCAGAGCTCCACCGAAAAGCCGCTGAGGGCAGAACAGTGTTGAGGCGCATTTTTGCACTTTCTGAGATGCTTACGGAGTCTAGACACCTGAAGCTAAAGGCATTGAGGTAGTGTGCCTATGGTGGGGAGATTGTGGATCATTTAGCAATCTTTGCTGTTTACTACTCTGGAAAATATCGAGCTGTTAATCACACGTAGTCGTTTACGCTAGCTCCCATACCGCTAGTGTGTTTATTAGCATTTGGTGCTGATCCCCCGCATTTTGTATTAGGCGCTCGATTGTATCGAGAGATTTGGCTGCTTCAGCTTCATCAGCCTGAAAAAGATCTTCCCGAAGAATAAGCTCCATCATCATTTCTTGTGTATTCACACCTGGAAGACCTTTCAAGCGGGCTACCAAGTCCTGTTCAATTTTGAGTACACTACACAGAGAGAAAAGCCATGTCTTCGGTTGATTCACATTGTTAATTGAGTGTAGCACTAGCCGGACTCCTATACGTTCTCTTGCTACCTTAATGCTATAGTAAAGATGCAACAGTCGAGCACGTTTAAGCAAAATTCGGCGGTTTTCTCCGGAGATGCAGCCTCTAATACTGTCCACTACGGCCTTCTAACTACGGGAGACTGTGTGTGACTAGGTGCATATAGGGTGCATGCATGCATGTTGATCTTGCCTGAAATCTCTCAGAAATATTATTCAGCCTAGTACGTTCCTCTTGCTTGGCAGCCTCAGCTTCCGTGTAAGCTGCACGCTGCCGTCGCAGTCTTTGGTGCTCCTTGTCCAGGCAAACGCAACAGCTACGCGTTCAGACTTATTTTGTGCGGAATTGCGACGATTCCGCGAGTAATGCAGTTAACCGCTGTTACCAAAGGGAAAACCGTGCTTGACTTTGGGCCACAAATCAGCTGCAGTCATTGCATTTTGCTGAGGCATCTGTTTGTCAGTCAACATGCTTACCGTGACCGTAGGCTCTTCTGGCTGAAGAATATCTTCTACGGCGTCTGGTAATGTTGAGGATTCCACATCGTTTGTTGCAGCCGAACTTGGGCTGTGACAAATTTTCTCAGATTCACTTGCCACCGCCTGCAGAATGTTTCCGATTAACACTGGACGAGGGCACGGTGTTTTCGGTTCTTTTTGTTTCCTGTCAACTCAGCATAATGCAAAAGCTCAAATTTGCAGTTCCCCTTTGCTCTCACAGAATTGCTCCAAGTGGCGAGGATACGTCTGTCATCCTGTTTTTCTCAACGTTGGAACAGGAAAGCATAGGGGTGGAAGAACGAGGTGAGATGCGCAGTCGTAAAGTGACATACTTTGAAGTGTGCCCATTCAGAGAAGCAGCAACTTCGTTGGTAGGCTGATCGTCGTAGGTAGCTGCATCAAGCATGAGCAGGCGACGAAGGAACTGTTGCTGTTGCTGGTGCTTTTCTGCCTGCTGAGTTGGTCCACCCTTAAGCGCCTTTTGTGCCTCCATGCGGTCTTCGTCAGCTTTGGAAGGCCCATGTGTCTCAAATCCTCTTTCAGCATCCTGTGCCTCCTTGCAGAGGGAAAGGATGATGTCATACTCAAATTCACATCTCCACCAAGCTCCGTTCTGAGCTGCAGCAACTAAAGCCCATATGTTGGTGCTGCCAAGCTGCCTGATTATAATGTTTGTAACACTCCCAACGTGACTGTCAAAGACCCTAGCCTGCAGGAAATTTTGAAGTGCAACCAATAGAACAAAGAGTCTCCAGACAGGCAGGGCAAGCTAGCAATTTTTTAGTGTGAAGGCCGCTCCTAAAGAGTCAATCCATTAAAGAAAAAGCATAGATCTGCATCATATGTGCATAACATCAACATAGCAAATGCGAAAGGCGGTGACTACTGGCACTAGCTTACCGCAGCGCAGGCAGTCGGAGTGTCGGCGGGAAACATTATCACCCTCCCATCGGATGTGCCAACCAGGAGCAAATGCCGTTGGGGCACCACAACCAACTGAGCCACGTGAGGTCCCGAAGTCGACTCATTCTCTGATTTTTCGTTGTTGAGCTGCTGGAGGACAGTGAAGAGAGACACTAGAGGGCGAGCTGTTATGGAAGCTGCAGGAGTGAAAACAGAGGGTCCAGACGTGCCTGCTGTGGATAAAGCCTCCACTGGAGAGCACCATACACCGTTCCGCAAAGTAGACGTTCCAGTAAATAACAGCCAGGAACCTTCTAGCATCCGCCCGTCTTCATCTTTCCCATGTGCATGACATTCCCTAGAGAATTCACTGCCAGATGTACCCCAACTCAACAATCCTTGTGTGTCCGTACACCACTCCAACCCTGCTATTGTCATTGCAGTAAGCCGGGATGCTGCAGCGGCGGCCGCGGCGGCCGCTGCCCGACGCCGCTGTTGTTGTTTCATTGCTGCTGCCAGCGCACGCCGGGTTTCGTCAGCAGCTGCTGACTGTTCTACAAGACTACCGTTAGAGGAAGCCGTTCTGGGCTGGGCCTCACGAGAGGCTACAGAGGACGTGTCGTGGTCGCTGGCCGCATCGCCCTCGCTGTCGCTCCCATTTATCTCTTCGTGTTCATGTGGGTCTCTGCCTTGAGGAATTAGGCTCCGCAGCACTGAAGTTGGGACCTTCACATCAATTCTCCTGCGTGGTGCAAAAATAATGCACTGACGTAGGCGCCATGCAAAGCGTTGTAGTTGCTTGCGTCTTACACAGAAAAGGTCAAGATGGAGGACCTCCACTTCGACGCTGGAGGACATCCATTCTGCTAAGAGCCAAAACAAGGCTCTACTGTGAAGGCTGCATGACACCGCACTACCCTTACCTGAAAATGAGAACTTGAGTAAGGTCCAATGGATCTTCCGCAACACTCACGGCAGACTCCGACTCGGGAGGCCGGACACAGGTTCGGGCCTCCCTCTCTGCGGAGTCACTGTCATCTTCCTGTGCAGCTTCATCGCCTGTATAATCTGAGCTCATATCGTCACTTCCTGGCCCATTCCCATCGATACCGCTCACGGACGCTTTCTGGCCGACACCGAGAGCTTTTGTACCGCCCATCAGACCCAAGTTGCCGCTTTCGACAGCACCGTTTTTACCAGGTTGAGTGCTTAATTGTTCCAATCCAGTTAATGCCAATATTGCTGCATCCCCAACTTGACCGAGCAGAAGTAGCGGATGCTCCCAGACGAGCCGCGTTAAAGGTTCGGGAGTAGTAGTGAACCCTATGGGTTCTGCCTGCCATTTGCCTTCCACACACTGGGGACCCTCTGTATCCTTTATATATCCCTCTGCTGTTGTTTTAATATCTCGCGAATGGCATTGGAAAAGTTTCAGAAGTAACAAAATGCCGTCGTCACCCAGCACTGCCAACCGCTGCCCTGACCCCGCACGCACGTATACCCCACAAGATTACTATACCGAAGGGCCAATGCACCCTCAGACGAGAGCAGCCACATAGCCAGTATACCTCTGAGCGCCTCTACTAACTGACACAAAGGCAGCAACAAATGCAACGCATGCCAATTCATACAATGTACAAGCACTACGAGGCATCAGCCATCACTAGCCTACCAGACACTTGAATTTGTACCTGTAGGGTCAACAGCCAAGTGTACAACTGCGCATGCGTGAGTCTTAACGGCCATAAGTAAGTGCACTCCATTTTTGGAAGCTGAAGACATTCGGACGATTCCGTCGGAAGAGCCGAAAAGGAACAGCGGGCAGCTGGTTGAAGATGTCCGGGACATTAGGGAAATACACCGAATATGGTTTGGCCAACGCCTGCGTTCCCAGCAAACGGCTCTTTTCTCCTTAAAAGGGGAGGCTCATCACAGAATGGTAGGTAGAGAAGTCTAGATGCTTGGGAAAGCAGGAAGCAGAGACAAATGAAATACCGGCAGGTCAATGGCATGAGGCAAGGTGGGCCATCCCATGTGCGTATCGATCCATCACCTCCAACCGTAAGCAAGTCTGCACAACACAAAAAATTCAGACAAAAGCATCTCCCATGCATGCGAGCCGATGGAGAAGGAAACTGGTACAGTAAGGCTGCAGTGTGGTCGGATAATTCAACAAGGCTTACGACAGTTCCAGTGGAACCCGTGGGTGCTAAGCAGTAAGGTATCAGCAGCTGACAAACTGTACATAAAAAGAAGCCACTTGCCTAAGAAGCTTACCACACCTGGTTCGTTTTCTCTCGTTGGCGACATCCATCGCTAGAAGTACACTTGAGCCATGAAAATCGAATGCCTAATGGGAACGAACCTCAAAGGGTATTGACTGGATTTTCACTCAGGGGACAGGGCAAGTCTACGACGTATGGGGTTTTAGCACTATTACCAACGCACGTTAGCGAGCGAGAGGAGAAGCGGAAGCATTCCATACCTTAAGTAAGTAGTTTGAGTCAGGAGAGAAAAGCCAAGTAATGCCGCACCCAGAAACTATTACCCAGAATGGGCTCGCGCTATCCCTGTTCAGAGGCTGACTCCGCACACTTGACTTCATATCGCTCAGCTCAGTGAAAGCTCTGCCTTTGTAAAGAAGGCAAACGCGGAGTCAGAAATTCAGATATTAACATACGAGCGGGCTTGATACTGTTTGCCGGACCTTTCAAGAGAGCAACAAAAGGGCTGTACAGAGACTAACCTGTGGGGAAGAACCCGCTTGATGGACATCCTCGATGGCATGGTGAATACCTTAACCACTGAAATTGAAATAATGGGTTCTTCTGTGATGTAGTTAGCTGCTTCCAGCACATCGTGGACAGCCCACCTGTAAACGAGCAGAGCAAAAGATGAAATCTCTGCTCGCCCGTTTTAATTTACAGTGGATATGCCTGAAAGCGAAACTGTGTCGTGTGGGCTACCAACGGATAACGGATGACTGCAGTACCATTTCATTTGCCCATCATCGCCAGCGGAGACTACGTGATCTGTATTCTTTGGATCTCGAAACATGCTGTTGATTGCCCCTTGGTGACACGTTACGGTGTCTCTATTGAGCTGAGTTGATTCGCTCTGCGTTTCTTGCTGCTGTCCGTGAGAAGCTTCCGAGTTCACAACTGAAGAGCCTCTGCGCCCAGACCGAACAGACCCTCTAGGGTTGCTTCGACCACGCCCTGCTCCTGAAGGAGCTCGTAAAGATTGGGGACCTTCTACCTGTTCTCTCGCAATGCTTGAGCTCCTCCTGCTGCCCGTCCCCGGCAACAGCTGTAGTACTTCTGCCTTAATATTCCCATCCTGCAGGGAAACGTAGGGCGACATAGAAGGAACAAAGTGTTCCATGTCACTATTAAGCGTAGTCACACACCTCGGGTAGCCTGTACCGCAGGGGAAAAGGGGAATTTGTGAAGCATTGCAGGATAGTGCAAGAGTTGTGCTGTGAAACTGGCTGGATCACCTCCCAAAGAAGCAGCTTGCCCGAATCGGAGCCAGAGAGCAGCATTTGTTCCGTGAGCTCGACAAAGGTCGGGACATCGGAAACAGTCAACTGCCCAAATCTGCACGTCCTTCCCTGTTTTACACACCACAAGTTTGTTTGTCACCCCGATGTGCTTTTACCCTGCATACGCCTTTAGGTGAATTCTATCCTATGAATTCAGAAAATAAACGTTGAGATAGACGGGTGTTTTGGATATCTGGACGGGGTGGACCTTCAATTTAAGCCCAGTAAAGGTCTGTACAGCTGTCCATAGACGTATATGACGTGAACCCGACGTTGTAAGCTGATATGCGAAGAATTGTGACCTGGGAACCGCGCACCGTACAGTAGGCAGCTGCGGCGATGAAAGGGAAACTGCATATTTTGCTGTAGTACAGTGTAGCTGCAGCGGCACAAAATTCATTTTTTGCCTATTTCTAGGGAGAACGTGGGTGTTTTGTAAGCCATACCACTCTAATGATATCACTTGTAGCGCAGGGGTTTTGAGGCGAAGAAATGGGCGCCCTGTGGAGATGTTCCAGAGTGTCAGGTAACAGCAGGAAAGTGATGCACTTTCTCCGCCGTCCCCCTCCCACCCTACAGCAGCGAGCAACGGCACTTGCTTAGGGTCATATAATTCTTCCTCAACAGTGTTGTCGCGAGGATATCCCCCGGCTGCGAGCTCCTCCGAGGGAGATTCTGCTCCGCTGATATCGTTGTCCATATCGTGCTCTCTAATGCTCTGTTGGGTGCTGTCACTCTCTTCCGGCAGTGCCTCATCCCCATGGCACTTTGCAGTAGTCGAATTCTGCGCAAAGCTTCGCGCTTCCGTGTCAGCTAAAGAAAACTTCCCACGGAAGGTAGCAACGGAGAAGCCACGCTCGCTAAAGGCCTTGCATTGCCGCATTCGTTCCAACGTCCTTATGGAGTACACATAAATGCCTGCCAGATTTTGCGAAAACACCAGTAAGCTTACTAACGTGTTCCACGATCTCAACAACTAAAAAACCCGTAAAACTGGCAACGTATCCGCATGTGTATTTGTTTGCACCCTCCCGTAGTCACAGCAGGCAGCCAAGACAAGAGGCTGCATACTCCTGTAGCTGAAGGATATGGGTTAAACTATGTTGCCTAGACGTGACAGAGTCCGAAGAGGAAGGCAGAAGCACTTGTTGTACCTCAATATTCATCAGAAAACATATTCAAGGTTCTCACTTGCAGGTTTGCCGATGCTCCTGCCGCAGACGGCGATGAGCCCGTAATCGTTGTCTACTGCGACTGCAGACACTCCGCCATCATCCTCAAAGTCGTTTGAAGAATGCAACACGTAAGGGTTTCCCAGACAACTTCCTTCTGGCGGAGGACTGATATTTCCCTCACAAACCGGTGGAAAATTGTGGACATTGTACAAGAGTACTTGTGTGTTCGTGACACATGCCAGCGTCTCGCTATCCACAATCAGTACCTGCTGCCTTGCAATATCCTGACCTCCAATATGCGTTGTTACCAAGGGGCAGCGCACCGAATTTGGCTTGTTCATTCTCATTTTATCCCAACTACCACTTTTTTGCACAAGCTGTCCTCGATTAAAGGGGTTTAGCGTCGGGCGAAACCGTCCAATGCAGTCACTTGCACGGGCCTTCTCAACATTCAAGTGGGTACGAGAGCCTGCCGCATATACTTAGTTTCCACATTTAATCAGTGTTCGGAAATTCTTGGGCTGTAAGGGAACCACACCGCTGCGCTCTGCATGAATCGCAGGTACTTCTGCTGAATGTTGGCAACTATCCAGTGTCAAGCTGCTTGCTATACCAACAGTAGCCACCCGGTCCTACCAATCTTGGGCTGATCAACATTAATTATGTATCCTTCAAAAGCTTCCGAGTCTCCACTGTGGCTTCTGCCAATCAACGAGCATGGAATGTGGATGCAGTGAAAGTGTCAGACTCATTTACTTGGGGACTATTCGTCACAAGTTCCAAAAAGCATTGAATTTGTATACTGGCGAAATGACTGCCGAGTGGTCCGTGAAAGCTTCATTAATTTCTGAGCTTTATTTGGGAAACAACATTCACGGCAATCGGGAGGAGATGTGCACAACTGGAACAGCCAGCCTGCACACTACTTGTGTCCATCCCCGTGCCTGGAAATGACTGGTGGCTGAAAACGGGAAGGGCGAGCGTATTTACTCCTGTTTGGAGGTTTCCTTAGCCAGGATTGCTTCCAGTCATCACTAAGTGTAAACATTTAAGGCTTTCAGTGGGCTGCCGTTATGTTACAAGCACCTGCCTTCGGTAAGGCGGTATACGCTCAGGAGTTGGGGCTCTGGCATTACCGTAAGCAGCAACGACACAAATCAAGATGACCAGCTTTAAAGCAACGTTGATTCGTATTTCTGGAGGTAGTATCCGGTCTTTTTGTTTTCGTTCCAGCCAAAACCTGGCCTTCATTCCGACTTTCAGTTCCTTTGGCAGCCACGCTAGATCTCCGGGGACTCCAGAAATTGCATCTACGTTACAACTGGCTAGTCCAGCACTTTGTACGGTAGCAGAGCAATGCACAGCATAGAACAGTGGTAGGAGGCTTTGGGTCCCGTTTCCCGTCTTTGTCCCTGAGAAGCTGCCGTGACCTCCGGAGCACGGCTCCGACAGGCGAAAAATCGTTCTTGCCTGTGAGATTGCACCAAAGGGAATACTCAGCGAGAATATGCATCAGCTACCACTCTATTGGAGAAAAAATCATAATTATCCTTCGTGTGCACAAATTTAGTACGATGCGAAGAGCAGCAGCCTTCAGATGCGGTAATCCGTGCCGGTATTGCAGTCGATCGAGGTCACCAGCTGACCATCACTTTAAACATTGTCGGTTCCATTTCCATTCGAACTCACGGATGATTTATACGTGTGAATATGCCTATATATGCTACGTATGAGCTAATAAACAGTCTATTTGCTGAATTTGAGTACTTCAAGCCAAGGGATTATATCGCATTTAGTGGCTTCGATTTTCCGAGGGCAAAGTTTACCGCATAGAGGTGGACTTCGCACAATGCCTAACGAACCTAAAAAGTATCAGAATTGTGTCTATTTCTTGTGAATGTTGGATGTGTAGGCCTGCCGGATAAAGTGTTTCACGCCTCCCTTAGACCCGTCATTTCACCATATTTGTCAATCTGCCTGGTGATTTGCCGTGTTCTAAGGGGTCGTCGTACATCATAAGGGGGCAACCGATACTTCGTGTTCTACTAAAATATTAGTTGCCATCATACGGTGGCGACGAGACACAAGTGCTACAACTCCAAATATGCAACAACGTGACATTTTGTCGACAGACCGTGGGGCAACAGGAACAGACCGGTATATAGTAAGCACAAACTTACCCTTGTTGCCCCCTTCCTGTTTCTCCAAGCCTGGGTGCCGCCTACCACTCCACCACTGCCCACCTGGCACTTGTATCCGTTCACGCGGAGCCCCCATCCAAGTTCTTGAAGGGGACCTAGTGGCGACCAGTAGTTCTTTAGATGAATAGAACAAGCTATCATGGATACTGGCAAGTACTTCCAGGGGAGCAAGGATTCTACGGGTGGAAGCGGGATAAGCACCCTGTAAGCCACATAGCGCGAGGACCGCTTAACCATTTATTGCGCATTGTACATAATGAATGTAGAACCGACAAACGGCAAACTATAGAAAGAGACCCATAGAATGGTAGTTGCTCCCTACCCCAACAGTGCGTGGGAGGAGATCCAGGCATGGCAACAGCTAGGACGACTTCCGACTCCGTGCACACGAAATGAGAATGACCGCGTTATCACGCACTACGAAGGGCTCGCTGTTCAGCAAGTGCTTCGCAGTGACTGGGCTTCGCGAACGTTTCTCTTTTCCACAGCGCCAATAGTATATCTAGGCAGGTATCACTCAGAAAAATCACACAATCTGCAAACTATCACAAAAAGCGTAGAAGGTAGTTGCCAGAAGAGGAGAAATAGTTGATGTTACGAAGCTGTAGAGAGCAGGATTGCAGTGCCTCTCTTGGCCCAAAATGAAGGATCTTGTGCTCCGCTTCGTATCTCCTGCATTGTAACCAGAGATGGTCTGCCGTTTTTCCCTGCACGGCAGGGATATTGGTAAATGGGACACATATATGGCATTTCAGCAGGGGCCCGCCTGCGGGCTACTGGCTTGAAGTGAACAATAGGCATTTCGCATATTAGTTGCATGGGCTCCGGCTCCCGAAGAGACATGCCGTCAACATTCCATGATGCGCCTTCAAGATACAGCCGCTTTACGTACGCCCCATCTCGAGGCGATGACGAAATGGTGTTTTCATCGTATGTTGTCTGAAAAATCGCAGACAAGAGGTTCTTGGAGTGCAGCACTAACACGACTTGTTCCACTCACCATCAAGCACTGCATAGCCTCTGCCTTAAAAGGTATCGTTTGTTCCAAAAGTGGCAAACGAAAGTACCAATGCTACGAATTCGAAGCTTATAGTATCAACTGAGATCGAATTGCGTCTAGCAAATTGTTGCAATAGCGCCGTCAAGAAGGCGCCCGGGTATGTTAACCCGCCTAACCAGAAGGCCTTTGGTTGTCCCTCCTGAAGCGCGCATCGTATGCAAATAGCGCTGCCAATTCAAATGTCGTGCATACCCAAAAACGTGTCGAATGACTACTCCACGCAATTTTAGATTTCTTCCAAGGTGGACGATCTCCTCTCGGTGCCGCCAAGGAACGGAAGTAATGCACGAAGGATTGCCCACAACTCACCAGGCCCCATTTGCTTATTTGGTCCACGCGCGCAGATAAGTCGAGTGCCCAAGAGCTGAGGGGTTTCAGTGAGGGGAAAGCGAATTCCCAGCACGGTGGAACTTTTCCACTAAGCAAAGAGCACTGCAGAGCTTCCAGATCTTCTGACATCACGACGAGGCCCGCGACACCCCTCTTTAGATGGCGCACCATCTCTGTGACGCACGCCAAGAGCCTGTTGAGGCGTTGAGCCTCCTGTATCATAACGACCCTTAGAGGCGATAAGTCTTCAACTGTTGCCTGCTCCATCCTTGGGATATCCAGATGGTTGGGAAGTACGCTTTCGAGGTGATCACAGCACCTCAAGACCTGGAGGTTTAACAGGCAGAGTTGCATATTACGGCATTTGGTTTCCACCTAAGCTGTTTGTTGCCGGGGTGTCTTTCATGGTGTACAAGCGACATAATTTAATATTGTATTGCTGAACCCAACGCACACATCCCTTTCCCCTAAGAAAGTGTGTACCCTAGATTCTCGTGTCTCAGCGTCTCCAGTGTCGCTGATATCAGCCCCTGGGTGTTGTATGCTTAAGAGAGTTGCGAAAAGTTCCTCGGCCTCCTCTATCTGTGATTGAATTTCGGCGTTAACGTGTTGGCCGAAGAGCTCGGGTGGATCTATTGCTGGCAGCTCACGAACATACTGCCTTAGGCCAGTCTGAAAGAATGCGCACAAGCCGGGCAGTTCTCTTCTGTTGTTTTGTTAGTGTTTGGCCAGAACGGGCAACGTGAGCTTGTTAGAGAGCATCAGTTGCGAGAACCAAGCACAGGCTCCCTTTCGTTTTTCTATTGACGACTCGATGCGCGAATGGGCCTGCGCATACTAACGATGTGTCTTCAGGCATAGGATACTGCTGGAGCCCTTGAAATTTAAAGTCGTTCGCCAACACTTGCGGATTTAAACAATCGTTACAGTAAACTCGCAGGAGTCGCATGTCCCTTTCGTCCGTCAGGCGGCCACCATAACACGCTCCTGCAATTCGGAAGCGCACTGCATCCCAGGGGAATTCGCTTGTAGACTGCACCACCAAACGCAAAACCAACGTTGAACAAACAATTATTGCCGCCTACAATGTTGCGCAGGATATATATTACCGTACTAGCCAAATTGACAACGATGGAGTACCTGTTCACAGTATGAGGCAAGGAGGCTGTCTCCCACGAAAAAGTCGCTGTCGCTGAAACTGGCCGGTGTGTTCCACCCGAAATTGTGAAATTTGCCCCTCTCAATAAGTAGGGAATGCAGCCAACACAAAGAAAAGAAAAGCCGCTTGTAGCGTTCCTCTCCCCCAGCAACGCGCTGCATATCTTCCTCGGTACGCTGTTGCAACAGTCGCTGGAGATTGGCTTTTAGCCCCCGGGGCCTCTCTATAGATATTTTTTTTGACCTGCATACCCAGCGAAAAGCTGCAGCATTGAAGCCAGCATGTTGCAGATCGCCACCATTTGACTACGGACTGTAACGACGGACTGTGTGGAGTAGTAACCCACGTTCTACATTTTCCACTTTCCCAGCATGTTGGTGCAGTACCTTTGCAGTAGGGCAAGTGGAAAATGAACTGTAGGCTCAGAACTAAGCCACAGCCGAAAGTCAGGGTGAAGGTGAGCTTCAAGAATTTCTTCCGCTAGCTTCTCAAGCGCCGGCAACCAAGATATAGCAAGGTGGCAGTTAGCCAGGAATACCCAAAAGCCATGGCGGGCACCATCGCGAATAACTTGTTCTGCTCTGAGCGCTTGCCCTTGGCCTAGTGCAACTGAAACCACCTGATCAAAGTGCAAGGAGAATGCTGTCTAGCATGAACTCTAATCGCCACAAATCATGGAACGGAGCAAATAAAGCACCCCTTCATTGCTGCCGTTTTGCCCCTTCGACCAATGTGGCCCAGTCTGTTTCTCACGGTCGTGTTTTTTGATGTGGCAAATGCCGTAAGCTGTCCAATAGGATCTACTCCAGACAGGATGAAAAGCAAGGGAACAGAGCTTTTCGACGATGACAGCAGCTCTTCCCAATCCAGCGGCGAGTTCTCGACGAACTTGGAGTCCATAGTCTCGGTGACGAAACGAGATGCTGCAGGGATAATTCTGTCAGGACGAAGACATCTAATGACAATAAGCCGCTGCAGAGCATCCAGTCTGCTTTGCCAGTCGCCGGGCAGCGTAGCGCGCTCAGGCTCTGTGGAGCCAAACCATCTTCGCCACTCCCTGCGTCGAATATAATCAGGAGCCCATCTCGATATAGTTTCCAAAAGAGAATGTAATGACGGAGATGCTTGTACAGCAGCGTCGAAGGGTTTGCTGTAGGCTACGCAGCAACCAGTACCCAGGAGTTGTACCCGTGAGCATATGATACCTTATGTTTTGCTCTATTGAGTTCTGCAACCCTTGGAGACCCTCCAATTGGTCAGCCTTGCAAATCAGCTGCCAAACTGCTGGTGTAATCCATTCCGGGTCCGGATTGGCAGCGAGTGGAGACGAGTCGGGAACGCCTCCATGAGTAAACAAGAAGGCATATTCTTGCCTATTAATTTGGTCATCAGCTAGAAGAACGCTAGCACACAAGTGAAGGCTTAGCAAAGGTTTATGACGTTCAAACATCCCTTGCCTTGCGTACCTGTTCAGCAATGCAATACACATCCCAAACAGTTCACGATTACTTCCCAATGTTCTAGCGAATTGTTCTCCGGCCTAGCCACGAGCCTCAAAATGAGGCGGATTCTTACTTGTATACGGCTAGCGTGTGATCGGCATTCAGTGCAAGGACGTGGTCTTCCGCGGAGGCTGCCATTGCATTGGACTCCATCGCCGCTTGGATTGATTCCACAAATAATTCCTCATATGCGTCTAGTGAAAATTGGTACATGGAGTCTGCCATCGCTAGATCTTGCAAGACGAAATATAGGACAGATGCTCGATGGCCGCATGGTCTGAAAAGAAGATAACCAGTGTTCATCTTGCCGGTATGTCGGATAATAGTTAGCCTCCTGCATCGTGTTATGACTGAACCTGGTGCTTAGGAATCTCGATACTGCGCGGAACTTTACCGGTACGCCTCCCGTGCTTGATCAATTTTCTTCATGGTGCGCTCAGAAACTTCAATCTGGGAGCTGACCTCGCCGGCAACGCGCTTAGAGTCCTGGGTTTTGGGGCATCAGCATATTGGCAGAAGCAGTTTAATGTGGTGGTCCTCGCTGTGTGTTGAACTGCTTTATATCAACGTGTGTCGACAACTCTCTACCTGCACCCGTTTTCCTTGCTGAGATGCTGACTAACGACTGTACAACACCAGGGGCATATGCAAAGTATGTGTACAGGCTTTGGGGGTACCTGAAGCACTCGAATTAGCTCCAGGTCATCTAAAAGACATCCTCTTGCATCTGTCAGCAGTCTAAGAATTTGATCCTCAATGTCTTGCAGCCGCTTTCGCCCTTCAGCCAGCTTTAGAACTAAGGCGTGCTTATGAGCCTCTAAACTTGGCTCTTCTTTCATGACAACGATTCCCTACATCGTTCACACTTGTCAAATTAATGCTGAAGATCAATATCTCAGCACACCAACAATGGTGGACATATCAAATTTTACGGCGAAGGGACCAGTGCAGGAGGCTATTTCTCTCCCGTCTCACAACAGAATTCCTGAGCGAATGCCTCTTGGTTAGGCATATCTTATTGCTTTGCGTATCGTTTCTGCAGTTGACCATGACTACCCTGAGTGGAAGGAGCCCAAATGTGTTTAATACGGTGAAGCCCGCTAAAGTGAACGATGAGTGTTCGGGCTGACCAGCAACTGTTCAGTGAGGCCGTCCTGCATGATAACAAAGTTAATTAAGGTTACTTCAGCCTCAATCTCTGGCGGAAACAAGGGATTGCCTATCTTGGTTGTCATCCAAAGAGAAAAGCTATCGTCCAGTGGCACGAGCTGCTCTCCTGAAATAGGAAACAACAAAGTGCAAGTCCCCTCATCTTTCGTCTTTGACAGTGTCTAAGTGATCCTGCACACTGGCTCACCAATGCTAATGAACCGTTTCCCGTTAACGTCGACAACATTCTTAGTAATGATGGGCTCAAGTGATGGGTCAATTTGAGTTTGCAAGCGCTCAAGCAAAACGCATCTTCCTGTTTGCACTGAGAGGTGGAGAATTCGCAGGAGTGACTTTGACTCGGGATCGACAACCTGTGATACAACAAGGAGAAACAGGACATCGGATATGCCCACTGGCCCTGTGGGGGCACGCTAGCGTGTGGAAAATACAACAAACAAGATTCTGGACGCCCCCCGCAATTACCGTGATTTGCGATGACTTCAGCTTTCTTATCCAACGATTTGCTTGATTTTGGGGGTCAATAATTAAGGGCCACTTCGAAGCTTTCGTTATTAAAACGCCATTTTCGGCAGAAAACGGGTCAGTTGGGAGTCCGTCCAATTGCCACTGTCTAACGTCTACAGGAGTCACGAAAAAATCCGTGAAATCAAAGTCTGCGCTACACGGGATGCTCGAATCTTGCAGTTTGCTCATCCAGAGATCTTTAACCTGCCAAAGATAACCAGCAACTGAGCAGGGTGACACTTTTCATCTTTGTTCTTCGTCTGTTATGTTTGGCTTTTTCTTGTTTGCAGGCACAAAGTCCTTCCACTATCGCGCAGCCCACTGAGCTTACAAGGTGCGACCTGTACGTAGATGTAAATGGACCGGCGTATGACATAAAGGCTGATCCAAGGAGGGCGTCCCCAGGGATGTTTCCCAGCTTGTCCTTGTAGCTTTCCAAGGAGAGCTCCCAGCGATCTCTTTCGTCAGCCAAGCCAGTAATAAGGCTTTCTGCTCTCTCCAGCTTCACTCGCAATTCCTCAGCCGAGCTGTTAAGCTCGCTCTTGTTGCGAAGGCTCTCGTCGTATTGATTATTCAGTTCCTCAAGCCTACTTTGTATGTCCTCTAGGCTGCGCAGGAGACATACTGTGTTCTCACATTGGCTCTTGGTGGCTCGGACAGCCGATTTGATGCACACGCCCAGCGGGAGTAAGTTACTTCACACCCACTGGGGCGAACAGTCCTACCTTTTGCGAGCGAGGCGTAGGTCACTCTGCTTCTTTTCGAGCTCCTCTTCAGCAAGGCGTAGCTTTAGACGTTTTGGTTCCACTTCCCGGTAAACCTCCGCGTACATTTGCATTGCATGAACCCACAAGCACAAGGCCCCAGCAGCACGAGACACCTTCTGCACGTTTGGGGGTGCAAAGGAAGGGTCTTTTGTGAATTTCTCGATCTTTTTCAAAGTTGCATTCGTTATTGAATCTTTGTCGAAGTTTTTAACTCTTGTCAGGAAGCTGGGATCATTGAGCTCTACTTTTGCCTGAGACCACGAAGGCGGTTTCTCCATGACGGTCATGACAGCTGCCATCGTTTTTACCACGAGGTCTGCAGCATGCAACAAAACTACCTTAAGACACAGTTGTCAAGCACAAGGGGTCCTGACTCCTGCAGCGTATTGTCAACTGACAAGTAAGACCAGGCAGTGTTCTGCTTCAAGGACCTGGAGGCTTGGTGTATGCTTTGACTTCCGCCACAGACTTCTTATCAAGTTTCTCCAGTGCGTCTATTGCTGCTTCTAGTGCTGGCATCGCCTTCGCAAGATCTCGCCTGGCTTCATCTGACAGAATTTTCGTTTCCATTTCTTCGGTTTGAATACGGGCACTGTCAGCTTCAACCTGAATACGCATGAGGAGTAACACTCTCCAACCCATTGAAGAGGGACAGGGTGTCAAGTTGTGCGCAAGGGGATTAAGTGCATGTCCTCCTATTGCAAAATCCTGAGGTGGTTTTAGTTTCAGCTTAAAAACTTAGGCCTAGCGCCTTGCGTCTTAAAAGAATGCATATTTTGGAACACCCGTATGCGTTCGTGAAGTAGGAAGGTTTACACAGTTGACCGATGCATTAAGTAATAGAATACCTGCTTCATCTGTTCATCCGCCAGAGTGCGTTTTTCGACAATAACCACCATCAGCTCGTCACATTCGCGCTGCTTTCTTGCGACGTCCTCCTTTTTGGCTTCAAGCTCTTCATTCATTGCCTCCACCTGTTCACGCGCCTCTACTAGCTTGCCTAGACCACTTGAAAGCTTATCTATTTTCTCGTGAACTCCATCTTTCTTCGCCTTAAGCGTGTGACAATATCCCTAAGCACCGAATCGGGCATGCCACTACTTATCCCAAAATTTCTGCACCAACGTGAGGAATCTAGTCGATTTGTGGTGAAATGACAAAGACAGCCTCACTCTAACGAGTCGAAGAAACTTCGTTGGGGTAATGAAGCTGGTTCTCTTAGCCTCTTTCCGAAAGATTTCAGCCTCCTCTATGGCATCCATGTGAACATAGCTGCTGGCTCGTGCAACTGATTCCCTAGCATTAGCTTCCATATCAGCAGACTCCAGGAAGGTAGCTGCAACCTCCTCAAGAGCCTCGCGGGGCCACGTGAAGAACCAGTCTATTGTCGTTTCATTAATGAATGCAGGGAACATCCTGAAGCCAAAAAGTGTCAAGGACCTAAGAGGTCTGCATCTCGTTTCCTATTTGCTGGAATGATGCACAGCCACGGCAAACAGGGACGCGGAACTGTGGAGTTTGCTAAAGTGGCCGTGCTCTTGTTTGCTCATACCGGCAATAGTCCCTCATTGTGCTCCCGATTGGACTGACGCAGAGAAGCACTCGAAGATTCTCTCTAACACGTGCTAAGAAAAACTCATACATTGCATCCGGCTGTTGTGAAACCTTTGCAGCTTCAGCTGCAGGTTGAAGGTCCTTGAGCAGCATTCCAAGACTGTCAGCATCTAGCATTCCCGGGATTTGTCCAGAGCCTAGTAAGCTGTTCAGACAGTCTGAGAATGCGTCAGTCTTGAGATCTTTGTCAGTCAGAAGTAAACTTGAGCGGACACCATCTCTCCCTGAGTCCAAATTCTAAACATGGCTTTTGGGTGCTTGGGAAACAGCAGCCCAGTTTCCAGGTAAGGCGTTATCGATTCAAACATGTAAGAACCAGCTTTACCTGCTTTCACAATGTGTTGTTTTAATTCCTCCTGAAAGTCCCGAACTGTAAAATTCTTCGTCACTCGGATTCGCCAGAGGTTTAGCTTGAGTAGTTTCGTAGCAAATGTGGCCAGCGATTTTCTTCCACTACCTCCTATACCCACTAGCAGCATGTGACCTCTGGGCATACAAAGTGTTCTGTGTATCCTACAGCAATGTTCGACGGCCTCCCTGAATGTAAACAACAAGAAAGGGCCTGTTCCGAGTGGCCTTAAACTATGCACCAGGAGTGGCTTGCTGCGTGAAGTTCAGTTGCTTAAGGGTACGGCGAATGTGCTATAGCCTTCTGCTGACACTGCGTTATACAAACGTATGAGGAGCGAATGTGCTCTCCTCATACGTCTGTATAACGCAGTGTCAGCAGAAGGCTATGGGCAAGCCATACACCATCCACAAGCAACCTACTTGAAAAGGACAAGGTGGATTGCCCCTGTAGTGCTCGTTGCATTGATCTCATTGAGCTTTAAGCGTAGGCTCATCCTTAGAGCTTGACGATCCGGCACTTCCTCGTATCCGCCAAGTGACAAGGTCCCGGACTGCTCTAACCGCAAGTGGCTAAATAGAATGCCACGTTCCTTCGTCAAATCCTTTGTCCTCATCTGGAAGTTTTTCTCAAGAATTCCGTCCAATATCTCTATAAATTGGTCTACATCCAAGGCAGATGCCAAGCGATCTTGATACACGCGTTGGCACTCATGATACCTTTGTACATAACCCAAAACAAATTGCACATAGAAGTGTTATTTTGCCTTTACGTTTGTTCAGGGCTGTCAATCCAGCCACCGGGTCCCTTCCATATGTGCATTGTATAGAAATTGCCAAGTGCTGACCATAGCTTCAGCAAGATATCCCTGTCCTCAATGCTCCGATGGTCAGCTTGGTATAAACCTTGGACAACTTTTGACATATCGCGCATGCTAAATAGGTAGTGAGGTTTTCCAGGCTTTGGTCTGAATGTTTGCCGGACGGCTTGGTGCAATGCCACGGTGGATGCGGCAATGTTCTCTGCGATGCTTCTCACGTCCTGTAGTGTGCGGAATGTTCACATAGGCGGGCAGCGTAGTCGTAGGCGTTGGTATAGTAATACACAACTAAGATATTCTCCAATAAAACTCACCTCCTTAAAGTCAGAGAACTTGTGGACTACGAGTGTTTGGTATATCCGATTTATTCGGGGCAAAGGCGGCTCCAGAAAGGCGATAGTGTTGAATCGGGAAAGTAGACGGGAAGCTATGCAAGTTCGGCCGCCCTCGGGAGCTCCCATGGCCGCAATAAGTTGTGTGTCAAGTACTACCTTCAGTGATTGCCGGGCTCGATCATACCTGAAGATGAAAATGGCCCAACTGTAAACGGGGTGCTGCAGAATGCTAGTGGAAGAGTGCATGAATGGCTCTTTTCTTGCCACTGTAATCTTACCAGCAGCCATAATCAAGAAAGTGCCTTAGAAGTTCAAGAGGCGGCTGAGATCCAAATTCATCGGGCTTCGGCATACTCAGGTCGTCAACGAAACAAAGTAGTAATTTTCTTCCAGACGGCCCCCACTTCCCTTTAACGCGCTTTTCAAGCTTGCTCTCAAAGCCCTGCACAATTCCAACATTGATGCGGGCAAGCCATATGCCTGCTAAATTACCATATTTCACCCTCTGGGCCGAATTATCAATTGCGTACCTCTTGTGCCTCTTTTGACGAAGTCTGGGAGGAGAATGTAAGTGTCATGGTTGTATAGACACTGTCCGGTAAGTCGTCGATAACGGCTTTCTTGATGCATGACGTTTTGCCGCAGCCACGTCCCCCAACCACGAGTGCGTTTACTTTGTGTCTCAGTAATCCACCCAGAAGGAAGGCATGGCATACTACGTCTGCCGTTGGAACAAATATCCGATGGAATGGCATGCCATCTAGAGGCCTGACATCACACATATGGTGCGTGCCATCTTCAAAGTATTACCTCTTCAAATAATTACCGTAAGCTGTGCCACTGAAACCGTTGTGCGGCCAAGTACATTTCTTCTGAACAAAAGCCAGTTGCCATCTGGGAAGGCATCCCACTAGATTTTTCCAGAGAGGGAAAATAGAAACCACCAGCAGGGACCTCTTCCGAGGATACGAAAGAACTATCTGGACGGGCTTCTAGACTACCTGTACGGCGACGGCACCCGGTCCTCCCACAAAGTCCAATCACCCTTCTCCGAGCTCAGCGCGTAATCATATACGGTATGTAATGGAGGAAAGCTGTTGCTTAGTTGACGGATTATGTAATCAAAGTGTTGCCGGCTGGCTTCAGCCACAGCTGCTCCGACAGACCAGGTGAGCGAAAACAAAAAGAGTTTCTCCAAGAAGGACTGCGTTCCATGGCCCTGAGACGTTGCAGTCGGAGCACTAGAGTCGATGAGCGACATGAAAAGCTGGCATCGACAGAGACCCTCCCATTACAAGACTGAAGTCAACTACAGCTTCGCCGACACGTGTTGGTGTGTGGGGCCCTGACCTTTACACTAATGGTTGGTTGCGCAGCAAATGCGTCGAACAGACGACACAGTGATATGACAGCACCTATTTCCGACACCTTCACCACGTGCTCACAGTCTTTGACTGCCTGAGACGACATGCACAGGTGATGATGGGGTTTTGGGAGCATTTATGGCTTCTGAAGAGTCCGCACTGTTGAACGGGGAGTGATTGGCTTGCAATGCCTGGTCACGCATTCCGCCATATCAGACGAATGCCTTCATTTTACTGGAACCCCGCGTCAGTACGCAAAGACGCTTGCTGCTGAGGAGCCATACCTCCAGCACTTTTGGAATATATTTGTCGAAGAGCGAACGAAGATACCTGGCTGAATCATCAGTGCCGTACTGTCTAGTTAACCATGATTCCACGTACGGTGCCCAACCTAAACCGCCCCACGCTCCTAATTTCCACCCTTTTAGTCTTGTGGGTGCGTATTGGCTCTTCGATTGTGCATAGATGACAATGCTAAGTCCTCTTACTGTGCGCGTCTTGTACGATTCTCCAGGGTAGGCGTCTATGTTATCGCAGTGAGCTCACCTAGCATTGTGGGATCCATGAAGAGGATGCCTACCCTACTAACGGTTGCTGGAGAAGCCGCTGAAAGGTTTTCTACTTCGAAAAGCAATGACACCTGAGTAAACACCCCGACATGATGCAAACAAATAACCTCTAATCCCTGGTGCTAAAGCGGGATGCCATGTTGATTAATTCCCACCTGTGAATGCAGTTCAATTCGGTCTCCATTTGTCAACGTTAGTGTTTTGTTATCATCAAGTAGCGAGTTCATGCTTTCAACCCATGTTGTATCAACGGGTCCGTCGAGCACAACCCATCTGCTGCATCGGCTTTGTAGTTGAGCTTCGTTGCAGGAAGTCCGAAGCAATGCTGAAAATACCCCATCTGTCCATTCTCGTGTAGTAGGGCTGAAACCGCCGTAGAGCTCAGCTCCATCCAGTGACTTTGGGTTGACTATGCACTTTCTAACGCTAGGGTAATCCAGACCTGATATTTGCAGATGGGCCAGTGCCACATTTGATGCGTTCCCAAATTAGACAAATGCGGCTTTACCGCAACTACAATGTAAACAGGCGTATTGGCTGGATCGACGGCAGAATGATGGTTGCAAGCAAATCGTAAATGCTGCATACATAATTGAGCAGCCTAACCTTTACTAGCAAGGTAGGTCAAAGCTTGTTCAAGCATTGACAGCACCGTGGACTTTCCGGAAAGGGTACTGCCAACTAGCATGTTTCCATGACGAGTTTGCATGCACTGATACAATTGTTGAGCTTTTGTCGCTTCATGCTCAACTTTAGTCCAACCGTTTTTCTCTATGATCACTTCCAGGGCCTCCCGAAGCGTTTCTGATTCACTCTGAAAATGCGTACAGAAGGCGCGCGTGAATCGTGCATAAGTGATTGCACTGCTATTACGGTCATTGGCACAGGAAACGTACTTCAGCAAGCTCTGCCTCCGGGAAAAGGTCCTTGACAAGAGCAAACAAAATATCCAAGTCCTCTGGCACAGTCTTGGGGACAACCAAGTCAAGGATTGCTTGGATTACCACAGCTTGTTCCGCCATGGTTTCGCTTGCCTGACGCTTGATTTCCCCTGCTCTTTGCAGTGCCGCACGAATTGGGCGGAGTCCAAAGTCATAGTGGTCCTGTTTGCTAAGCTGCTGCGCCATCAGTTGGAAAAGCGCAGTAGCTTTGCGTGAAAGCAGCCTAGCAGACTGAGGCGCCCACACCCACAAATGTCGGACATGAGGATCTCAGATCTTGCCCAGTGCGCACTGGCATGACTCCCATACACAGGAATGTAGCATCTGTTGAATCTTACGTCAAATCCCTCCGCCATCAGCAAAATTTCGCAAATAAGAGAGGCGTCAGGGGTCATCATAGCAACTGGCCGGAAAAGGCTTTTTAGGTTGTCAGGTAGTTCGGCTCTCCCTTTGTAGCCTGGATTCATGGTGGTGAATATCCCGCAGCCAGGGTCTAAGCGGACCCTCTGGCCCTCAAAAAAGAATTTCCGTTGGACGTGTTCATCCGTCGCAACTTCTCTGCAAAAGGAACGCCCACGATAGCAAACGAATCATGGCGTATTGCTTACCGAAATTTGCACCTACATCAGGCACCGAAGCTCTTGCGCACCTCAAGGCATTCTGAATAGTTGATATTTGCTGTGCAACGACGGAGAGGACTTCTAAACCAATGCGGTTGAACTCATCAAAGCAGCACCAAGCGCCGCTTTGAGCCAGTCCACTAAATATTCGCCCTAGCGACATGAAGTCCAGAGCGTCCGAGCAATTGAAAACAATAACAAATTTTGCTAGGGTTTTCCCAAGGTCCTTAACTGTCTCTGTCTTTCCTGAATTGAACGAACAGAACCGCGGGTAGAGCACTCCTGCCATTCAGTTAATGGTACTCTACCTGCGTCGGGACAATGGATCATGACGGACAAGCGTAGCTACGACCGGTTTTCCTGAGGAACCACACAGAAGTGTGGAGTTTGCCGACCAGTTCCTGCGGGCCCCTGGCACGATCCACCCAGTCTCAAATGCAGAGCGAATGTAAGCGCCATGAAACACTGGTCCGTAAGAGGGGTTATGACTAGCCGACTGTAAATGCCCTGGTACTCGTAGCCATAAGGCGTAACTGTTTCCGTCTGGAGGCACTGACAAACGAGGGCTCCTGAAAGTCCAGGCTGGGCTGAGGAAGCCGAAACACCATCTAGTTGGAAAGGCACATAGGACTACTAGAATGACGTAAAGAGCCTCGAGAGATTGTCCCAGTAACTAAATAGTCCCCGTACAACAAACAGTATTGCAACGGTGATTTTCCCGAGTGATGGTCACTTTTGTCTGCCTCGTGGATGTCTTCTCGCAGCTCCATCCTAAGCTGTGAGGTCCAAGAAAAGTGATGTTCGCTGTCGCAGCGACTCTGCATCAATTTTTCCTGCACACGAACAATGAAGTACAAATGTAAGAGCAATAACCGACGCTTCATCTCGCGGTAATTAAGCAGGGACAACATAGCATAGCGGAACTTGTCTCTTACATGCACATCTCTGTTATGTACTTCAACGGTCACTAGCGGCTTCAGCTTCATTCTCTCCCTGTCGCTCCCAGCCTTTTTCATAAGTTCTGCCAGATGCAGAAGCTGTCTCGACTGATGACGTTTTAAGGTTTTGAGAGCCATTTTGTTTCCCCTGCTAAGTCGGCGGAGGGCACTTTCGGTCTCCGTAGTCCTAGCACGGCAGGAGGCTTTCACAATACACTTAGGCCAAAGTGGAATAACTTCCTGTTGCAGGTATTTTGTAGTGGAAGCAATGGAAGCTACTTGGTGCACCGAGAAGCGCCTGCCCACCAATTAATCTGGGAAGAGGTTATGACAAGCTGGAAGCAATTGTCTTTGATCCACTTGTCCTTTTTCGTCCCATGAGCCATACTCTGCTGGTGGACGGTGACCAGCTGCCTCCTTAGAGTATCTCGCATCGCCTTTGTAACCTGTAGACAGATTCAACACTGTGGCGACAATTGTGTTTTGGAAAATGCACAAAGCATATTCATCCCCGGTAGGGAATTGTATGTGCTGCTCCGTATACCTTGTTCAGCCATTGCTCTACTCCTCCTTCTACAACTATTGGCCTTGGAATGAACTTCAGTCTCTCCCCTTCGCAGGATGTAAATCCATCCGCTTCCCAGCATCTGTTTCCGCGCTTGCCTGCAAAGGTTGGCAAACATCGGTTCAATACAATTTAGCAGTTGTCATAACCACCAATTATTGGAAACAAAATGAAAATTTAGGACAGTACATTTAGTCGACACTGGACGCACCAGGAGGAACCAAGTCCAGGCTCTTAATTCCTTGAAAGCACTTCTTTATGTGCTTCTGGATCTTTTCTGGATCTTTTGCCTCCCCCAGGATTTCTAGCATGTCAGAATTAGAAACAAAGTAGAAGCGGGGGAACTCCTGCCTACCAACACACCAGCAGGTATATCAGTTTGAAAAAGTTGTTGTCGAGCACATGCTGAAAATAAACGTTGGCATCATGTCAACCAGACATACCTTTTTCTCTCAAGATAGTCGTCTAGAGACTTTTGTATATCTTCTAAATCATCATTCATAAGGTGGAGCTCCTCCCGTATATTTGGCTGGCTGCACGCATTGACTAACGTCGAGGCCTGCTGAAAGTTGAGAAGAGTATAGAAGAATAGCCTGTCCGTTCTGTCAAACAGCGTTGCCTCTTGCGGTAGCAGTATGCGAATATCTTCCGATCCTGTCATGGCATGCGCAGTGCACTGAATTGTCGTAGGCTCATCAAGACGTACAAGTGCAGCGTTTGTTTTACTACTGAGACAACTAACCTACCTCGAAAGACATTTTCCAGGTATACCCACTGTCTCTGAACCTGCTGGAGTAATTCCAGTAGCTCCGCAATTGTAGATAACGTGGACTCCCAATAGTTTACAAGGTCCTTGAATGGAAAGTGAAACTGGTCACTTTTTATAGTTGAAAGACTCAGCAAATGCTCTTCCAACGTAGCCAGGAGGCCCTCATCTGCCTCGACGCGGAGCATGTTAGTCTTGTATGGCACAATATTAAGCTCCAGAGAGCTCCACACTGCGATTATGTCATTCAGGGCCACTTCAATTTTGAATTCCTTCCGTGCTTCGTCGGTAAGGCGAGAGATTAAGTCTGCAGCAGGGCGAGCATCCTTCGCATTCCTAAAGCTTACGACAAGGACCACTAACGTAGTTATAAGCAGCAACAGAGACTGTTGCGCAACTAACCGGATCGGCGCAAGAGTTCCAGGTGGAAAACAGATTTCAAAGTAAACTCCGGAGAGCGCTGATCAAACTTCTCCGCCACTTCCGCCTTGATGCGGTCCCAATGGCGATCCCTAATAGACTGCAGGCATAACACAATCATTAGCACCTCCGTCGCAGTATAGGTGTCTTAATCATGGCTTTATGCACCCACGCAGGAGATGGCAAAAACATTACTTGTTTCCTCGTTGATGCATGATGTAGTAGACCTGGATTTAGATGCTCTCAGCGATCCAGTGTGCCTCTCACGGGATCTAGGAGGTTCGTAATGAGAGGTAAGGCTTGTGTTAATTGTTCCAGCTCGAGGTGAACCTTGCGCCAAATCGCCCAGTCCCGCCCTTCCTTAATGCTCAAAAGCCTCTCAAGGAAAATATCTCCTTGGGCGTGAATTTCTGGTACATCTAGTGAATAAAATGGTTTGTCGCTCATTGACTCCCATGCTCCATCCCATTCATTCTGCTCAGTGTTCACAACGCAGAAGCAGGGGCAAGCAAGATTTATGCTCCTTTGCATGTATACGTTAGCATTGTGGTACTAGCTTTACTGGTATAGTTGGATAACTTCTTTGTACATCAGGCAGTGCATGAGACTAACTTTTAGTGACCACACTTCCCATAGCTTTTCAATATCACTCTGCATCTGCTCCAGGTCCCGACTGGTGTGGTATTCAATGCCAAAGAAGTCGAGGATCGGAACCAGTTGGTCCCGGTCAGCACATAGTTTGCTGATCTCAGCTTTGAAACCCTGTATAATGCCGAAGGCGGTGGCTGTCTCGTAGTTAAAGGATGATCCGTCAAAGGGAGCAGATGTCATAAATTGTTTGAAGAGCTCTGAAGCCCTTCGGCCTAACACGTTGACAAGTATTTCCGTGTCTACTTTCATTGCTTTTTTGGTCCTGACGCCATGGAGGAAAGCATGCACAACAAAGACAGTCGTGCAATTTTGAGGACAGCAACTTCACTGAAGGCGGAATGTGTCTGGCATTAATCGATTGGCAATTTTTCCAGCACAATTTTCGCCATGGAGTGTTAGGTGACTTTAAGATAAGAGCCAACTGCCGGATACACCTGCTCTCTCTGATACTATATGCATCGCACCTAATGAGCATAGCTTCCGCAGCTTCTAGGGCTGCCGCGAATCCGTCAATTGCTGGGGTGAGCTTTTCAAGATTCGCAGTTTCCTCTTCAGACACTTTAACTGAAAGAACCCCCACAAAGGCTCAAAGTCGTCCGTTTGTACCAAGACTTTGTTGCTCCCCATCCAGAAGCTCATTAATAACTAGAATGAAGAAATACCAACGCTCATCAGACTCACCAAAAAACCAAAAGAAAACGGGGTTTTTGCCACTGAAACTTTGACGGTTGCAGGCAGGCCTACCTTTGACCTTAGGTGGTAGATATCTGGCTCGTACCTCGAAGATCCAGAAGAGTTGAAAACTGCTTCTGAATAGGCTGGATTTTGCTGCGCAAGACTGGAAGCTGCTCTTTGCAGAAGCTGCATAGTTCCACTTGGCTCCTCAGTTCCTCGGTATTCGTGGGCACCCGCTGAAGTATCTTGGTGTTGGCTGCACGATGCATCCACTTAGCAATAATAATTCTAGCTCAAATTTTGAAGACTTCACGAAGAAACACCAGAAACGGAAAACGTGTATTCCTTTATTGTGTAGGGTCTCTGCGTGCTTACAATCAATGAAGTCAAAGACTGCATGTTGTTCTTTCCTAGCGCTTTCATGCAAATAGGCAGTGAAACACGTTCGTTTCATTTGGCACTGTTCCAGCAAAGATTGTTTTAGCTGTGTAAAGTCAGTTTCCAGGAAACAAATAATTGTCTGAAGGCATGTACGCACACAAACAACTCAGGAAGCCCACCTAATCCGATGTGGGTAATTTCGGTTTAGGGTTGTCTTTGATACCAAGTTTCTGCTCAGGCAAGGTTGACCGAGTATCCGGCTAACTTTTGATTCCTCCTGTTGTATATCACTTTGATAGTCGCTGTACTCCTGGATAGACGAGACAACCAGCTGTAACGGCTGCTCCGATCGTTGGAGCAATATGCCTAATGCCTCTGCGTTTTCTTCTAGCAGGCACGAATAATTGGTGCTCCACCACTTCAGGCGTTCAAGGACTTTATGAGCCGTACTCGCTATGCAGCGCGAGACCTGCGAAGATGCTTACATTTAGATAGCTTCCGCGTGCATGTACTCTTTCTGTATACATGCGGCTGCTACTGGCTATCCCGTTGTTGCTGGTATGCGTCGGGAGGAGCCCTAAGCTCTACCTGTGAAGCAAGCTTTTCACATTCGTCGTCCGTAGCAAGTGAAGTATACCAGCTGTTAGCTTCTGTAGAGAATTCCTCTTCACCTGCAGGAATATGCATAAAAGATGCCAAGCAAATTCCAATGGGCAGTGAGTTCGTCAAAGCCCTACTCGTGTAGTTAACATCTGAAGCGCTGCATGGGTGAAGCACGCCCCACTTCAGGGGCGAAAAAGAGGCAGAGAACAGCCTTTTGTGAGACGGTATTAGTTAATAAGGAATACAATGTTGAGTTCAGAGAGGTGGGATAGGTTGTTGTTAGTAGTGTTGGCTGCAAGCTCCAGTGGACCTCGCTTTGCCTGCCTACTTGAAGACGGTTGTGCGTCCCTGTTACAAGCACATGGGGCAAACAGAACACATACAAAGACTATCTGTGTATTTCGCTTGAAAAATCGAACAAGCTGGTGGAACGTTTCTTGTGTGGCTTCCTGGTGTGCCAACTGACCTTATCTCCAGTGATTGGCACAGTTTGGGCAAATGGCTCAGCGTGAGGATGGCATCACTGCAGATGCCTTCCAGCGCTGACTTCAATTTATCTGGTGATGGGTCAAACGTCATTCGACTGCCATTCCCGTCCTCCTCAAGGCAAAGCACAGCGAAAATTCTCAATAGCGGATATGCATCAACGGCATTGCGTTTGCTCTCTTTTGGGTAGAGGGCTGTAGCAAGCTCCTGCGGCGAAACAGGGCGAACAGAAGCAGTTAGAGGTAGTGCGTGCCTCTGATCTATACATTCTATTCAGCTCCGACCCTATTTGCAGACAAGCATAGACCAGAACCCTGAGCCTGACTTCCTCATCCTTCCGCTTTGTTTGAGAATTCCGGTTCACCTGGAGAGAAATGCGGGCAATTTTCCGTAGTGCTTCCCGCCACTCCAGATCCATTTTATCAACAAATGCTGTCCACTCTCTTTGTACATCTTTGTTTTGCTCCTTGAACAGCTGCAAACGAGAATGGGCAGCGAGCTGTTTTGTTTGGCCATACAGTAGAACATCCACTGTTCGGCTATCTGGCGAAAGAGATGGTAGAGACAGAATTGGTACCTGCAGTGATCTCAACTGCGTCGTCTCAGCGCAAAGAGAATTTCCCCTTTGGCATACCTCTTGGATGTTAAGAATATTGCCAACTATTTCGTTGTAATGGTCCTGTAGAGAGTTTAGCGCATCCTTCTGGACCTCAGCTTGTTGACAGAGGAAACCGTCAAGTTCCCTGGTATTCTTTTTGTCGACACAAATGAGGCGCACGCGGGTTGCGGCCTCCATGATACCAGCAATCGCTCTTTTTGCAGACTGAAACCGGTTCACGTATTCTGAAACTGCTTGACAGTCCTTCCAGACGTCCCGCACGAAAAACTCCTTAATACCCTGCAAACGAAAGTGGGCCAACACTTCAATCGTTGGCCCCAATGTGTCTATCGGCGTTTGCTCCATTCTTTCACATCGCGTGAAACGGGCAGTATTTTGGGGGCGATACACTGGCCTCTTCATACATGATCAGACCACCGTGCCTCCCTCACCTTCGAATTCCACGTCAGTTTCTGTATCCCTGGAGTAATTTTTTTGTCTAGCATACCGAAATGATGCTGGAATAAGCGTCGCTCCTCGGGCTGAAGGCACATCCTGAAAGCCGCCCCCGTGCGTTTGGCAAGTTGTGTCTGGCAAGCTGTTGCCCCACTTGGACAATATACGCAGCAAACGTACAGTTTTCTTGTCAGAAACTTTCCTTTTGTGCTGAAACGCAAGTTAAACTTGCACGAAGCACTGGAACGTTTTAAAACCGAACTCTACTTTATTGGCTATCGGTGTTGATTCTTCTGAGTGTGTCACTTGCCGCTAGACCCTCAAATATGGCATTGTACGCCTTCACAATTTTTGATACATGCTGCTGTAAAAGGAATAGCCGGTCCTGGTGCCTCATTAGTTCGAGGATAGAAAATGGAAGCCGGATAGTCTGGTCTTGTAGGCACTGCCAGAAACGGGCTTCTTGCAAAACCCGTTGAAGCCCCTTGTCAAAGTTTAGCTCTAGTCCACCGCCTATAGCAGAATGCAACCCTACAATATTGGCGATTTCGGGGGGCTACTACAAAGGTTAGGTATAACTTCTGCTCAACGGTACTTTCAAAAATGTGTGCTGCATATACTCCACAATAGAGTTGCGAGTGCTGCATGCGCTGCATAACCTAGCTGTTTCAGCAGAATGCACGGTTTGAGCAGGATCCTGCAAATCAGCTAACCTCGCCCTTTGGTGAGAATGTAGATGTCACAGCCGAACTGTGGAAGATCAGAAGGTTGACTAGATTGCCCAGAGGGATTCAGGGTTTCAATCTCCTGCAGCCACTCCTGAAAGGACTTCTCCACAAATTTCTGCAACGTTGGAGCAACAAAGTTGCAGAAAAACACGAAATAGACAAATATTTGCCTTTTTCGTTCGTTCTTGAGTGTGATCAACACACAATCAGCTGAACGCGGTCTTTCTGCTTACCTGAAGCATGCTAATTACAGTTTCAAATAGATCGAGTGCTTGCTCGGCATCTTTACCGTCTGCGGGCAGAGCGACTCTACGCAGGGCTTGCAACTGCCTCTGCAAATATAGAGCGGCTCCTCGGCACCAAAGAGCAGCACCCGCCTTGTTTGGATGGAGCAATCTAGTCACCAAAAACGCCGCCCGAAACCTTTTTAGACCATCAAATTGCTTTTTGATTGCGAGCAAAGACTGGGGTAGAACATTAGAAAGACCACAAGACAGCGCATAATGACGTGTTTTTGACACGTTGATCGCAATACCTTGGAGAAACCTGACAGAGAAACTTGACAGTGCCACGGTCTACGGATCTTTCTTCAGATAACTTTGTTTCCCTTAACTTCTTGTTCCACTTACCTGTATGAAAAGCTTCCACACATCCCCGGCTTTCTTCTCCAGAAACCTTTGAATCTTGGGTCGTTTCGCAAGAACTTTGAAACCATCATAAATCTCGCATGCTTCTTCAACTGTAGCAACGCGTTTGAAGGCAGTTGCAATAACGTTCGTGTACATACATTCCTGGTCACGAACCTGAAATGTTACGCCATGTGGAGTGGCAAATTTTGTATAAACGACGAAGGGGAAAGCACTCCGGGGCCTTGCTCGAGGTCTGCAGCTTGGGTCATCCACCATCAAAATGGCAGGGCGAGCTCATGGCTGTGAAGACGTTTCCTCACCTGTTCCTTAAAAAGAGCATATTCCGTATGCCAGTTCGTAGCTTTAACATGCAGAACGTTGCGTCCCATTGCCCGCAGTCTCGCAAGAGACTTTCCAAATGTTTCTTGCATATCGCGTATGCTGCTGCGAATTGACTCTGTTTGAAATGCACCAAAAAAGGGCAAGTGGTTTATATGAACGTTGGCTTGCTGCGGAGGCTTCGCCTGGAGTTCCTCTTGTGAATACTCGCTTGCTCCCTGCTGCCGTAACTGAATTGTGGGGTTAAACTGGAGCTGCGCTTGGCAGACATCTAACAGATCGCTACATCTCTGCACAAAAGCATCGCTCTAGATCCACAACAGACAAGAAACACAGCGCATGTTCTGCATCCAAAAGGCAAGAAAAACGAATTGTTTTGTCTTGGGTGAAGTGTTTCGCCACTCATATTTCACTCATCGCCTTTCCTTCAGCAGCATTGTGGGGCAATTCTGTCTGCATGAGTTACCTCTGCAAACGCCGATCCGTCTGCAAAGTCCCAACAGCACAGGGCTTTCCCCTCGGCTTTAATTAGCGTAGAAAGTTGGCTGAAAATCTTATTGAGAGCTAGGCCGCATTGGACCGCGTTCCTCAGACTTTCCATCGGTTCCGCTACGTTTCCTGACCATATAGAATCAACATTTATCGAAGCCTGACCTCTCCGGATCATCTCGCCCGCGATGTTCCTCAGCAGGCCTAAGACGCACCCAAGCTAGAATGGATTAAGCCAAGGGCTTTCCAGGTGGGTAGAATAATCCAGCGATAAATTCAGACAGTGTGAGGCAAATGGAGGGGAATCCCGAAGGCTTTGCCGGAAAACGCTATGGGGTTTGTGTTTGTTTCGATGCTTACCACCGATCCTTTCGGGGGTGGTGTAGTACTTGCTGTGTGTTGCAACTATTCTTACAGCCATTAAAAGCCTAGTTGCCACTTGAGGAATTTGCGTTGATTCCGCTTCTCGCAGAGCCTGGCAAGGCTCGCGAAGCACTTCCAAGAATTTCAAGTTTTCATCGGCTAAATGCGCCGCCGCAGCAACCTCACGCTGTGCAACTCTGCAATCAAAGCCAGGTGACAGTCATGCAGATAACAAACTGTGACTTTATAACTCACAGAAGATCGCTGCTGTCAGTCCTTCGGATCATGCAACTCCATTCGCTTTTAAGGGGGTCAGACTGTGGAGGAGCTCAGATAAACCCTCGGGGGCACACACTGGAATGGTTTGACGTAAGGTGACTTCGCAGCATTCAATATCTTGAGAACAGAGTTCAACGATTCTTCCCGAAACTGGTCAAGAAGCGAAGCCAGATTCTGGGCATGCTCTGTCCACCGCTGAATTTCCCCCAGGTGCCCTGAGTCTACTGCCCCCTCCGGACCGTCCTGAGCATGAGAAACTTCGCACCCTGAAACACTAATACGTAAAGGATGCCTATTCGTGCGAAAAGCTGCCTAACTCAAGATACCTGAACACCAAACGCCTGCAGTATAACGACTTTCCGAGGAAGTTTACCTGGAGTGCCAGGATTTCTTTAACCTGCCGTGTCCAACACACTACGAGGGCCTCAAGCCGTTGTACACGATCACGATCGCGTAAGCATCCCGCAGTATCTCCAAGGTCCTCCAGTGGAAGGGCAAGCTTAGCGCATCCCTGAGCACGGTGCACTATGTCGGTCATTCGGCCAACATAGTTGGTCAGCTGCGGAGAAACCACATACAGGTTTTGTGCCCTAACAACCCGCCGGATATATTAAAACACGGTCCAGCCACGTTTTTCCAGGACTCATAGCTCTACTTTTCTAGGTGTACAAACTGCACTAAATTAGCGCGCAGACTCTACCCTTCTTAAAAGTTCTCTTTTAAAGCTTTGTGGCCACGCGTTGTTGTCTCCGAGAACAGGAATATGGACACCACGGATGATAGCAGCAAGGCGCGTAAGAACGTCGCCGTGGAATGAAAGGCACAGCAGCTGCTCCTCCGCATTTCGGAGTGTCACCAAGGAGTTTCTCTTTACGATAAAAACCAGTCCACGCCCGATACGCTCCTCGAGACTTGTCTGCTGTAGCATTGGACCGATGCAGTGTGCAGGAAGATCATCGCTAAACGATAGCCTTGCAGATCCCCCCTTTTCCATCACAGACTCAGCTTCTTCCCTGATATGTGTTGTCCCGCCGAAGGGAGGTTTGCTCATCCACAGAAACCACTGCGTGCGGTTTTCGTCAGTGCAAAACCTTGCGAATTCCGACGTGTGCTTGGGTGTCCAATCCTCGTCTGCCACGAACCCAGGCAACTGAATCTGAGCGACAAGCCACCGTGCTAGCCCTTCAGCTGCCTGGGAGGAGCACGTATCCTCCGCCGAAGTGTGGGAACCTGGCTCTGGCGTTCTGTTGCATTCTGCCAGTCTGCTAGATGGGACAGTCGTGCCATCCCCCACGTTCTCGTCGGGTGTTACCTCCCGCGTTTCAAGAGTGTCATCAGACATTGTTGTTCAGCAATATGGCTTCCTTAGTTGCCGAGATTTCGTATTTATTTGACGCCTTTGGGGGCGCCGCCGAATGAAAGCCTCCTGCCCTCACGAAAACAGCTGACTACTGCTCGCTAGCAAGCAACACGTCCAGGCGGAGCGTGCTCTATGCTCAGCGTCAGCGGATTTCATGCTCAAAATAAGTTTATATGCGGCGCATTTCGCCTCTCTGCTAAAGTTCGTACTTCCAAGCAGCACAGCCTTAGCTTTGTCCTAGCGAAGAAAAACAACTCTCAGGAAGAGCTGGGAGGGGCTGTGCAAGTTATACCGAACGTCTGGTGGTGGTCCTTTCACAATATACAGTAAAAATCTGTTTCTTATTTTAAAGTTTCTTGAGTACTTCTCAGGGGCCCAGTAGAGTTCTGCTCGGCGAAGAGTACAGTGCTTCCTCGGGGGTATTAGGTGCGTATGGACAAAAGGCGCCGCAGTTCGTCGAAAGATATACTAATAGCGAACTCAAAGGCAGTTGACGTCTTTCAACTCATATGCCATTATGCTGTAGCTGCTTGCGTTCAGCGATTGTTAGACGCAAATACTCTGTGTCCTTAATACTTTTCTTCCCATGTGTGGCAGTCGAAACTGCATGGCTCAGTACGCAATGCAAAAGCGACAGGCAGTGGTTCATCAGACGTTTAAGCTTTTAGTGAGTTTCTGGTTGAGATCACGACTCCCTGAAGTGTATACCGCTGCACCAATAGCATTTTTTGCGCTTGCGCGTGCATCAATGCTGCAAATGGGTGGAGGAAAACAAAAACTGAACGACCACTCTGAAATAAAAAGGCATTCTTTAAAACGGATGTGGGTTTTCACCTAGTGTGCTCCTTAAAGGGCCTACAAAAGAAGTCATTTCAATAGTAAGGGCATGATTTGGCGAGGAAACTGTGTCCGGTGGTGTTGTGGTAGCATTCCCACTTGCATGCACCCCTAAATGGAGACAATCGGGGAGCTAGGGTTTGAAAACAGATTTATATGAATGAAAAAATCAAAATCTTGGGGTAAATGGAGTCAAGCGAGTGTTTTACCTTGTCGACAAAACTACCCTTTGTGGGGCTCGCGAGAGGGGCGCCCGATGTCTCCGGTGCTGTAAATCAAAGGTGCAAGAAAACTGTTCCGTACGGCATTAGTCTTGGTCATAACAAACTATTGCAAGAACGTTTCGAGGTAATTTATAGGGGATGAAGGGAAAAGTACCTTTTTTGGGGAGTTTTGATCAGTGGACACGCCGACGGCTACACGCTGGCGTGGGGTTTGTGGATTAGAGGACACGCCGTAGAACATATTACACGCACAAGCAGACAGCTGCATAATTTTCAAACTGCTCTCGGGCTAAGGGAAGCCTTAATTTATTAAGTACCCTTACTGCATATGAGTGGGGGTTGGCTCTTTAAACTGAGTTAGTCGTTAAAAATATCGTAGCAACGAAGCATCATGTGCAACAAATTGTTTCGCATTGCACTCGAAGGAAGTGCATCTACGGATAGGATATAAATCGCTTCTTACATTTAGTATATGGGTAAATTAATGAAGAGAGCATACTGGATCGGTTGGAATATAGCGAGATATGATTAAGGCATCATGCACCACCCTCTCTGCTGGCACGGTGCAGTTCACCAGGTTGTAACGCTGTGGGAAACTAACATGAAATGCGTGTTCCTGAAACGCCTCCGTCGCCGCGAGTAAAGTTGAAGCGGCCCTTTCACCACTTGACCGGCGCGATTCTACATATTTGGCACCGTTTTATTGCCTACTGCTACCCAAAAGCGGCGGCGAGCGGAAGTGGATTCACAACGCTTGAAATAAGAGTTGATGCAACTAATCACCCTTTCCAGTCTCCAAAAATGCTGGGTACAACGGCACAAGAACCGGAAGCCGTGGGAAGGCGTCGCAACCTGGCGCTAGTGGAGGAAAACAGTGCTATATGCAAACACAAACAGATCTTTGCTTCGTGAACTAGCGTTATACACAGGCGGCCTTCGGGTGCTCCAGTTGCTCCTCTCTTTTGGCGTTCGTGCAGCGCCTTCTCCAGCATCTGTTCAAAGGCTGCTAGCCGGAGATACTGCGGGCGTAGTTTTTGCCCAGCTGCAAAATGGGAACGGCCGCGGGTAATGCAGTTGGAGCGCAGAACTAAACCGACAAAAGGTGCTTTGACGGCATAATATTGAGCAGATCCACCACCAGAGAGTCCTCCACACAACTTAGTGTTGGGTTTTGTGTCGACCTGCTGCAACAAGGTGCCTGGAGGGACCGCAGGAGGCATCCCGCGAATGAGCAGATACCTTGAATCATGCCGCGAAAGCTTGTGGGATCTGCTTGCTGGGCATTTTCCTTCGAACTGGAACAGTCTGTTCTGGGAGGAACAGAGTAAAGAATATTTTCGAGTGAACCGGACTGTTCGTGATTTTTCAACACCAGAAGTTATCTAATAATTCGAAAAGGCCCAGCTTTAACATGCACCATGATTTCCCATGCTTCCACTAGCTGCCGGTAGTCCACGATCGCCTATAGATGTTCAGAAATAATTGTGGCGTGCAAATGACCCACAAAAACCTTATTCTCTCTGACGATATCCTGCACATTGATTTTTCTGTGGTCTGTTACCTGTTACACAAGTTTTCAGGACCTCAGCCAGCTGTGGCTTTTCTCAACGACGTGGCTGGCATTTTGCTAGTAGGTGTCAGGGATATTTCCGTGTTTGAACAGAATCTTTAGAAGAGCAACAATAATGGTATCTTGATATTTCCAAGTGAAGGGCAAGTCGGCCGTATGAGCTAACAGGCTGACTCGAGAACGAACAGGAAGTGACCTACGCATGCGCATGACGAATTGCTTTGGCTGCTCGCCGCCCTGCCTGCTCTGAAGATCATGGCAGTGAACAAAGCCCAAGTCGAATGGGTTGGAAAAAACCACGAACGTCGTTTGTCCCAGCACTGCTGTGCCGTTCTCATTCATCCCTGCGGAGCTGCGATGAGCGTGCGGAATTCGGAAGCTGCAGCCTTACGGGGTTAGCCTTCTACAGGCAGGTCCAACAGCTATTATCTTATTCTAGGCCCCTCCTGCACAGCGAGGAAGTCAAGCCATTTTGATGAACTTCACTGGGTATAACTAGCGTTCGGCTGGTGCTTTAGGCCTGATCACCTGCCACCAGTTGACTTGCAGAGATTATGTTGTGCTCGGTATGCAGCTTCAATCAACGGCCAGTGGCATAAAAGAATCTCGGCTCCTGTTAGGTATGATGCTGTTCGGAAAAACGTGCTGTCGTTACAGGACGGCAGGTGGAATAGGCGGCCCACTGGCCAAACGTGCATACTCTCTTTTGCGACAACGGGTGTGGAACAATTTTGTATTTTACGTCGGGGTCTGTTCAGACATGCGAAAAGGTGTCCGCGAAGCACAATAATGAATAAACTGCTTAACTCTGAAAGCTATCAAGCAGTCCGTCAACCTGGGGAGTCGGTCAATTCGTTCTCATCTCGATTTTGTTTAGGGGCTTGATTTCGATGCACCTGTGCCACATGTCCTTGCTTTTCGAACAAACAAGATTGTGACCAAGCGAACCTGCTCATAGTTAAGCTTTGTTATTCCAAGCTAAATCTCCTGCTCGCCCCTTTATTTACTTTTCGTACAGGGGGACACGGTACATTCTAACGAAGTTGGGGTTTCTCCTGGGGTGAATTCGAGGCGGTGCATTGCGAGTCGCGCTGGTGCCCTACGTAGTGGTGGCTCTTTGCTCATGCATCCGAGCAGTTGCCCTCCAACAGTGCTAACATTTGGTGTTTCTTAGGCTTTTTCTTGCTTTAATCCTCCAGAAACGGGATGCTTCGTAAGACCGTCATAACGAAATGTATGAATTTCTCCGCCGTTTCCGCAAAGCCTATGCAGCGAGTAGGTGCCTCCTCTATCCTTTTTTCTTGGCGCCGTTCTTCCAACAAGCTCATCATATATTGTGCAGATGCCGTTGGTAGTGTTGAATTCCCCACGCTCGAATCGCTTCTAGGCGCGCAAACTCGACAACTTCCGATGGACGTATGTGAGCTGGTTCGGCCGTTAAGTGCTTATGAATACTTCCTTCATGGTGATGCGACTAACGCACGAAGTAAACTGACGTTTTACCGTCACTGACCTGCCGCACCTTTGCGTTAAGTGTGTGCTCGCCTGTTGTTATGTGTATGTGTGGGTGAGTGGGCGTCTCCCTGTCTTGCTGTTCTGCTATGTTCCTCTGACGCTAGCCTTTTGCACAAGTTGGTCATTAGTGGTACAGCCATTGATGACGTGAGAACCTTGACTAAAGTGGAGCAAAATACGTACTGCCGAGTTGCGTGCCGGATGATCCGACGGGTTTCGTATCCCTGCAAGCTCGAACGGCCATCTGCGGCAGCAGTACGCCCAGAAGTAGGTAGAAATAAGGGACCAGAAACATATAAATCTCCACAACTCCGAGCATTGAGGGCTATTTTCTTAGCTTTCAAGTGCTGAACTCCAGTCCATCCATTGATTGCATTGAAACAAGCTGATGCAATGCCGGCAATGACACATCAATTGAGCTGCAGGTGTTTGAGGAAGTGTGAGGAGTCTTTTCTTCAGTTGAGCTTTTCTTTCCGACAGTTCATGGAAAAACAAGGCGTGTCAGACATTTAGGCACTTACACAAGGGAACCACTAAAGACAACCCTAAAGTGATACATGAAACGAACAACTGTTGTTAGTGAAGCAGGTCATTCACGTTTAATTGCCTTTATCACACCTTTTGCCCCAAAAGGTACAAAAATATACAGGCATAAGGCATCCAAACGGTGCAGTGTAGTAAATGTAGTAATGTGCTCCTGGACCGCGAGGACGCCCCTCACTGGTGCATCTACGGAGTTACGTGCTGCATATTTGTGCTTCAGTGTTTGGAAAATAGCAGTGAGAAGCAGTGGACGACTGAATTTGTGGAAAGGTATCTCTGCTCAAGCTCTGCAACACCTCATGGTGTCGTGAAGAGTCGCAAAGGTCACCTGCTGGCAAGTAACCATGGAGTGTGGCATTTGGTCCTCCTAAATGACAAACTTGGGTTTTGTAAATTCCAAAATAATAGGATTCACAGAACATTTTAGTTTGTAGCCCTGGGTGGATGAGGACTGGGCCCGCTGGCTGCAGTCCACTGGTGGAGCGTCTCCTGCCCACCGGGTTTTGTCATGTGCCACTCCTATGGAGGTGGGGAGCCCTGCTAGACCTAACCAATACATTTAGCATTATTTTTATAAGTCCTGCCCTTCGTTGTCACTCTGCTACAGCGATTGTGACTCTGCCGATTCGCTGCTCCAGTCGCCTGGCTTGGGCTTGGTGATATCAAATTTCAGGCTGGTGGTAGTGGTGTGGTATGCAATCTTTTAAAGGCTACCTAGACTGTCTCCACAAAACAGCAGCACTTTGCGTGTAGGGTGTTCCAAGAATGCTACAAGGGACACCGAAATGGCAGGACAGGCTCAAGGGTAGCCAGCACGTTCAAAAGGCAATTTAAGCAGACGAGTAGCATAACAATATCGTTTCTGAGAAGCTTCATTACAATCAAGCAACGCCGATGGACAACCAACCTGTTCCGGAATGAACATTTTGGTTTGCTTGAAAGCAAGCAACCCCAAGATATGTCCTGCACCAATATGTTCCCCAGGTCATGAGCACTAACGGGGGAATTGGTCTTTCTTCTTGCTGTGTAAATGCCTCCGTGCCTTGTAAACATTCATGTATTCCCATGTATAAGCTTTAGGGATTTCGTTTTCTCATCGGTCTAACTGGGCGAAAAGCCATTACGCTTTCCAAATTATCCTCGAGCGAACTGGACGACGCGTCATATCGGGGGAACTCCGGCTTGTACTCACTGACGATGCCACAAGGAGCTCATGGGTGGGGAGGAGGCAGTACTTCAGTCGTTGGCAGGTACGGCAAGAAAAACGCCACGTACGCGTTGACTACTTTGTATTTAGTGCTGCTAGTATGCTTCCTACGCTTACCGTGTAAAGCCGTAGCGGAACTCCGTTCAAGCAGTGATGTTGGCAAAGACTTTCCCGCGAGTCCACAGCAGCAGGCGTTGTACTCTACACTGCCAGCGGTGGGGAGTAGATGGCAAGAGCCGGTTTCAACCGAACATAAGGCCCCGAAATCGACCCCGTTGCATCTCCAACCCGGGCCAGAGCGGAAACCCGGTGAAGCAGAACGCAATATTTCTAATGACGAAGGCAAAACAAATGACGACAAACAGAAGGCTGAACTATTCGTAAGAGCACGTCAAATTCAGTTCTATCCAGAGGGGACGAAGTGGGTTGAGCTGAAAATTGAGGTGTTGGGGTCAGATGGGAAAATTAACAAGCAATACAACGGTGGCATAGCTGCCTCCCTCATTCTAGCAAATTCAGACAAAACTCCGACAAAATCTCAAAAGGAGCCTCTGACAAACCGAAAAGGGATCACGTCTGATAGGGCAGTCAGCATAGCGTCAAGTGTTGCGACTGACGGTAAGCTCCACATCTGGAATATCGACAGAAAATGTGTTTTCGGGGTATTTCCCCGGAATGTGCTTTGCACATTGCAAGATTCTATCGCCGATTTGATTTCTTGTCACCTCCCAACCGGACAGTTGAGCCGAGGAAGTTATGTTACTGTCTGTTTGCCTGTTAACAGGAGTTGCCATTTTGCGCTTCAGTCCTCCCACTGATGGCACCTACCGGTTTAGCATCACCTGTGGGGGTTGCAACCATAAACTAAATACCGGCAAGCACTACTTTTCAGCTGGGACGAATGCAGTCCTAAAAGTTGTGTCACAGCCCTCAGGCGCAAGCAGTGGAGCACTCTTGGAATACCAGCCAGCTGTACAGCTGGAAGACCGATATGGGAGGCCGCTGCACGTGAAGAACACTGTTGTGGCCAGCATCCTCCCCATAGACCCTCACCAAAGCGAACGGGGTAGGCCACTCAGGCAAACGGGGGAATAAGCTCCCTTTAGAGCGATCGGATTGATCGTGGGAAAATCCCTTTGTGCACTGGATCCCACGTAAAACAGCGCTTTTCTCTTCTTTGCTGAAGGGTCACAAGCGTAGACCTTCTTATTATTCCATATTCTGCGCAGTGCCCTTGGCTTCTTGGACGCTGGAAACAGATGAGCATGGATACGCGAAAGCTACTGAAATACGCGTGACGAAGGCAGGCCAGCATGTAATCCAGTTTGTGACCACCCTGTGGAACGACACACGCCTTGAAGTGTCCTCGGATTCTTTTGAAGTGGTTCCTGGACCCGCCACTGCAGCCGTTTTCTCCTTAAACCCTCCTTCAAGGGTGCTGCTTCGTGAACCGTTTAGCGTTGTGGCGTTTCTTGTAGATTCATATGGCAACGAGACAACGACTCCCCCTGAATTGCAGAGGAAAGGCAATCCCGTGGAAGTGCACCTAAGCGCCTTCAACAAAGCTGGCCGAAAGGTCTCTCTGCACGGGCATACTGCACAAGTGTGGGGAGGAGGGAAAGTCTCTTTTGAAGGCCTTTGGTTTTCCGAGCCTGACCATATCACACTGAAGGCAAGCCTCTGCAACGGCGTGTCGCACGAGGTTGCGCAGAAGGCACTAGACGACATTTTATGGATTGTGCAGGACTTTTAAGAAAGGGGGATCCACTTTTGGAAGACAATTTCACAACTGTTGGTTTACGCTCGTGACGAACCGTCCTAAAGCTCTGCATCCCTGTCTGATTTTGTGATGCTGGCTGGCCCTGGTAGGTAACGTGTACGCTGTGCGCCAAAGACACACCAAGATCGTCAGCAGAAATGCAAGTGGTTTCAGTCTCAAGAGTGTACGTACACCCCATGCCAATGTTGGTGGAGCCACGCGTTACTAAGGAGGGCGAAGGCAAAATGCCATCCCGTGAGTTTTGGGGACAGCTGAGGATATCACTGAAGGCTGAGGACTGGGGCTTTGGAGCTCCTCAGAAACCCGTCTCGGTGGAAGTTAGGAAGATCACCCTACTTGATCCTTTGCGAGGACTGGCTCGAGAAGACGGTGCGAAGTACCTGAGAGTTGAGCCGACCCGCCTACTATTTTCTGTAGAAAATGCGGCAACCCCCCAAATCTTTTATGTCCTGGTAGGCCAGTGGCAGCTGCCTAATCGCTTGTGGCCTTTCCTGGTCGGCGATTAGAAGAAAACGTATCCTTTCAGGTCACAGCTAGACTCTATAGCGTTAACGGACGATTCCGTGAGCATGGGAAGCACCGGGGGCCTATTGTCCTTGGTTGCTAAACATTGCTGGTTTGCAGCCGTGGAGTCCTGGTGTGATTGTTGGGAGTGAAGGCTTGTCTCAGCCTCAGTCTTCAGTACACCTTGGTGCTTTTTCTATCGAGCTTGAAGCGATTTCTGAGGACCCGGCTTGGTCGTCGAGCGCTGTAGTGTTTGATCTCCCTTCTCCCGCACTTGCACCGGGAATAAGCTTAGGCACTCTTCCTGGGCTTAATGACCTTACTGTGTACGTCAAGGATGGCGATACGAACGAAATACTGACTGGCTTTCCTCAACAGCAGCTTGTTCGAGAGGGGGAAGCGGTGAGCACGGCTCCTTATGGCCGTTCGGGTGCAACTTACTCCCTCGTATAACTCATTAGCCGAGGGTATCATGTGGTGGTAAAGATAAATGCAATGAGAAATGCTCGCTGCTTCTTCGCAAAGGAGGAACCCAGACGACACTGCGCTAGCCGCTTCGAGGACTACACATTTACTGTATTTTTCAGATTGCCTACACACTGCGACTCTCCGCCTGCCCTCTTGAAAATGAAGAAATAGCGGTTCGCATTCACGGCGATCGCAGCGGTGGATATTCTGTACAGCCAGAGCTTCTGCAATTTACTGCAAGCAATTGGCAGGAGGAACAGACAGTTTCGCTGACCATTGACCAGGATGACATTGCTCCTTCTGGAGTGAGTATTGAAACACCTGCCATTTCACGACACTGTGTGCGTACCTGGATTGAGTGGCCAACCACTGCAGGTGGCAGCCAACCTCCGGAATAGCAAGAAGGGATTCAAGTGCAAGCACATTTATGCGATTGTCCACAGGATGAATTATCTCTCGAAGGAAGCACTGTCGGGAACGTTATCCGAACCCTGGTGCTGCGGCACGAAGTTTCCAGCAGCGAGGACAGCGTCTGGCGTATGCGGGGTGGCAAAGATGTGGCCTTTTCTGTCTGGGACGATGACATTGCTGGGGTAGGATGATCCTCAGCTGGCACTGACACCGGCGTTTGTCTAAGAGGTTTTCCTTCGTGCAGTTCTAAATTTGTGTAGGATGTATATGCGATGAATTTGTATTTCTATATATCAAGAAGACAGCATGACAAGGGTGGTTCGCAGGTTGAATGGGCAGCGAATGCAAGCAACCTCATTCAATCTGAGAATTTTACACTGGCATTTCGACTTCGGTCTCAACCAGTGGCGGAAGTTGCCCTGCAGCTACAATGCGAAGGGACTCAAATTGTTGCCCAGTTGGACCGTAATGAAACGTTACTAGTTGACACCCCACAGCTGGGGAAGGTTACCGTCCAGCCCGCAAAGTGGCAAACAGAACACGAGTTTTTGTTGCGTCTAAAAGCTATTGAAGAAACACCCGAGGGAGTCGTAACTCAAAATGGTATGTAAACCTGTCTGAATACGTTACCAAACGCCCCACGAGATACGCTTTTGTGTTTTCCATTTGCCTCAACTTTCAGAGGTCCGAACTCCAATGGCTGGCCGCTTCCAGAGGGCGGTGCGTGCTTTGGTATGTTCCGATGCAGGCGAAAACGGCGCAATATTTCACACTTCCTGTAGCTTGAAAGCAGTGTCCGACGATCCAAACTATGATACCGGTGAGACTACGGCATATGTACCCGTCACATGGCCTATCCGCTGGTAAATTTCGACTGTGATGTCTACAGAAGCCACCGTAAGGAGGTGTGGGATTAATGCGTTTGTCTAGGGAGGAATTTTACGGGGCAACAACACTTGCTAACCTTGCGTGGTTTTCGAATACCTCTGGCTATCAGCCGCATCTCAAGTCAAAGTCTAACAGATGGGCATAACAAAACAACTGATGCATCGATTCTTACCTGTGCTGGAGCACATTATTTGCGGTACGGATCGGGAAAATGCTTCGAATGTCTTGCGCACGCCTTAGGGTTGCGGAACTGATCATCGGTGGACTTCAAGACGAGTGAAATCATTGATTCTGATAGTTTGAGTATTCTGCTGCAGCATGGACAAGCGTACAGTTGAGTGTTTGCCTTGCCCTCCCGGCTACGAGTGTCCCAACCCCAAGGAGCCCCCGAAACCGTGTCCACCGGAGCATATGTCACTGGGAGGCTTCCCGTTTTGCGTGCCGTGCCCTGAAGGTAAGAAGTGCCGTCCTAGAGCGGCGTCTCTCACAAGGGGCATGCTGCGAAGTTCTCCGTGGCAAGCTGATAGCCAAAGAGGGCAGCAACTGGACGTAAATGTCTCCATTCAGGTTTTACATGCCCTGCGGGAACAGCCGTTCCGAAGCAACTCAAACCAGGGTTCTACCACGGCATTTCTGTAGAGGGCAACAATGTACGCACTCACACAAATGCCGCCACGCCTTGCCCGGAAGGATTTTACTGTGCTGGCGGATCAGCGTCACCGGTACCTTGCTTGCCAGGATATGTTAGTGACAAAGGCGCAAGCGAATGTATTCCTTGTCCAGCGGGCTTCATGTGCAAGACCAGTCGAGCCGCGGACTTGGAGGTAAATTAACCCTGACCGAAGTTCTCCATTGGCGGAATAGGGCAACGAACTCAGTCGTGTATTTGAAACGTCTTTGCATGCTTGTTCAAAGGAATGCCACTTTATTGTCATAGACTCGAAAACAAGTTAAACAGTTTGGAAGAAGGCGCAATGCAACTCTTTGCTGAGCATACGCTGTGTAGGGCTAAATGTGTAGGCGAATTGCGAAACTTTGGCTACGTTTCCTTTGTTCTCCAACAGGCCTGCCCAGAAGGCTCATACAGCCTGCGGGGGGAAAGTGCTTGTCGGCCATGCCCGGCGGGATTCGCTTGCACAGTTCGAAAGGATCATATGGTGAATACTTTCCGTGATAAACCTACGGCAGTTGGACTGAATGCCAGAAGCGGGGAAGGCAACGCTCGAGAAGATAGCGAAATTGCCAGATCTCCGTCCAACTTCGTCGAGCAGTCTATAGTTGAGCTGCTCCTCCCCTGCAAAGCGGGGTACTTCTCAGGAGAAGTGGGACAAATCTTTGGAATGCTTGCCGAATAATGAGTCTGCAGTTAGACCTTTGGACACTACGAGGCTCCACTATGGACATTAGCTTATTGTGTGTCTGTAGGGCGACGCGGGCTGCATTCCATGCGGGGGAGCAGTTGCATGTCCGACTCCGTTAACAATGGAGCACTGTTTCGTACCATTTACAGTGGCCCTTCCTGATGATCCAACGGAATGTGTGCCTTGCCCGGCAGGTGGGCTACCTTCTATGTATTCCCTGTTTGACAGTGAACAGTGGACAAGAGGATCAACAGTTAGTTAATGCTTACCAAAACGTAGAAGGGAATATACACGCTCCTGTTGCACATTGGTGGATGAAACGCTATCCGCCAGTTGTGTCAAGTGTCCCGCGATCGATCACAGCATTTTGACTTGTTGAGGGACAAAGTACCAACGAGCCCAGCCAGTAGTGCGGGAGAGGGTGGCATGGGGCTGTCGTATTTTGCTACTTCAGGACACACCTGTATTGAAGGAATCGTGAAAAGGTGCCCAGACTTTCACTATGCAAGACTCGGCGAAGGTGTGTGCCGTCTATGCAAGGGCGGTTATCTATGCAAAGGTGGTGCAACAGCACCTGATGAAGGAGACTTAGTACCCATTGGGTGAGTCCACTGATGTAACTTACTGCTGTATGTCAGTCAAAACGGATATTATTAGTATACCGTACTCGTTTAAGCCATTCCTCCCGAAATCTTACCAACGTGTAAGTTTCGGGCCGTTGCGCGCTCAGATACTACCGCTCAGAACGCGATGATCAGGCTTACCCCTGCCCCAGTGGCACTCTGGGGTTGATCCCTGGTGCTACTAGCGAGCAAAACTGTTCTCCATGTCCTTCGGGGTACATGTGCGAGATGAAGGATGAAGGAGGGGAGTTTCTTAGGTCTTCGGCAAGCTTATGCCCTGCAGGATATATTTGTCTACCGGTTGCAGTTCCATGCCCATATCGTAAGACCCCCCCTGGTGGAGAAAAAGAGCACGCTTTTCGATGCAGCCCGAGATGCCTTTAGTTGCAGATCTTGCCACGGTTGGTGAAACAGTGTAGTGCAAGGGTATTATAGCCGCAGGGCACCTCAATTTGCCGCGTATGTGCGTTTTCCCCTAACCAGACTACTACCAGCCAAATACAGGGTCAACTTCTACCCAGTGCATACCATGTGATTCGGGTCATCGTACGACGAAGACAGGTTCGATTTCCTGCGAGGGCTGCGTTGGTTATACTTTCTGCACTTCTCAAGCTGGAGTTTTGCCATGTCGGTACTCTAGTATCGTGGGACCGGTGATGGGTAAGCTGCACCACACCAAGTGAGATTACGTAGCTACGCCGACCATATTCGCGTGATGTAACCGCAGTTGCACCACTTCCGAAATGCGTCCTATAGTGTTCACGGTTGCTAGTCTATCTGCATGAACTTTTGTGACGCAGCACATAAGTTAGATGAATGTTCACGACAACCGGGAGAGTTCATCGTTTACACCGAACAAAGGAAATTTGCTAGTTCCGGGACTTGCCCTGAAGGGAGCGCTCATCCGGATGACCTTGTTGGAGGCGGTTCTGGATTATTTAGCATGGAAGCATACGGAAGCTGCATAAACTGCCCAGGCGGCCAAATATGCTCAGGTGGTCGTGTACCTTCTACAATAACTTCGTAAGAACATTTGGTGAAAACTTAACACTGTGCAGTGACACTTACATATTCGACTACCACAGGCGCATAACATTAACGGCCGACCAGATTCAGGATCCGAGCAACTACGTGAGATTCAGGTTTTCTCCTTCCACCGTATATTGGTTTTTTAGACATGCGTGCCAACTGCGCAGATGTGCTCCGGGGTACTACTGCCCGAGAGGAACGACGCCCCCAACTCAGTTCTCGTGTCCTACAGGGACAGAAAGCCTTTCGACAAGTAGCCCGAATTATTCGCAGTGCACAAGGTGCAATGCAGGCTATGTACGTTGAAAACACTAGGACAATCCTGAACTGCCAAGAACACTTTGGTAGACTGTGTACGCATTGCAGGCATGGCACATACGAAGAGTCTTTCTCCAATGAAAATCACCACATGCAACCTTCTGTAGCAAAGATGTGGGCATTTCTGTTCAGGTTTGTAGCAGCTCCAAAAAATCATCGTGCCCCCAAGGATTTTACTGCCTTGAAGGTAGCCCAATTTGAAATGTCACTCGGGCTTGCTCAGGACCGCACTTCCCAACGAGTTTCTGTTAAGCTGCTCAGTTGCACTTTACAAACAAGCATGTTCACGTCGATCCTTCATCAGGTATGGCGATGCAGAACCTGTAGTTTTAATTGCTGTCTGCTTCAGGTTCGTGGAACGCCTATCGTCGCCCTTGCCCAGCGGGTACAGTGTCAGCTCTCCTGGGCGCAACAAGTAAAGTTGCATGCATTTCCACGCTTGCTGGATTTTGGGCGCCAGTCGGCTCGTTGGTTGCAACTATGTGTGGTCGTGGAAACTACTGCCTTCCCGGAAGCACGGAGCCCACCCCATGTCCAAGAAAGACTTTCTCATCTCTTATTAGTGGGGTCAGCATATTCACACCTACGCACAGCTAAGCGGTTCTAAGCAACACTTTGGAAGCAAACTGGATTTTCTTGTTTCGTCTGCGAACTTTCTGTGACAGCTATTGAATGACTGCATAGCCTGTCCTAAGAACAAAATATGTCCTGAAGGGTCTATGACGACTTATAGTTGTCCAACAGGTATGCTCAGGCCTTCAACTGATCGTTTGCTCTTCAGCGCTTCAAATTTACATGTTCTTGACAATGAGTACCACATGGTTGCCTGTGAAAACATCTGTAGCTTTTTTTTATTCTTGCCTGCTGCACGAATCCAAGCTAATTAGGACAAAGAACAGATTATAACCCCGTTGAGCAAACTATTTGGAAAATGTATCCAAATATTCAGCGTCGAATTCCTAATGACTCACGCAACACCTAGCAACACATATGCCGTTAATAGTGCTGGGTGCGTTCCACTGATAGGCTTTTATCACGACACTAGTGGAGAAGGGCAGTGCGTTGTTTGCCCCCTGGGATATACATGCTCATCTGGACAGCCTGTGGCCTGCTCGTCTGGGTTCTACGGCGAGTTTGTTCCACAGAAAAATTCACGAGACTGTGTTGCTTGCCCTCAAGTAAGATGGTAGTTAGCCAAACCTATGTAGCATTACTCCGGTCTCAGATGCAACATAAATAACACAAGGTTTTCCTTCGCATAGGAGGAAACTTAGACAAAAGCGCCCGTTGTAAAATGCAGTGTACGAGGATCGAGGATCGCGTAGCTTTGCCGTGACATTTGAGGACCATGCACTAGACGGCATGTTTCTGGATGGGTAAAACCTTCATATGGAAAATGCATCTGCAATGGAATCTTGCAGGGCTACTACTGCGAGGGCACAGGACTGACAATAGGGGGAGCAAAGCCTTGCACTGCTGGATTCACGTGCAATACTGCTGGCCTTGGTAGGTTTGTGCGCTACTTAGGCACGGGACTTCCCGTATCAGGCAGTTTGTTGCCTGTTTGAATTTGAGTCGCTGCACTGGAGCACTGGTAAGATGTACTGGCTCACCAGATATTGAGTGTGTGCCCGTTGTATTCTCCGAGTCGCACCAAGCAGGGCCTTAGGCCTATTTGGCCAATAAGGCTTATCTTCCATTTTTAGATAGAAAGCTTACCTTCCATTGTTAGGTAGATAGGGCATGCCCACACATATAGTACCCTGCTTGAGCACAGTTTTTCGTTGGCGAATGTGCTTGCAGATAGGCCTAAGGTCGAGTGCCCCGCGGGATATTACTGCCCACTGGGAACAGCATACAGTTATGGAACACCCTGCCCACCAGGGACTTGGAGTGACCGAAAGGGACTTGTGTCTTCATCTCAATGCAAACCCGTCAAAGCAGGGTCGTTTTCGTATGAAGGAGAGAAAAAACAAGAGGGTAGTGGGAAATGTGCAAAGGTTCGGCTTGTCCATAGTTGCCGAACAATCTGCTATTAGGGCAAGGCTGTCTTCTGAGCTTCCACCTTCCATTGAAGCTATGCACTTTCTGACAAATAGGACTTGTACATAGAAATGGCTTATTTCATTTGCGTGCCACACTATCAGGGATTTTACTGTCCGGAGCGATCGACAACATCAATGGCAGTGGCTTGCCCTCCAGGGTATGGCTGTGTTATTAGCCCGTTATTTCCCCGTATGCACCAAGATAGACGAACATACCCTTCCGGATTAACGGAAGTTCGAACACGGACTTGCTACCTACAATACACACATTACTACAGTCACTCTGCGTTAACTAGCCTCGCCGGGCACACAGCTTCTAAGCACTCGGATTCCTGTGACACTGAATGAATTCTGCTCACTGCCTCAGGACCTACAATGAGAGAGAAGGAGGAGCATCGCTTGCCGATTGCCTCCCGTGCCCTGCAGGAAAGGACTGCAGTACAAGTGGAACGTCAGACCTTCGCAATTGCCCAGCGTCATACTATTGTCCTAAGGGCTCGTCGAAAGTCGTTCCTTGCCCTGTCGGGACATACAGGTGAAGAAATCTGCACCAGTCGTTAATGCCTGCTAATAATAAGACCACTAGTGATTCAGGACTTAGGAACTCCAACTCATTTATGTGCTTTCAATGACACTCAGCAATGTAGAAGGGCTGCAATCAGAAGACCAGTGCATTAAATGCCCAGCCGGAAAGTTTTGCAGCATCGCGAGCTTGGCAGCTCCATCAGGCAGTTGTGAGCCCGGGTTCATTTGTCACGGCGGAGCAACAACACCGACACCTACTGATGGAGTGACAGGTGAGGTCACACTGCCATTTGATGCTGCACAGGCCCTGCCCATTCCCTTCCATACGGTTTTCCCGAGGTTTGGTCCGTGTACACACCAGTGGGTGTGTGCACCGACCAAATCGCTGGTGTGCTGAGCAGTAGAAAGATTGGTGGGCCATAGCGGCGTTAATTACAAAGGCCAGTGTGATGTGCAACTTTGTGGAGTGAGTGACGTATGTAAAAGTGTGTGAAATACTGCAGGGGAACAGTGCCCTCCTGGCGGTTATTGCCATGCGGGTGCCACGGCGGTCACTCCCTGCCCAGCTGGACATTACAATCCACGATGGGGAGCTGGTTCACCATCTGCTTGCCTACTGTGTCCCCTTGGTTCATACTGTGACGGCAATGTTGTAAGCGAAGGAGGGGTTACAGGAGTCTGTGAAGAAGGATACTTTTGCGAGGAGGGCTCGCAAACAGCCCAAGCCAAAGCAGCGCAACCTGGGACGTATGCCCCAGCAGGGAGCAGCAGCCCACTTCTTTGCTCTCCAGGGACATACCAAAATGAATCCGCCAGAGGTACATGCAAAGCCTGTCCTGCAGGAAAGTATTGCCAGCAACTGGTGGGTCTCCTTTGGGAACTATATTTGGTCTCTCCCACATATTCATTCAATGGTCGACGCTTTGCACCGTGCCAGACAGCCGATGCAACTAGAAACCTCACCAACAATGGAGACGCCGAGTCACTAGCATTGATGCCGTGTCATACGTTTTGCTCATGCACGTGTCATTATAGATTATTTACCTGCCCATTTGAGGTGGACCTGCTTTGGCCATATACATCATATACACGCGCATGGAAAGGTTTCGGAGGGCGTTTTAGGCACCGATGAGACACGCATCTGGTTGGGCGGGTCCTATTCTTGCCACAGGGTATGGTAGACTCGACGGCATGCCCCAAATCATTCTACTGTCCCCAGGGAAGTGCAGCGCCCAAACTGTGTCCGGCCGGTACTCACTCTGCGAGTCAGAATCTGCAGGCGGATTCTGAGTGTACGCCTTGCCCTGGAGGAAAATATTGTGGAGACTACGGTCTCGAATCACCATCTGGAGAATGCCAAGCAGGGTTTTATTGTAGTGATGGAAGCGCGTCTTCAGCCCCCCAGGTATCGACGGTCATGCACCAGTAGACAGCCTCATACTGCTCTACTGACATAAAAGGTATGCGGCAGGTTGTTCTGAGTGGGAAGCGGGGCCAAGGCTGCAACCATAGCAGAGGTTAAATGATGCGTTCCAGGAGACCACAGGGAGCAATCAAATTTGCCCAGTTGGGCACTACTGCCTCGCCGGCAGCACCAACCCTACACCATGCCAAGAGGGAACCTATTCCCCATCTCAGCAGGCAATAAGTCCAAACGCCTGCATACCTTGCGACCCTGGAAAGTGGGAACCGTTATACTTGTATTCTTTGACTGCAGCGACCTAACGGACCAGCATGTTGCACGAAGTCCACATTGCTTGTGCTCACGTATCATTATTCCACTGATCTGTCTTGTGAAATATTGCAGGGTTTGTTCTGGAACTGGGCTTTCGTCACCGGGTAGTCTCTGTCCAAGCGGCTACTACTGTTCAGGTACAGAGATATGAACAAAACCAGTGACACAATGCAACTCTTCCCATGCAGTTCTGTAGTCCCCGTTGCCGAATGGGATTTCCTACTCAAGAATGAAGGACGCATGTATCATGCGCACAGCGTTTTGCGTGGATTAGGCGGCACTAAAGTCCAATGCGAAGCAGGTTATGAATGCCCAGAGGGATCGTCATCACCAACTCCTTGCAAACCGGTAAAGACACACAACCAGGCAGGAGTAGCTTTGTAAGAACTCCAGAATTGCTCTAGTGATCCACCTGTGGAGATACACGTTTTGAGTATGTTACGCAGGGTACATTCGCAGCCTCAAAAGGTCAGGATAAATGTACAGAGTGCCCGGCCGGCTACTACTGCGCATCTACCGACAAAGAACCTACGACAAATGAACAGTGCCCTCCTGGATACTTTTGTCCACCAGGCACTGCATTTTCGCATGAAAATCCTTGTCCGCAGGGTAGGTTGGCTGAGAGGGACTCCAACATGCTTCAACTAAGCACAGGCTGAAAAATGTCGTCCAACGCCAATAAACAAACTTTCTGGTGGTTTAGTTTTGCGCTGGAGTGTAAAATTTATAGCGTAGGGTTTTAGCTTTACATAATTTGCAGCAGTCATTTTTCCAGCTCGAAGAGTGGGATATGGTACACCTGGAAGCTACGGAACAATAGCTGGCTTGAGGGAGCGTCTTCGAGTTCGTCGGGTGTGTTGATAGGGACAATTAACAAGACAGCCGGCGCCACTTCACTAGACGGTTGCAAGCCTTGCACGGCAGGCTACTACTGTGTGGGTCCAGCGGCTACTGTGGAAACTGGAGAGATTGATGGTGGACATTACAGCACCGGTGGTGCGATGTCCGCTGTACCAGTTCCAGGTGATGTAACCAGCTTCTTAGTGCAGTGCTTCCATAGAGTATACGCACCTCTGCCAAGCTCTAAACAGACTAATGAAGTGATGGCTTCTGCATTTCTGTCCTGTTAATCTACAGGGTGTAGGATACTGGCGGCCGTTGCTGGTGTGCAGAAGACGCAGTGCAAAGGACAAGAATCTCCCATACTCACTTTTTCTGACGCCACAGCCAAATGCTTAGAGAATGATGAATGCCAGGGGATTGTTGAAACACCACAAAAGACGTTTCTCCTCAGGTAAGCCGAAAGGGTGTTCAGGTCATCTGACGAAACTCTAGTCATCGAAGCACCCAGTAACTCCCTAAAACCGCCATCTAATGTGTATATATGCTATTTTTTCATTCATATTCCTGAAGCTTTATTTCTACATGCAAAGTGCACCCGCATGCTGTCTTCGTACTTGTTCGTCAACACAGCAAAGAAAAGCCATTTTCCCTCGTTGTGCTTTGGAAACCGCTTTTGTGCAGATGCGGGAGCTTTAGCAGGGTTGATGAGGAAAAGTTCAGCTTCTTTCACCCGAAGGTATGCACTTTCGGAGGGACGTGCAAACCAGGAACCTATTGTCCAAGGGGAGCGACGACGCCGGTGCAATGCCCAGAAGGGTCGTACTGCGCACATCATGGCCTCACAAATGTCTCTGGACAGTGCACAGCAGGATACAACTGCCCAGCGGGTCAGTGATTAGGCGATGCCAGACGCCCCCGTATGGGGGTGAAGCCTGCAAAGTGCGAGTGCAATCCAACATGCAAACGACTACCTTTCGCTTGCTTCAGGCTCTTCAAGCCCTCATGATGTCTCGGCACTGTGCCAACCAGGGCATTACTGCCCAGGAAATGGAGCTACTGCCACACCCTGTAGTGCGGGAAAAGTGCTGGGCGGCTTGTACGTACCCTCACACCGTGCAACTCGCCTCCAAATGACAGTCTGCTCCAGATCAGTCATCTAACTAATATTCCTTTGGCCGATGCTGTTTTCCCAGGGGTGGCACGGAGGAAGCGGAGTGCTCTCCATGTCCAGCTGGACATTATTGCGACCAGGGAGGCATTGCATCTCCATCTGGTGCCTGTCCAGCAGGTAAACCTCGTTTCCAGTCTTAAAATCATTTATGACTGATTCCTGGTACAGACGCAGAACAGCTTAACAGCAACATGCGTGTATAGGTTGAACCCTTTGGCAGGCTTTTTTCATGACAAAATATGTGACGCATTCACACCTATGCAACAAGCGTGTGTCGGAAAGGGTGCTGCCATCTATTTTAAAATTCATTTTGTTTTCCTTCAAACTGGCGCTGCCGTCACGTGTGACATTTCTCGTCGCAGGGAAGTACTGCCCAGCAGGCACGGAGAGCCTGAGCCGTGCCACAGAATGTGATGCCGGCCACATGTGCCCTGAAGGTAGCGCAGCGCCTGTTCCGTGTCCCCGTGGAACAAAACAGCCCGAAACAGGGAAAGCATCATGCATTAGCTGCAGTGCCGGTAAGCCGCCCGTATGCTCTCATGTGAGCATACGTGTTCAACGAGTCCCATAATTGCCGCTGGCAGTATATTGAGCTCAGCTGTAATCAGATTGTGTGTTGGAGTTTGGTGGCCGCCCGTACTATCCTAGAAAATGTCATACGGACCTTTGAAGTACACGATCTGCTCCGTTTTGTCCTGGTGACCATTTTCAGGGGAGATTTGTAGTGAAGGCAGTACGGCAGGGCAAACATGCCAAGTGGGGTTTACATGCCCCGAGGGGACATCCGTCAACACGTCATTCCCTTGTCCTCCTGGGACCTTTTCAGATCAACCTGGTAGTTGTACATCGTGCCCGAAAGGTTTTTATTGCGATGAACCAGCAAGAACTGCCGCTAGTGGACAGTGCAAGGCTGGTATGTTGTCCGAATGATGAAGCTCCTCCCAACATCATTGAAGGGCTTCGCACACGCTACCCAGGCTTCTCAAGCCAGCTATATCGTGTTCCATGCAACCGTGCTCTCGTGTGGGTATTGATAGGATATTACTGCCCTGCCGGCACCAAATGGAAGGAGCCTACGACCATTTGCAAGCATGGAGAAATGTGTCCTCCTGGGTCAAGCACTCCTCAGGATTGTCCACCGAATCATTTCTGTAACACGCCCAAGCTCGGGGAGCCTTCAGGCCCCTGCAGTGGTGGATTCGTCTGCACTTCTAGGTCAACTAGTCCCAGGCCGACAGGGGAGCAAAACGGCTCCTCCTGCGATGAAAATATGCAGGGAAGGCCTTGCCTCAAAGGGCACTACTGCCCTCGCCGTGAGCCAAAAATTACGTTGCACTGTGGTTGATCCCCGGCTGTCCTTCAGAAATATTCGGCGCATATTAGTATACCTGTGTACAGGCGCAAATAGTTGTATTGGTTAACCAGCGACATACCTGGTGCTGCGAAATTTCGAGTGCTCTTTCGCAGCTGACTCCCCGCTGATTGCGGGGACAGGCTTTGCCGGCAGTTCAGGAGATGGGCTTTCCGGCCCAGAGACTCTGCTGAAGCTGCCTGCAAACGCTATAATGGACCCAACTACAGGGGATGTTTACGTTACAGACTACAGCAACTACGCTGTGAAGGTAGTTCACGGAGACATAGGTATGTGGAGTTTGGCAGAGGACCTTTTGTGTAAGCCAGTGCTCTAACACAACACGTTTCAACTTGCTAAAACAAAGTACCTTTCATTCGCTGTTACAGGCACTGTGGAAACTTTAGTCTCCGGAGCATCTGTCGGTGGAGCGCTCAGCTGGATCCAAAGTACCAGCCCTGTCGGTCTTGCATTCTGCCAACGCACTAAGAAGCTGTACATTTCCTATCCAGGTTCGTCTCTCTTCGCGAATCCCACTTATGAGTTCTGCCTGAAAAAGCAATACAGCCCCTTTCACCATCAGGAACAGCAACATTCTGTAAAAGGGGAAGTATGTGAACAACTGCTTTCCTACAGGCAGAAACGCCATTGTTGAGCATGATGTGGGGTTGCGCTCCTCCGCATTGCTGAGCGAACTTAGTGCTAAACTTTCAAAGCCATTGGGCCTAGATATCGATGCTGATTGCACCAGCATCTATATTGCTGACAGTGGGAGCCATCGTGTTCTGAAGCACGAGCTCGCTGCAAGTCAATCAATCGAGACAATCATTGGAACTGGCACCGCAGGTCTGTTCCCTGGCATCGCCAGTTTTTAATAAATAAGTTCCTGAATGTAGGTGTTCTAATGTTTGTCATGTGGCCATACAGTTGCTGTTTGTAGGGAAAAGTGATCCGGCGGCACCTACCGCTCCTACTTCATTCCAGATCAATTTGCCTTCTGGGGTGGCCCTCCACAATGGCATTCTCTACGTTGTGGATTCTGGAAATAGGCGGGTAAATAATCTGAGCCGCTAAGCCCTATCAGGGTCGACGGCACAATATGATTAGCCATGAAGGCAGAGAAACGGGATGCTGGCTCTGGCGCCAAGCTTTCGTTGATTTATGGCAGGCGGGAGACTATACTTACGGCAGCGAGCAGGAATTAATGCTACCACATATTGTCGCAATGCCCGCTTGCAGGTGTTAGAGGTGACGTTGGGCACGAATGCTGTCAAAGTACTTCCTGGAGCCGGTGACAACGCACCCAGTAGCGGCCAAAGCCCTTTGGGAGTCTTCTTTGAGAAGCCCGTCTCAGCAGCTATAGCTGAACAGGAGGTACCCGAAATGCCTGCTCTGGAGATCACACACTTTGGCATGCTGCTATAGAACTTCACATACCTCGAAAAGATGTGTCTTGGGCGCTTTGCAGAGCGACATATTACTTGTCGTTGCTGACGTCGTTGCACGAGCGTAAGTAATCCCGACAGATACCAAGGTGTCCGCAGTACCTGTTTCCCGTATCGAGCGTGCAGATTGGCACAGGAGCTTCATAGTCTTGTGTTTTGGAAGCGTGTCCTTCTTTCGCAGTCTGAGAAAGATAGACCTAACCGCAAATACTATATCGACACTGAAGGATTTTTCCGCTTGGCGGTCCCCAGTTGTCGACGATGCAGAGACTAGCATTGCCACGGCTGGATTAGAGGAAGCATTTTATGGAATTAGTAGTTTCTACGGTGTAAGACTACCTTTTCAGGCCCACTAGAAACATATTGCTTGCCAAGGGTGAGGTGCCTGCAGATGTGAAAAGTGACTCCTTCAGCTTTTGATTCGGTCATCGACGTCCATGTGGCAGGCAAATAAGAAGCGAACAGGGGTGCTCCTGGCTGACAGCTATACTCACCGAATACGGCGAATCGACCTCGAAGGGGATCTTTATTCGCGGCCAGCTTTGTCAGATATCCCGTGCCCCAAGGGTAAGAGTATGCGCGCCTACCGAACCACGGTCCTTCTCCGATCTCATCGTCAATGCGTCCTAGGGACACGATGTGAAGGCTTCACAGAGCAGTCTCCCATCAGGCACTGCAGCTGAACGTATGATCGGGTTGTACGCATGAAGACCTGCGTGATGAGTTTGCAGGAACAGACATATCGTAGATTGCAGTTGTGCCGGCTGATTTTGCAGGAACATATTTACCATACACTGGGGCCGCTTCAGAAGCCGAGTGCATAAAGTGCCCTTTTGGGATGTACTGCAGCACCGCTGGGCTTATTGAACCGGAAGGTCCGTGTACTGAAGGCTATTACTGTCCTCAAGGGTCGACGTCCCCTACTGAACACAAGTGTACTTTCGGCCATTACTGCTCTTCGCCTTCAGGTGCGGCAGACCACTACCCAAGCAACGCCAGCCCGACAAACCCAAGAGCCATCATTAGGGTTCCTGCGCCCTCTCACTTTGTATGCCTGCCTTTACAGGGAGAATAGGTGCCAGAGCAAGGCGTCCTAACACTAGGGAACTGCCGTTGCAGCATGAAGCCCTTCCTGGCTCGAACCTAACGGGAAGCCGTGCAACCCCCTCCTCGGGATGGTTCACACGCCGCCCGGGTACTGCGTGCTGCAGTGGGGTGGGCATGTGCCCACATCGTGCTGTAGCTAATCAGGACAAAGAGGAGATATTCGTGGTAGACCTGGAGAAGCCGACGGATTTGCTCGGCATTCTCGTACAGCTCGAAGGGGACCAATACCCTGCGGTAGGACGATGCCCTCCCTGTACACCCCGCCAGTAGAATATTTTTGTAAAGGATTCAACGCTTCCAGATACAGCAGTCCTTATATCTCCTTCCAACCGCCTCCCTAACTGCAAATTTGGAGCAACGAGTATTCTTGCATTGGAGTTTGAATCGACTCCTGAGTACGAGCGTAGAATCTTCTGACGGACAGATGCAGGCCGCACAACCCTAATTTGTCCGTCATGAACAACCGTAATTGTGCAATGCAGACCTTGATTGGAGTAGACTTAAACCATGAACGTGGATGCTCTACTCTGTGGGGGCCTTTTTCTGGATTAGACGGATCCATTTGGTCTGCTCCCTACACTAGAGCTAGGAGGCGCCGTCTCTCCTATGGCAACAGATCAGTACACCGCATCATGGATTATAACGGCGGGGAATTGACGGGCGTTAAATCTGTAATATTTCGCTTTGTTCCTGGTGCTCAATCCATCATGGTTTATGCAACACTAACTACCAACGCGACTAGGGGTAGGGAATCCCATAAACGAAGCGCACGACAGTCCGACAAAATGAATTGGCATTAGACCATACGCCTGTGATTCCGAGTGGTTCCCCGCGCACATGCGTCACGATATCTCCAGTCAAAACAGAATATTGGCTTCTATCGAGGTCGCTTCACAAGCCTCGACCTGTTGCGCTGTTGCTGTTGTACTTCAAGGACCTGTAGCACAAAAGAAGTGCCCACCAGGAATGTATCAGCCGGAAGAGGGTGCCCGAAGCTGTAAAGTATGCCCAGCTGGCTTTTACTGCGACGAATTCGGCATGAAGGATCCCAAAAGATGCCTCCAAGGTTTCGCATGCCCTGAGGGGTCGACTAGAGGCACATCGGAATACTGCAAGATTGGCTGGATCTCCCAGCAGAGTGGGTCGGCGAACACAAACTCATGCGTGCCCTGTGATAAGGGCAAGTTTTGTGCAGAAAGAGGGGCAACAAAGGTGTCCGGGAATTGCTCAGCCGTAAGTGCTGCCACTGCGCCTTAGTTAGTGTTCAAACATTTGCTTACGCAATACTTTGCAGCACTAAATTTAAAAGCCTTGTTGTAAAGAAAGTAACACTTTTAATCTGCAAGGCGCTTTTCTGGGTGCCAGGGCTACTACTGCAAAGGCGGTTCTTGGACCGCCACACCTTTGGCAGGCATGGTTCATCCTGAGACAGGTGAAACACTTGATATCGGCGACATCTGCCCTTCCAACCACTACTGCACCGAGGGCGCGTCGGCTCCTACTGCATGCCCAGTGTAGGCCCACCCTTGCATGACGGCTCTTGGCCATAGCAAAGTCCTTCGAGGACTGCGCAGAGTAGTTCGGCCATTGCTTATACGTCCGCTTAGCCGTTAGCGTTTACCCACCCTTGATGACACTGACCATAGGGATAAAGAATTGCTTGTTTCTTGTCCTTTGTGAAGAACCTCCAGTGACGTCTCTAGGACCATAGGTTGGTGCTATAAAATGTTTCCATAGTGTGCGGTGCGCGCAGAGGAACCTTCTCCCAAACAGGAGTTGCGTCTGATTCCGGCTGCTTTAAATGCTCCGCTGGATTCGCGTGCATCAGCGAGGGTGTGCAGGTTCCCTGTGCGGCGGGCTACGTTTGCTTGGAGGGGTCCAATACTGCAACACCAAATGACAAACAAAAGGGCTACATTTGTCCAGCAGGCCACTACTGTCCTGAAGGCTCATTCGCGGAGAAGGCAAGCAAACGCATACACACTGAAATTTTGTTGCGCAGCCATCGACACTTACTAGCCAGCTCAGCAACATCAATACAACTGCTGACAAACTGCTCCGTTCAATTTTTCATCTTCCTTCTCCATGTCATTGTACTCTTTTTTAGCCCCCGCTTGAACTGGAGGACAGCTCCTGTTTAAATTAGAGGAAAGCTTTGACTTATTAGCTGTAATTTCAGCCCGGTTAAGGCACATTTGTGCAGTGCAACATTAGCCCAACTTTCTTTTCTTCTTTGCATTTCTCAGCAATGCCCATCTGGGACATTCAGCACTGAGGGTCAAGCTGCATGCACTCCGTGCAGCCCCGGCAAATATTGCTCAAATCCAGGAAACAAGCAAGACGGAAGCAATTGCCCGGCAGGGCACTTTTGCGGGGGACAAACTATTGTCCCACAGCCTTGCAAACCAGGGACGTTTCAAGACCAAGAAGGCCAAGCATCGTGCAAGCTGTGTCCTCGAGGATTCTACTGCCCGAATTACAGGGCAACATCTGCCACCGAGAAGTGCGAGGCAGGAACTATGTGTGTTTCCGGAGCTACGCATCCAAGAATTACCGATTACGTGTACAGTTTTGAAAACGAGGTGAATGGACTATGCCCTCCAGGTCATTTCTGTGTAAAAGGAGCCACAGAACCAACGCCGTGCCCTGAAGGGCACTATCAGGTACGTTTCGTTTCACGTTTAGGTAACATATTACACTCGTGTATCAGGCTCATCCTAATCATTTCGTCATTTCAGAGTGTCTCTTTAGGGGAGAGCCGGAGGCACGTCGTGCGTTGAATGCCCAGCGGGCAAGTATTGTTCTGGCGAGGGTAATAAAGCCCCAACGGGAGACTGCGCCCCCGGATACGTATGCCAGAAAGGTTCTGCAACGAGAAAACCCACAGACGGGACTAAAGGGGATATTTGTCCCAAAGGATTTTACTGCGAAGAGGGGGCAACCCATCCAACAGCATGTGCACCGGGGACATACACGAGCACGACGGGGCAAAGTTCCTGCCAACCCTGTCCAGAAGGATTCTACTGCAACACGCCTGGCGCGGACCCAAAACAATGTCCCCCCCAAAAGGTCAGTAACGTGCAGCACGGCAGCCACCAATTAAACGTGTAACTGGTGATGAGACACTAAATCGTGGTTCTTCTCAAGAACTATTCTACCTTTCCAAGGGAGTACCGGAACGTGCGTGCTTCGTATATGTGACAGCACAGCCGGCTGCTATTGTAAACGCGAGATGCAGGTATGCCCTGAAGGAAGCGCAGAGCCTGGACTCTGCCCGCGAGGGTCTGTCCCCAATCCAGACGCTGATCCCGCTGATACATGCATCCCATGTCCGAAAGGAAAATATTGTAGGGGGGCTGTCGAAGCTGGGAACTGCCTTGCAGGGTATGCACTAGGGACCACTGTAGATGGTTCCACGACAGCTACAGAGGAGTTCTGTGACTAACGTGAAAAGCAAGGAATAGAAAACAACAGCGTAGGTGTACTGTTGTGCATGCGTACCTTTCTTGGCAGGTTCTTCTGTGGTCTGGGCAATTGGGTCCCTAACCCGTGGATGGAGCAGACACCTAACGAACCTTTTGTACCGCCAAGTGCTGCTTCTTCCGGAGGTATTACGCTCTTAACATTGGACAACTGGGAAGACGTGAAAGAAACAGGATATGGAGGCATCCCTTGTCCTCCAGGACATTTCTGCCCGGCAGGTACCAATGAACCAAAACCTTGTCCAACGGGAAGTGTCAGGCAGGCTACCCTAGGCAGGTGGGAAGGTGATTGTTCTCTTTGCCCTAAAGGGTGAGTTTCGATCACGCAGTTCCAGTAAGAGTGAACTGTTGCAAATAAAGTGAGGCCTCTGGGTTGGAATTTCCTTTACGATGTTGCCACATGGTTTCCACTGCTGACTGCTTCAGAGTGTTTGTCTCAGTGAACGAGCAGACTGATAATCTGGTGTGTATAGATATCCAATAAGAGATCAAATTATCCGACGTTTTGCCGTTGTTCAGATTCTATTGCCCTCCTCTTTCTCTTGTCCCGGAGCCTTGCCCGGCAGGCCATTTTTGTCCTCTGGGCTCATCGGAGCCACGCCCCTGTATGGGTGGCACTTACAATCCGCACACAGAAGGCAGCAGCACAGCATCATGCCTCATATGCCTACCGGGATACCTGTGTCCTGGTGAAGGCAATGGTGAAGTAACAAAAGAAAACCAGTGCCCTGCGGGGCACTACTGCCTCGAGGGCAGCCAGACCGCAATCCCCTGCCCACCTGGAACGTATTCAGACGAGAACGGTTTGACAAGTGAAGCTGGCTGTAAGCCCTGTCCAGGTGAGCCTAACGTACTACATGCGCGCTGCCCTATGCCAAAAGCAGTCGTCTGCCGGGGGATGTCTGCTATGTTTTTGTTTAGCTGGTCGCCCACTAGGACAGTTTCATTGGTTCACGCCGGATATCTTTGCTGAGAGCTGTCTTCCTCTCCCGCAATTCATGGAAGCAACAACCCACGCATAAATCGGGGGTCTCTTTGAAAATGACTATTTACTCATATTTCTCGAATGCTTTAGTGTTGTCTCCTCAATGTATCTTGGATGCCTGCATGTTCAGCTGGGAACTATTGCCCAATGGAAGGGTTATCCAAGCCCGGGCTTACATGCCCCATGGGGCACTCGTGCCCTTTAGGAACAGCAATACCACGCAAATGTTTACAAGGAACTTGGTGCCCGTCGGGAAGCGGCGAACCACAACCGTGCCCAGCTGGAGCTCTGTGTCCAATAGGATCAGGAATTCCCTTGCAGTGTCCACCCGGTTCCTATTGCCCTCTTGACCAATCAACCCCAATTCCATGCCCAGCTGGTTACATGGGAGCCGAGGATCGATCCGATACTACTTCTTTGGAAGCTGGCTGTACTATATGCCCAGCGGTATCGCCCTTAGCACGTCGGCGTACAAAACCCGCATCGCCGTGCACTAGGTGTAAGGACCAGACACTCACGAGTTTCCCCTAAAATAGGCAAATACGTCAACGAGATTTCATTGTGTTTGCGTTTCCGATATCTTGAAGGGCACATATTCTAGTGAGCCTGGTATGACGACGTGTCAGCCATGTACCCCCGGATACGTTTGCTTGGAAGGATGCAACTCCCGGTTAGTCGTTCGTAATAAGCAGGTGCATTGGAATAAAGAATTTCTGTTGCAAAGATGCTACCTACAAAGTTCCAACAAGTGCTTTCCGGGTGCGCCTTCGGTGCTGCAGCAGTACATAGGAAGCAGGACTTCTCGCCAGCTGCCATGTCTTGCATGAACATGCGCGCAGCAAGCCAACCAATATTGAAAGGGACAAAGGTTTTCGATGTGCTCCCGGCACGTACTGCCCTACGGGGTCAACTAGCGAGACACCGTGTCCTGCAGGGACTTATGGAATTCAAGCTGCTTCATCAAGTGCTGAGTCTTGCTATCCATGCCCAGTAGGAAGGCTGTTTTCAAATGGTTTCAAGAATAAACGTAGGATTCACGGTGTTTCAACACAGCAGCCATTTGAGCAGCCATTTAAGGGTGCTATACCGTATGTACATACATGCGTTGGCGCAGTCCGGGACATATAATTCCTTGGAAGGTCAAACAGGCTGCATCCTATGCGGAGCCACGGGAACATCGAATTCTAGCGCTACATCTTGTTCGTGCAAGGGGGCAAATCGATCCTTCCAAATGGCAGACAGGTCCTGCGTTTGCCTTTCGGGATTCCACTACCTTGAGGGAAAGGAAGATCTCAGTGACCAGGATGGCGTGGAACCTTGTCAACAAACTGTAAGCCAGCAATAATTAGCACAGCACACCAAACTACTATGCGCACGCCGCTATGCTGTTCCCCGCACCTCCAGTATTCATGCGTTGCAACTAATATCCGGGTGATACTCTGCGTCTTTCCCTGTTCAGCTTTACGACGAATGTACGGACGATGCGGTGCGGGACTCTACAGGCGCCTGCACATCTCCGAGGGAGATTTGCGATAACCAATGTGGGCCTGCAGGTGGTACATTCAGCACAATTTCGGGTCTCTGCTCCTGTATCGGAGAAAAATCCTTGGATGAAGTCTGCGACGAAACGTGTAGGGCTGCACGCCCCCAAATGATTCTCAAGGGCTTTAAGTTGCTCATAGAGGACCCAGAAACAACGTTGGGAGACAAAGCATTTGCACTCCAAGATCTCACTACGCAGACTGGGCTTGCCACGGGCTCTTATGAGTGCGAGGACGAAGAAGGCTGCACTGTCCGGATGTTTGATACAACGCTAGGTTGGCACAGCATTTCAGTGTCAAAAAGCGTCTCCATCACATTTCTCCATTGATTATACATTTAGGAAGGGGATACAAAACAATATAGCGTCTGCTTGCCACGAAATATCTTAGTATTAGTCGCTTCTTGCCCCTGCTGTGAGCGTTTTGTTCTTATTTCCATCTTCAGCAACGCGATTGTGTGTGCTAACATGCTTCAGCCAAGATGACAGGTCTTGTGGGTGTCCCACAAAGTTTCGTTGATGAAGTAACTGAACGGCTACAAAAGTACGGTATCTTGCCGGAGTTGCCCAGCACCGGTGAAGATGAAGGAACAGGAGATACGGAAAATAACGAAACGACACCTGCACGTCGACTGGCGTTGTCTGTGGACTTCGGCTACTTTGGCGTGTCCGATCCAGTCCAATGCCTTCCACTTGGCTCTACTGTAGCCTGGCACATCCGCCCGAGCCCGAATCCAATATATCCGGTGTACCTTCGAAACAATTTGTTAAATACAAACAAACAATTTGATTATGGAGCCTTTAGGTGGGTAGGGGACCATTTTGTTTTTCTGTCGGCGAGAGTTTGAACTTACCAATATAGCGGCAAATTCTGTTTACACAACGATTCTGAGTTGACAATGCGCTCCACAGGGAACTGGATACCGACATGAAAGGAGGAGAACAGAGAATTCTTTTTATATTTACCTTCAAAGAGCCTGGGGTCTACGTGTTTGGCCTCAACAGTGACCAAAACAAAATTATGGTCCTGCGTGTCATGGAACCCAAGAGACTATGCAGGGAGGATGCACTGCTACCTCAACTGCGAACTGCTGAGACACTCGCCGCCATTGCTGCACGTCTTCCCACTACCATACAGACCTCCGGCTGGTTGCTATTTATTTCAGTTGTTTTGGGGATCCTTTTGATGGCAGTGCTTTTCTTTTTTGCCGCTTGGACTATCAAGCATCAGAGGCTCGAAAAGCTGGAAGCAGACCCGAAATCGAAATACAACCAGCCCGACCCTCAGCAGACAAACACGTATGTTGAGCGCTTACTTTAAAAGAATGTAAGGCGGCAGTTTACATACAATACTTCATCACAGAACCTGCCACGGCGCTGCCATTTGCACAGGAAAACAGCAATTAAGGAGGTGGAAGACCTCATCCTCCCAAACCAAACCCCGGTGCCAATGGAAGAGGATCCTGGAGTTTTGCGTGCAAGACGAGCTTTGGCAAAAAAGTTGGAAACGCAAGACCCTCGGATCTTTATTGCAGTTCTCAATTTAGCAAAGCAAATCCAGCAAGAAGCCGAAAAGCAATGTGGGCAAATACTGGCTGAACGGAGCCAAGGTTTATCTCAGCTTCTTGAACAGACAAAAGAATTGAAACAGGCTCTTTCCGTGAAGCTACAGGATGCTGCAGCCTCAGAGGCAAGTCACTAGCAAATGCGGTGGAAAGCCAGACGGTTAAGCACTATCGACAGGAGTGGTTTACACTGTAGATGGATCTTGCACAACTATCTCTGTGGCACCTGTAGAAAAGACAGGCACATCAACCTGGCAATGCTGACTGTGGTGCTTATCCAATGAATGCCCTGGAAAAGCCATCCAGTTTAAAAAGCGCAAACCGTGTAGACATTTGGTGCTCGTCGCATGTGCTGTACTACAATTGTGGTGGGACCAGCCAGTAGTTATACCTCCTGAAACAAAGTTCCATGTTGCAATTTCTGCTGCTGTTTACTAACAGGTATGGATGAAAGAACCCGATGAAGAACGAGAAGAAATTCTTTCTACTCTGCTTAGCCTGCTCCGCCTCAGAAGACGGGACCTTGTCAACAGGATGGCGCGGGAAGAGAAAGAACACCAGGAGGTTTGTTGTGTCCTCGTATGTGAGGCAAATGAGATTTCGCGAAGATAATTATTGCTTTCTGTTTGACGCCCCGTAAGGGTTTGATGCGGACTCTGCTGCCTTTGAGTAGGAAGAGGCTCTCAAAGGAAAGGGTGAGCAGCTCCTGCTACTGAGCCGAGCAAGTAGCATGTGGTCACGTCACGACTCGTTGGTCTCCAGTATCATTCTTCCAGCTGTTGGTGAAAAAGGTCAGACTCAAATTTCATCAATCAAGCTTTCTGTGGAAGCACAAATCGAAGAACTCCTGGAAGAGTTTAGAAACGCACGGGCTGATGCCGATGACGACATGCCTTCTATAATAGAGATTTACAAGGCCAAGATGAAAAGCCTGCTTGAAGAAGTAATGCCTTGTATCACCCGCTTCGGTTGCATGAACTATTGACTGTAAGACACCATTTACTGTTCACATAGTGCTGATTCCCGGTTTTCTAATGCCTTCGTGTTCAGGCACAAGGAGAGACCAACCTTGCCTTCAAGAATATGCTTTCTGCAGATATTGAAGAACAAGTCAGTACAGATGTATTCACCATAAGTACTGACACTCTGCTCAGTAGGGTGCTGTGTTGAGACTAGGAGACAGCTGCCATTGGATTTGTCTCTGCTTCTGTATATGCGCACAGCTCATAACTGGAAGTGCTTCGTTAGATTTACGAGAGGCAAGAATGAACTTGACAAGGACCGAAGACGACGCACAGGAACGAAAGACCCTTGAAATATATCGCGTGGTAGGTTAGCGGCTCAACGCCATATTGTCGCACTCAGATAATCGCAGAACGTTGCCCCCTAGCAATGAATTCAAGAGAGTACTGAGCTCGCACAGCAGGCTCCTCTTCGTGGGTGATATGCTGCACGGTGCGCTCGCATCTCTCTCGGAATAGCTCGCGGAAGCTGCGTGGAAGCTGACTGTATACACAGCTGCCATTGAACAAGAAATTATGTCTTCCACCCAAGCGGTAAATAAGGCTGCCTTCGAGGGGAAGCAAGCGGTGGAAATAACTAAAGCTGATCCAGGCGAAGCAGTTAGCGAGCTGAAGGCTGCTGTCATGACGGCTCTGAAGGTAAGGTTTGAGCCCCACCGCTTCTGCCCAGGAATAGGAGAGTGCGCAATCTACCATGTTCAGCAAAATCATGGCTTTTATACCCCAGCAACTGGCTTTCATGAATTTTGCAGATATTCTCGTAATAAGCGTGTGCGTTTTTCGAACTGGTGACCACAGGAGGGACGCTCAAGAATACAAGAAGCTGCTAGCGAAGCTGAGAAAGCCATTTCTTCTGCGGAGGCGCAGGCACAGTCACAACTTGACTCTTGGACTGGCAATTTGCAAGCGGAGCTGAGAGATGTGTACGATGTAAGTTAGGCCGCATGTTCGTGTAGGTCAATTGCCATCTGAATCAATCTGTGTGAGCCTCAAGGGTGTATGCCTTCGATACTCGAAGAGGACAAACATTTCAAATCAACCAAGACAACCACGGAAACATGCGAAAATGAATGTCGTGAGGCTGCAGGGAGTGCTTGATGCACAAAACAAAACTCTTAATTGTGCGTTTGCCACCGAATCAAGACTCCTCAAGGCATCCATGCAAACTACAAAGAACCAGATTTTGGAGCGAATACGCAGCCGGTACGGGTGACGCCCATCAGTTAAACCGGAGCAAATCTTGCAAAACAATGACAGACATGTACCACTGTTGGTTTCTTCCACCATCTACGGTTTGTGCATAGACCACTGGGTAAAACATCAATTTGGATTTCCCTTCAGGTACGACAGGATGCACTCTCTCCGATGCTCCGACATCTTGGAAGAGCTGCAGATTACACTAACTGCAAGCATTTCGGAAGCAAACCTCAAAACCAGACAGAAGCACATTGATGACGCTGTGAACGAGGTGGGCATGTGACATGAGCATGCTAGATAGCCTAGGCACGCGGACGCTGCTGTAGCAACAACACGCATTGCGTGAAGAGTGCCGGCGCACTGGTTTGCAAATCAGACCACCTTAAGGGGCAATATTGAGGAAGCCCCTACGTAAAATACTAGACACGCCAATTGGATACTACCTGAATGTTGTATTACTGAGCTGCATATGCGCTACAAACAGGCTTCAAATGAAATTAACCGTCTCCGGGATGCCGAGCTCGAGTCGGCAGTCGCAACCCTTAACCGTACTATTGCTGCAAGGACGAATTCAGTTCACAAAAGGCAGTCGGCATTCAAGTCGCGCAAGCTTTTGATGCTACAAAAACGGCAAGAAACGGAAGTTCAACAAGTTCCCGTACAGGCACAGTCTGCAGTGGCGCTGTTGCGCAGAGCGCTGAGCATACTAAAAGAGCAGCTGAGGGTTAGACGCCACTTGATGCCCAACAGCTGAGGTAGTGCCGATTCAACTAAGATCACACTTACAAACACTTGCGTTCACGAATTAGTGCAGCATTGTTCATGTCGAAACAATAGCTCCAGCTAGTATCGAACCACATCCTGCGAATGTTGTGACTCTGCGTGGCTTAGGCGGCTACGACGTATGAGGCGACTCTCTTCCAAAATGTCGCCAAGTTCGGGGTGGATATGGCTGTGAGAAACTTACCGTTGTTTTCCTCCTTTAAATCGAGTACAGGCGTTTACGTGGGCATACAGTCGTGCATTTATCAGCAGTACTTTTATACAGCATACGCGCCAAATGTGCTTGCCATATCAGGTTTTGATCAAGGAGAACACACAAGATCTCAGCGCACCGGCAACTCTTATGGAAGGCCTAAAACGGCAACAGGGTGAAGCACTAGCAAAGTACAGGGATCAGTTGATCGCAAGCGTGCGAAACCAGAGGCAGGCAGCAACGGAAGAACTGTGGGACCTGGAGCAGAGAGAACGAAAGCGAATCGACGAATTCCTCGAGGATCAGACAGCTCAACTTGAGGCAGCCAGCAATAGGCTTGAAGAGTACGATCGCAACTACCCAACAAACGTTGGACAAAACGCCCAAGTATACTTTAAAGTCACGTAGACACCCGTAGACAGGTCAAACGATCCATGGATATCGACATACACGCCGGCTGCTTCTGGCGTGCTGTGTGGGACAGGGCTATCGCAAAAGAGGAAGCAGTACGGGAAGAGTACGAGAATGCTGTATTTAAACTCAAACAACAAAATCAGAGGGGAATGAAAGAACTGCAAACAATCCAAGCTCTCTCTGCATTCAAACAAAAGCTGCTCAGCAAAATTAACGATACCTTTCTGTCTCGAGCGAACGAGGTACCGCAATACCGCGTTATTTCTGTTCAGATATACTCCACCAATCACGTGCAATACGCCACACATGGGTATTCCTGAGTTCCAGAATATGAAATATACATATGCAGTGGAATCAGCGCATTTTTATTGCAGGCAAGGAGCAAGGGTATCACTGACCCGGATACAGACGACAGGCTGCAGGTAAGCAAGAGCGTCACTTTCGATGTTGCCTGCGCAGGCTAAACCTACCTAGTTGGTGCTACGAAAGTGTCTTGCATGATCTGCGTGGTGATAGTAGATTGATCAGCAGGCAGAGTAGCACGGGCGTACTGTGTTGCTTGACACCGTATCTTAGTCGCCACAATTGTTGCGCCTTTCTTTTCTGGGGGGACCCAACAGGCATATGCTATGCTGTGCTGTGACCCCTCAGCAAGAGTGGAGAATTGCAGAAGCAGAATTGGAGCCGGTAATTAGCCGGGAAAAAGAAACTTATAGCCGATACGCCGACTTGGCTTTCCAGGTTGAAAGCGAAAACGCGCAGAGTGAACTTCGGAAATCACAGCAAAACCGCCAAAGTCAGGCAGCTCTTGCAAAGACCATGGTGAGACATGCCCATCCTTTGTAAAGCATGGAAATTGCTGGAGGTCAGTGTGAATAGATTATCACCCAGTTCTTGACTATTAAACAGCTACGTAGCCATCGACCCGCCCACAGAGATGGATAGAACCCCCGGCAGCAGCATGTGCCTGACATATCGGGAGTTCCATCGAGACTTTTGTGCATTTAAGAGCTGAATCATGTTTACATTTTGTGGCTGTCACGCATGCATAACCTGCAGGAGCAAGCTGAGGAGGAAGGAGACGACGACATGCTAAACAAACGCCGGGCATTGGGGACTGATGAGGTGCAGCGGATTGTCTGGCGCATTTGCGCCCTTCTTTCGTCTGGGGTAGCTTCTCGCACCGACTCATCGGGGCCCCATTTCATTGTGCCGGATGAACGGCGAGATGATACAGTCGAGGAACTGCGCCAGCAGCTTCGTCGTCGGCGGAAGAGGCACCTGGACTACTGCATTGCACAGCGCAACATCATAGAGGGCGGCCCTAGGTCCGCTTTAGCCGCAATCCAAAGCGAAACAATTCAGGGGCTCTCCGGGACGTCTGAGGATATAGACGAATTCAGCAGGTTAGCTATCCAATCGTTGAGCTTGCGGGGCTTCTGTGCAAGATCATCATTACTGCATTTATACATTCTAATGCGAAATCTCTTCAGGGGCTCTGCCACAGTGAATGCAGCAGATTCATCTGCAGCAATTTTGGAGATCATGGAAGAAGCCCAGCAAAAACTGAACGAGGCCCTTGAGGAAATTCAGAAGGAACAGGAAGTGCGTCACTGTACATGTTCGTTGTATAGTGCTAGAACGATCGCAGACTATAGCGCAAAGAATTAAAGGCAAGCCTTCATCTCGGGATGTGGGAAGGCTCCCCTGCTTGTGCACATTCCAGGAAGCAGAAGAAAAAGATAGAGTCAATCGGGAACAGGAAATAGCTGAACGGCAAAAGGCTCACGAGCTAGCGAAGCAAAAGTTAAACGAAGAGCACCAGGCGAAACTGGCAGCAGCTCCTGAAGACACAAGGGAAGAGCTATTGAAAGGTAGTTAACCTGTGCACGCAAAAATGGGAGCTCTCAATATCCTTCAGGTATTAAATACCTGTGGCTCTTTTCTTGCTTTGCTTGGATATATCCTTGCGCTACAGAACATGAAAAAGCGCTAAAGCAGATGGAGTCAGCAGTGGCAGCTGAACTGCAGGAACAAGAGGAGCGTGCTCAGAAGCGGCTGCTAGAGCGCCAGCAACGGTTGCAACAAAAACGACGTGAAGCAGAAGAGCAGAAGCAACGAGCTATTGAACAAGCCAAGGCGGAGCTTGAGGAAAAGATCGCAGCTGAGGCGAAGCAAGTGAGAATGCTTGCCAGGGTTAAAAGGAGTGGGTTTTGTCATTATCTCCCCTCATGTTTACAATCTCGCAACAGTTTTCCGCGGTGCTCATGTTTTGCTACAGAAGGAAGAGGCAGCAGAATGCGAAGAACTGCAACGCTTAGTCAGTGAGGGCAACAACCCTGCTGCGGTGGCAGAGGTAAGTGAACTGCCGCGTGTTATGCATTTTCCCAGCAGCGCTGAAGCGTCCTGGCTGTGTGCAATAAAGATATGGTAGAGGGGAGAAATCATCAATCTGGCTTTGGATGCTACTGCAGCTGCTTGCACGAAAGCACGAAAGGGAGTCTTTGTCGCTGCTTCAAGAGCTTTCCATGAGAAAGGCAGAAGAGATAAGTGCACTCACAGAAAAATTTTGGAACGAGAAGGGAGGCAGAATGTATGTGAATTTGAAGCCAGTAATCCTCCCTCACAAGCCCAGAATAGCCGTGACTCTGTAGCAGACGTATATGCTAAGTGAAGTCCTTCTATGTTTGGCTGAGTATTTCCAGATGCGAAGGACGGCCTGATGATCTGCAAGAGCTCTACAAGGTAAGTGTGAGAAAGCCAGAGAACACACTAAATCTTTCCGTGCTGTTTTGGCTCCATCCAAACAAGTCTTTCTATTGGGTGTATGGTTTCAGGCCGAGTTGCAAGAATACTTGTTCGTGCAGACACGGGCGGTATGGCACTTTCACCTGTTTGCACCTTTAGGCTACGTCGTTGAATTATGAAAATGAATACCTGCATCTGAAATTACTTCCTTGCCAGGTGCTTTTGCATTCTTACACGTAAACTGTGCAGCAACAAACGCTGGGAATGGGTAATGGTTTTTGCAGTTGGACGACCGGATAACCCTCCAGATGCAAGATCTGCAGCAGAGACAAACTGGCGAAGCAGAGACCACCATGAAACGGATGGAACGCCGAGCGAAATTGGCACAGGAAACTGCATTGGTCCGTTTGTTTGAGGCACTTTCCGCATGCACACGCAGGTTGTTCGCTCTACCCCGCCATCGATGTTTTAACTTTCCGTTCGTCACACCTATTTCTGTACGAAGAGATATACTGCTTCTGTCACTTATTAGAAGACATAGGAGACAGCTGAAATTCACAAAAAATTCATTCTTGAATTTTGTGGGCATTTCAGCCACAAATGTCCGAGGAAGAACAGTATGCACGGCTGCACCAAGAAGCTGAAGCTGCGGCGGCGGAGGAAGTTGAAGGCATAGAAAAACGCATGATGGAAGAGCAGGAAAAATTGCTCAAAGAAATGGAAGAAAAACGCAATGCCTATGACAAGGTACTGGACAAGTTGAAGCACCGCAAAATGATGGAAGAAAAGCGAGAAGCCCTGCGTCAAGAACAGGAACAACGCAGGCGAGCAGGAGAAGCGAGCGGACTAGGACACCTCATGAGCCAGTATGAGGAACACAGGAAGTTGCTTGAAGAGGCACTGGCTGAAGAAGCAGCCAGGCAGCACAAACAAGCAAGACAGCGCGTACTCCTGCGCAACGTTGAAAGATCGGAACGGCTCTATCAGAAGCGGCTTGCTGAGAAACAGAGATTCCTTGTGAACCAGAACGAAATAAGAAGACGCGAGTTGGGGCTAGTAAGATTCCCGCTTAAACTATACTAGGCTGAAGGCAACTCAACGAAGTGCAGGCCGACACTGCATTCGTTCGTGATCAAGCCGACGACTTCAGTGTTCGTCTCCAACTCTCCCGGCTCTCACCACACCAGGCGTACGTATGCGGCTGCTGTCTCTGCAGAGTGCTGCCCGGGCGGCAGTGAGGACGCAGCGGAACTTCGTTGAGACTTTGAATGAGCAAGAGCTGAAGAGGAGGTGAGCTCAAGATATCAGCGAGACAGCGCCCTAGCTGAGCCCTTAAGGATGTCTCCACAAGGGTCATCGCCTGTTTCCTTGTCGGTCGGGCACCTTCCCATTCTCCTTTAGTTTACGATCCACTGGCTAACGCACCTTAAGCTGCGCCTTCTTTTTCAGGATGGAACTTGCACGTCGGCTAGAGGAGGAACGCCATTGGGCACCTATATGGCGGGAAATCCTTGAGGAGGAGCAGAACGCTGGAACCTTCGATTCTTGGGACCTAGAGGACGAGCAAATTAATTGTAAGTGTCTGTGTGCTTGCATGACAAAAGCCTTCACGCATGGAGGAAGCAATAAGGCGTTGTCACGTCCACCACCTTCTATTGTGGACACCCTAGTGGAACAGGGTTACTAACAGTATCTCTACATAAGAAGCAAAGCGAGAGAGGCAGTTTTTCCTCATCTGCACAGGCATGCTAGGTCTGTCTTACCATCGGCTGATAGAGATAATGCGTATCCTAACACTTTCTGTAACTTTCTGTGTACAGTTGCGGGACCCTTCGCAACTAGTGTGCTGCACACCGAAAGGATGCTCCAGAGCGAATCCTCTTACATGCGTAAGTTGATAGGTGGCTTCCAGCAGCTGAGTGAGTTGATCACCGTGATACATGCAGCAGCCAAGGAGAAGGCAGCAGCTGCTGCTAAAGGAGACACCAAAGCCTCCGGCAGAAGGTCGTCTAGTGCAGGCAACGAAGGAGACAGCACGGACAGCAGCAGCTCAGACAGCAGCAGCAGCACCGATGACAGCTCAGATTCAGAAGACAGCGAATCGAGCAGTGAGTTGGAACAGCCTTCGTCGGACTCTAGTTCTGAAGAACCCGCAGTGCCTTCTAGCAGCGATGACTCATCAAGCAGCAGCAGCAGCTCGAGTAGCTCAGAAAGCAGCAGCGAAGACAGCAGCAGCAGCAGCAGCTCAAGTGAAGCCGACAGTGACTGACGCTGCCCATCTTATTACCCTGATGGGGATCAAAGACAGTCCCTGTCTCCACATTATTTTAATGGGCTGGCATGCAATGCCTGTCTCCTAATTCTAGTAAATGACAGCAACCGTATGTCTCCTCGTTTTTCCAACGAAGGAGACGGTGTCCAAAAGCTGTCGGATGACGAGACATGCATTGTCTGTCTCCTCATTCTCCTGCATTTCTAAAACTCGAGCCAACTGACCAACTGAACCTCTTAAATGTGTTTTATTTCACCAAGCAGAAGATGTATAGATGTGCCAAAGAGCCACATGCGAGTGTTGTGGTTGGCGAGAGCATTCACCAGGAACTCGAGCATTTTGGTGTGTCTGACGGTTTCCTTCCACTTTCTTCTTCAGTGCACTTTTCTGGTCATTATAAACCCTAGACAATAAGCCGTAAGTGCTGGAACACTTCTGAGGAGATATATGTAATCGCTGCAGCTTAGGAGGCGGTCCCGGGCTGAACGCCTCAACATCTGCCTTTTGAACAAATTGCTGTTTCAATATTTCGCGCATACTTCATATTCTTTAGTTGTTAAAACATATGAGAAAAGTACTGCATTGAACAACCCTGGTGCGAGGCATTCAGCACGCTGTAGCATTGAATCACCAAAGGATTTCTATACTTTTCCCCTGGAGTGTTGGCTGCCTACTTAACTTAGTGGCAGATAAGCATCATGACACAACCTACAGATCCGGTGTACGCAGCAAAGGACTATGCATGCACGCTGGGTTGTTTGCAGCATCCGTTCGTTGGGAAGATCTGTTGCCGCCCCTCTCCACCATAATCGGCCACACAACCCTTCCTTATGCAACTGTCTATGCGCAGGGCACCTGGCGAGAGGCTGTTGCAGTTGCAGTATGCGCTGCGTACAAAATAGGTATTATTGCAGCGAAGAAGCTCCAAACTATCGAGTCCTGAGCTGAAAGCATCTCGGCAGGCGTCAGCTGAGACAGTGGCTGTCGATACAGGATGAAGAGCTTGCGACGGACGCCCACACATACAACAAACAAATAAACATACCAACTATCCAACAAACACACACACGCACACTCACATTAGTAGCACATCTACAAACTGATGCATGCTAATCTAAAGTAGTTTTTATCCGAAAAAGGCTCCCGTTGGCTGTTCTTTTCAGCCAACAGGTTTCAGGTGGACGAACGCCAGCGAGTAGCATCTGCGTCGCCTCACTGCCACTGATATCGCTGCGAAAAGCTTGATACATCTACAGGCTAAAAATAGGGCTCAATGGAATCAAAGTGGCACTATGGGCATCCCATGAAGAAAATCCCTTTGGGATCAGTTTAGGTTAGCTGTGACTGTCATTTGCCACACCAATCTAACCAGTAGTATATGCAGCGTATATAATGCAGGTAACACTTACATTAAAAACATAAACAAACGTATCATAATTGATTTTTTTTTAAATAACAACGCAGATTGCAACAAAGACAGACAGACACTACAACTGTTGCGGCACACGAGGGGAAAGAAGGGCGCAAGCTGGGGGTAAGCTGCGTTGTACGGAATGCTGGCTCTACTATCTAAACGGTCTTTAGCTTTAAAATGCAATATTCTACTGAAAAAAGGTTATAATATGAATATAAATGCGTATTTCAATTAAAAACACCATCGAACACACGCGTGTGTTGTTTTTGCTGCTGCTGTGTTGCTGCTGATGCTGCTGCTCTTCCGGGCTCCACCAGCCCTGGCATCGTGGGCCCTGGTGGTGTTGGTGTTTCTTGCAACTGCTCGGCGGCTTAATAACCTGCTTTTCTTTCGTAATTTGTTGCTTCCTTTCTTGTTAATTAAAGCAATTAGAGAGGCTTTAAGGATGGCTGGTAGCCGCTGCTAGCGGCGCGAAGCAGCAGCTGCTGCCGCTCCTCCACCCCCATATAAACACCCCCCCCGGTTTTGGGGCCAATATTCAAAAAGGTGAAATGCTGCGACTTATATAAAGCAAAATGGCGCTACAGGAGTTCACAGTTGATCTTCTCCAACAAGTCATTCCCTTCCGTTCCCCTAACCCTTTAGAGGATCCTCGCGAGCATCGCCTTCGTCTGGTATGTCTCACGGCCTGTAACACAACGAGTTAACAACCCAGACACATCAAGAACATAACAGACATTGCTTATTCAGGTTTCCTTTTACCTGCTCGCAGCCCTTGCATGTACTTTCTTAGCATCCCGATGCGGTAGATCGAGCTGAGTTTGAATTCAAAGGATTACTTGAATACCAATCGTGATAAGTTTACGTTCAAGATATTCCTGCTAGTTTATGACAGTGCATAAGGGTGCCGCTGTACTTGCAGGTCGAGAGGCTAGGGGGAGGCACATACGGAGATGTATACCGTGCGGTCGAGGAGCCAGAAGATGGAGTAGGAGGAGGAGAAACATTTGCCGTTAAATATTATGTTGATGAAACACGAACAGTCACAGAAGATGGATTGGGCTGCACAACTGTTCGCGAGCTCACATCGATTTCCGTAAGACCTGTGCTTGTGGAGTTGGGTTAGGGTTTACTGTGTGTTAGGGTTTAGGGTTTAGGACTAGGGTGGCGTAGGATATAAAGTGTTGGATTTACGGTGTACGGTATAAAGGGCGTAACGGGATGCCTCTTGCGGCGATTCACTCGCCTTTGTTTGAAGGGTTTAGGGTTTAGGGTTTAGGGTGAGGGTTTTTGTTGGTTGCAGTCGTTCGGAGGTCACCCGAATGTGGTTCGAATGCGTTATCTTTTCGTTGACCACCTTCCTCGTCTAGTGGAGGCAATTAACCAGCAGAGGATACAATGGGCGCGGCAGCAGCACGCTGCAGCAGATCCGGAGAATCAGGAGCAGCTAAGACGCGAGTTGCAGGCACAGCTGTCACAGGAAGAATTGAAGCCAACACAAGTATTTGTATTTGCTGCTTATGAACTATGTGAGGGAGGAGATCTAAAGAAACTTCTTGCAAAAAAAAGAGAAGCAAAACCTGCCTCTACTGTTTCCCCTGAATGGGGCCTCTCTCTTAGACATGCAAAACTTCTCGCCTTTCAGCTATTGAATGGCTTGGCCTTCCTTCACAACGAGAAGGTACTGAACCCTAATAAACCCTAATAAACCCTAATAAACCCTAATAAACCCTAATAAACCATAGTAAACCCTAAGAAAGGTCCCACTACGGGACGTAGCCCTGCTCTCTCCAATAACAATATCCTTTAGGCCCCTGTATATGTTTATTATATTATTTTTTAATATTATTTTCTTTAAATTTAATGATTTATTGAATATTATTTTTAATTAAAGGTTTAAATACAACTTTTTGTCTGTGTCAACAGCTTTGTCACCGTGACCTCAAGCCGGACAATTTAATGTTAACATCTGAAGGCGAAGACGCAGTTCTTAAGATAGGCGATTTAGGTCTCTGCAGAAATTTCCGTGCAAATGCAGGTATTCCTTAAGACTCAGCTGCTGCTGCCGTTCTGCTGTTGTTGTTATGCTGGTGCTGGTGTTACTGTTCTACTGCTGCAGTTGTTGCTGTTCTCCTGCTACTGTTGTCGTTACTTTAGTGCTGCTGCTGCTGTTCTGCTGCTGCTGCTGCTGCGTGTTATCCCATTTTGCGGTGTATTAGCAGCTCGCCTGTGGCTTAGTGCAACTTTGCATGCAGTCATGGTTGTGTTAAGAACATATTTTCTTTTTATATTATTTTAATTCCTTTTTTCTTTGTTTCTTCTTTCTGGCTCAGGCGAAATAACGCCAACTGTCTGCACAATTTACTATCGTCCTCTTGAAGTTCTGTTGGGAAGAATGAAGATGAACGGCGATGGCGCACAGGTGATTTGCTGCTTTTTTTTTGTTTACTTAGCTTATTAATTTGTTTCCTCCTTCTCCTCCTACATTGTATTCACATTAATATGTACATTCATATATTTATGCATATACATGTATAGGAATATCCCCAATACACAATAGACTGCAAATTTCTGCCATTTAGCCGTCTTGGACTTAGGGTTTAGGGTTTAGGGTTTGGTGTTGATTGTTGGTTTGTGTAGGAGCAAGGGACTCACTACGGCCTTGGTGCGGACATATGGGGTGCTGGGTGTATAATAGCGGAGATGTTTAGAGGAATTCCTCTATTTAAGGGGACACAAGAGTTTGAGGTTCTTATTCGTGTTACGAAGATATTAGGGACACCAACAGAAGCAGAATGGACCAATTGTACCGCGTAAGAATACCCAACACGATCCCGATCCCACGATCCCGATCCCTTCTCCTTCGCTGCCCTTCTGTGTGTGTGTGTTTGTGTGTGTGTGTGTGTGTGTGTGTGTGTGTGTGTGTGTGTGTGTGTGTGTGTGTGTGTGTGTGTGTGTGGTGTACATGAGGTTGTTTATACATCTTTTTATTGCTGTATTTTTTTTTTCTTTTTTTGTGTATTTATTTGTTTAATAGACTACAACATTATCCATTTGGTAATAGAGGAGAAAGTCATTTCTTTAGTGAGCATGATAAACGCTCCAATCTAAATGCAGTATTATTTGGCAAATTAGATCTAGATGGTCTTGATCTTCTTGCAAGAATGTTAGATTATAATCCTCATACTCGTATCTCTGCACAAGAAGCACTTAGTCATCAATGGTACGTACCCTAAACCCTAACCTAAACCCTAAACCCTAAACCCTAACAATCTCTTCTCAATGGAAATTTGCAACAATTCTCCTCTGCAACACAACAATAAATATCTATAATACACTACCCAAGACGCAACAACTTAACTGCTACTGCTGTTGCTGCTGCTGCTGCTGCTGCTGCTGTTCTTGTTGCTGTTGCAGGTTTACGGATGTATCATTTGGTAAATTGGATGGTTTAGGTGTATATAATTGGTTTGTAGATGTATTAAAGTTTCGTTTAGGGGAGAAAACATATATGGCAATGGAGGAGCATACACCGGGGTGTCTATCCACCTCTAAATTGTCGCATATTCTTTGCCAGCGTGGATACGCCGGCGCGGTCGTCCAACGCATCGATCGCGTCTTCGCGGAAGTTGGAGGATTTCAAGAACCCGAACAAAGCCAACATTGGAAACAAGGTAGTACACCATAACTCCTGCTGCTGCTGTTGCTGCTGCTGCTGCTGTTGTTGTTGTTGTTTTTGTTGCTGGTACTGTTGCTAGTGGTGGTGGTGTTGCTGGTGTTGTTGTTCCTGTTGCTGTTGTTGTTGTTCTGGTGTATATGGGGGCTTGGTTGTATTCTCTGCTGTTTTGTTGCTGCTCCGCTCTGCTTTGTCTTGCTGCTGCGGCTGCTGCTGCTGCTGCTGCTGCTGGGTGGCCCCGGTGAATTGTTGGTTTGAATATACTCTGCTGCTGTGCTGCAGTTGTTGCTGCTGAGAGGCTCGCGAGGGCTCGAAGGGAACGCAAGCTTGCCAAAGAGGCGCAGCAAAAACAGTATGCTGCTGCAGCGGCTGCTGCGGCCGCTGCAGCTCCAACAACGCCAGCAACAGCCTCCGCCGCGGCAGCAGCAGCACCGACAGAGGCAGTAGATCAGGAAAATGCACCTGGACACACAAACATTCGTTGCAGTCACTACCCCACATCTGCTGCTGCTCCCTCTGAGGCCCCCGTAAGACACATGGGGGGCAGCAGCAGCGCGAAGCCCTTGGGCATAACCTCTTTGCTGCTGTCTAGTGTACCTATGATGGGAGGCTGTGGTGCGGCACCTGCCAAGAGTTTCCCTGCTGCAGCAGCACCAGCATATATGCACGACGAATCTGCCCACGATTTGGCAGATCCTGCTGCTGCTGCTGCTGCTGCTGCTGCTGATAACAACAGACACAGCAACAACGCTCTCTAAAGCCATGTTCCTTTCGCGTACATGCTAGCAGAAACCCACGCTGCTGCTACTCTTGCTGCTGCTGCAAATGCTGCTGCTGCTGCAATTCCTGCTGCTGCTGCGAATACTGTTGCTACTCCTGCTGCTGCAAATTCTAGTGTTGTTAACTACAATAATAGTATATATTGTTGCTAATAGTATGTATATGCCTATATAAATATAAATGACAAAAATAAACAAATAAATAAATAAATATAAATATATATTAATAAATATATATTTATTTGTCAATTATTTCTTTATAAGAAAAAAGATTTCTTTGTGCCCTTGCACCCCATTATGATCGATAGGTAGAGGGGATGCTTGGCTAGCTGGCCAGCTAGCTAGCCAGCTAGCTGTTTAGCTAGTTGGCAATAGCCACCTGATTACCCGGTTAGCTAGCTCGCTACATGGTTAGCTGGTTAGCTAACTAGGTAGCTAGCTGACTAGCTAGCTACCTATGTAGCTGGTTAGCTAGCTTGTTAGCTAGGGGGTTCGCTAGCTAGCTAGCTAGCTAGCTAGCTAGCTAGCTAGCTGTTTATTGATTGTGTATTGGGTTTGTTTCTATAATTGATTATAGACTTATAAATAAATAAACAAGAAAAGAGAAGAAGGAAGGAAAAAACAGCAAAGATTTCCTCTAAGGCATAAGAAGAACGAAGTCTGTATAAGAGACGCAGCAGCAAATAAGGACTTGATGGATCCCCCTTTGCAGCAGCAGCAAGACCTGCTGCTGCTGGTAGCTGCTGCAGCAGCAAAGGTGGAGATAAACAAAGACAGAAACAACAATATAATACTACTGGTAGCCACAGATACTGCACACACAAACAAAGACAAAAAAAAAGCAAAAAATAATTATTTTTCTTTATTTTTTTACTAAACCCTAAATACAAGGGTTTAGGGTTTAGGGTTTAGCAGACAGTAATAATTATTACTATTAATTATTATTATTATTATTATTATTATTATTATTACTACTATTATTAACTATAATAAATAATATATAAATAAATAAATAAATAAATATTCTTACCAATAAAGATCGTACATGTAGACGAAGTCTAGCAGCAATAAGCTCAAGACAAAGAAGAGAAAAACAAATTATTTGAATTCCTAAAGGAGGAGAAAAATAAAATGTCTAAAAAAACACGCACACAAACCCTAAACCCTAAACCCTAAACCCTAAACCCTAAACCCTAAAAACCCTGAAAATACAAACATGTATGTAAGTGAATTCTACATAGACTATAATGATCCAGTCTTCCCTTATTGTGTGTACGGGCTGCAGCAGCTGCAGCTGCAGCAGCAGCAGCAACTGGTGCAACCAGGCTACCTGTTCTGATGCTGCAGCAAACCCTAAACCCTAAACCCTAAACCCTCTTGCTTACTGCGGCAAAGAAACAAAGGCCGGGAATAAACCGCGGCAGATGCTCGCGAGACATCAATTTTATCAACAGCCTGCACACAAACCCCAAACCCTAAACCCTAAACCCTAAACCTTAGAGTGCTGAACCCTCGAATCCCACGGGGAGACACAACTGCTTCCCTGCAAACTCTAAACCCTAAACCCTAAACCCTAATGTATGCAATAATGACTCACCTAGATGACTGATAGATGCAGAAAGCAACGGAAACAATGAGCACGCAGAACCCGATGGTGAGTTGCTGGTGCAGCAGCAGCATAACCTGCTGCTGCTGCTGCTGGGGTACAAAGAAGGTGCTGCAGTTATATGCTGCAGCAGCAGCAGCAGCAGACAACCAACCCCCTATTATTGGCAGCTGCTGCAGTCCGTCAAAGATAGACATAATAAACACTTGTGGGCAAAATGCCCGCAGCACCAGCAGACCGGGAATTACAAGAAAATTCAATTCATCCACCTACACACACAAACCCTAAACCCTAAACCCTAAACCCTAAACCCTAAACCCTAAACCCTAATAATTTGCCGATCCAAAAAAAAAACACTAAACAACAATTTTCTGAAATCCCATGCTAAACCCGAAATCCTCGATTCTATAACCCAAAACCCTAAACCCTAAACCCTAAACCCTAAACCCTAAACCCTAAACCCTTACAGAGAAGGTTCCTGGTCCTTCAAGAGAAGCAGAGAGCATAGTTCTTCCTACAATAGGGTGAGCCCAAGTAGCAGTAAAGAAAGGAAGTTGTGCTAATATAATAAAGCTGAATTGAAATAATCTCGGGTGTATATACAGCTCAGCTAGGGTTTGGAAACAAACCCTAAACCCTAAACCCCCATCAGGTAAAAAAACCCTTAATAGAGGTATATGCCGTAAAAATGCCAAAGATACACAAGCTTCCTTCTGCCCCTCTCCTGCTGCTGCTGCTACTGCTGCTGCTGCTGCTGTAGGACCTGTTGCTGCTGCTGCTGCTGCTGCTGCTCTACCGCATAACATATGCAATATAATTAGAGCAGCAAAAGAAGAAGAAATTGAATCACTAGAATGATCAAAGAAATCACCACCAGCAGAACATAAACCTAAACGACGAGCCTAAGAAAAAAAAAAATACAAACCCTAAACCCTAAACCCTAAACCCTAAACCCTAATCAATAAACCCTAAACCCTAAACCCTAAATATTAAACCCTAGATAAACCCTAGGGAGAACAGAGGAGCAGCCGTCGTCTTTGTGCCAGACGCTCTACGCTTTATCTCTCAAATGCTGCCCTCAGACCCCTAAACCCTAAACCCTAAACCCTAAACCCTAGAGGACTGACCTGTTTGCCGTCTAGGTTATCAAGTAATGCATAGAGTATCCAGAAGAAAGCTGCTGCTGCTAATCTAAAGTTGCTGCTGCTGGTAGAATAAGAAGAGCAGCAGCAATAAGCAGCAGCAGCAGCACAAAATAAACCCAAGAAAGAAACAAAATCAGGATGTAGCCAACGAGGCAGCAGCAAATCACAAATATAATCGCATAAAGGGGATACAGCACATTGATAGAATGTTGTACCTGATGGAGAGCTGCTGCTGCTGCTGCTGCTGCTGCTGCTGCTCTTGCTGCTGCTGCTGGTCTTGCTGCTGCTCCTAACGATGCTCGTGGTGGTGCTGCATTTTTTGGGCTCGTTGGTGGTGTCAAGCCTGCTGCTGCTGCTGCTGCTGCTGTTGCTTCGGCTTATGTCTTTGCTGCTCCTGCTTCTGTAGTTCAGGCTGCTGCTGCTGCTGCTGCTGCTGTAGTTGCTGCTGCTGCTGCTGCTGTCGCTGCGGCTGTAGTTGCTGCTGCTCTTTACACGAGCCCGCGGCCCTGCTGCTGGGGCCCCTGCCATTGTCTCGGGTGTATAGGCAGCTCGGGTGTCTACAACAAATGCAATACGTGAAACCCTAAACCCTAAACCCTAAACCCTAAACCTTAAAGGTTAGATAAAAAGATCATAGTGAGGCTGGCTGGCTAGCGACAGCATCAGCAGCAGCATGCTGCTGCTGCTGCTGCTGATGCTGCTGCTGTTGCTGCTGCTGCTGCCGCCGCTTCTGCTTGTCTTGCTGCACTGAAATCTTGGAGAGGGGAGGCATTCATGCCAAGCCCCGAACCCTAAACCCTAAAGCCTCGCCATAAACCCTAAACCCTCGTATGCTGCGAGACACAGCGGCGCTCGTCGGCTGCCCGCGTGACCTAGAGCAACAATTGTTGAGGGTTTGTACGAATTAGGGTTTAGGGTTTAGGGTCTAGGGGTTCAAATTCAGGGTTTAAATTAACTTTTTATTTATTATTAACACTGTATATACACTCGAGCTGCTGCTGCTGCTGCTCTCTTGAATCCTCCACGGTCCGTGGGGCTGCGGCTGTGGGGCCTAAACCCTAAACCCTAAACCCTAAACCCTAAACCCTAGATCCTGAGTATCGGAACAGTAATCTGAGCTCTGAATTCTGGATGTTAACATCCTTAGACACATGTCTACGCTGCTGCTGCTGCTGCTGCTGCTGCTGTTGTTGCTGCTGCTGTTGCTGCCCTCCTTACCTGTGTACACAGACACCAGCAAAGCAGCAGCAGCAGCAGTACTAGCAGCAGCAGCAGACGATGTCTAGCGTTCTTCTTTCTTGTTATTATTCTCTTGTTTATTTATTTATTTAAATTTAATTATTTTATTATTTATTATTTATAAATAAACAATCGCTGCAACAGACACTAGACAAACAGCAGCAAATGTTGCTGCTGCTGCTGCTGCATTGGCTGTAGATGCTGCTGTTGCTGCTGTTAATGCTCTTCCTGTTGAACTGTTGTTGTTGCTGCTGCTGCTGCCGTTGCTGTTGCTGCTGCTGCTGCTGCTGCCGTTGCTGTTGCTGCTACTACAAGTTTAATATTGATGATTTATATGTCATTAGGCATATTGGGGTGTATGTACAACCCTTGGACTATTTATTGTTATTAGGGTTTAGGGTTTAGGGTTTAGGGTTTAGAGGGTTTTTTCTTCGAGACAAATGTACATTATATACAGATGTATATAATATACATATATATACACTAAATATATACTACATATTGTATATGTATACATATACATGTATACATATATATTTATACATATATAGATGTATAAATATATATGTATACATATACATGTATACATATATATGTATACATATATATACATAAGTATATATGTATACATATACATATATACATTGCGTATTTATGTACAAAATAACGTATAATATATATAAGTACGTATACGTACATATAATATACATATATACATTGTATATAATGTATATATACATAATATACGTATATATAATATAGAGGGGATTTATATACATATATATATTTACTATTTATATTTATATACATAAATAATAATAATAATTATTATTATTAATATTTATTTATTTATTTATTTATTTATATAATTTATTATTGTTATATAAATAGCAATAAAAAGAATAAATAATTTATTAATTAATATTTTGTGTCTTATTAAGGAAAAATAAATATAAATAAATAAAGGAGACAATTCTTAATATACGTCTCTGTCTCTTTTCTTCCTACTTTGCTGCTGCAGCAGCAGCAGCAGCAGCAGCAGCAACGCCAGCAGCAACAGCAGCAGCAGCAGCCTTTGCTGCTGCAGCAATATTAGCCTTAGGCGTGCATGCAGCAAACATGGGGTGTTTTTTGGGGCTTGGTGCTGCATGCAAATAGTCCTTCCTTGCTGCAGAAGCAACTGCAGCAAGACACTGTGCAGCAGCGGCAGCAACAACAGCAGCAGCAGCAGCAGCAGCAGCACCAGACTAGACAATTACACCCTTTATGTCTCTCCTTTTGCGGCTGTCTGTGCTATTAAATATTTTTGGACCCTAAACCCTAAACCCTAAACCCTAAATCCTAAACCCTAAACCCTAAACCCTAGGCGGAGACACTCCATATATATACACTCTGTTAGCTGCTATCGGGGGTTAATAAATAGGCAGAATAATAACTTATACAAATGCAAAAAATTAGGGTTTAGGGTTTAGGGTTTAGGGTTTAGGGTTCAATAAAAAAACACCCTGGTAAACAGAAGCGTACATAGAGGGGGGCCCCCAAGGGCCCCCATGGGGCCCCCCGTGGGGCCCCCCAGGGTTGTTTGTCTTGTTTGTTTGTCTTATGGGTACTTTGTATATATAAAAGAATAAATTATTTATTAATTGTTTTTCTTTTTTTATTATATTTATTTATTTATTTATTTGTTTCTTTTTTTCTTTCTTTTTTCTTTTGTGTATATAATGGGGCTTTTGTTGCTGCTGCTGGTTAATTAGTCGCATGCATTGGCAGCAAATATTGCTGCTGCTGCTGCTTTATTTATAAATATTTAAGTATTTAAAGCAGCAGCAGCTGCTGCTGCTGCAACACAGCAGCAGGAACGGCAGCAACAGCAATAGCAGCAGCACAGCAGCAGAAGACAGCAACAGCAACAGCAGCAACATAGCAGCACACACGACAGCAGCAGCAGCAGCAGCGCAGCAGCAGGGACGACAGAAACATCAGAAACAGCTGCCCAGCAGCAGAGACAACGGCAACAACAGCAACACAGCAGCAGCAGCATCTACAAGGGGAGCACGGGCTCTGCAACAGCAGCAGCAACAGCAACAGCAGCAGCAACAGCAACAGCAGCAGCAACAGCAACAACAGCAACAGCAGCATCAGCACTGAGGCGAATTATTGCTGTATATATAAGAATTAAATAAAAAGAAAAGAAATGATTTTATTTTTATCTTCTTTACGGCGGTTACATGGTTCTCTGCTGAGGTGTACATACACCTCAGCAGCAGCAGCAGCAGCAGCAGGTGCAGCAGAAATAGAGTGTACACCAACAGCAAGAAAGAGGAAAAAAGAATATTTTAATATAATAAATAAAGAGGGAATAAATAAAAAAGTTTGTGGTGTATATTGGTCTTATTATATAAATAAAAGAAAAAAAATAAGAAAAAATAAAAAATTTATTTAATTATTTATTTATTTATTTATATTTATTTATTTATTTAACTCTTTTTTTTTTAATTCTTTTTATTTATTTTATTTATTTATTTATTTATTTATTTTTTTCTTTTTTGTAGTGAGCTGCCTATACACCCCAATTAGGACGAAAATACTGAAGAAAGAAAAACTATGCAGCGACTCGCCAGTTAGCACTAGCTAGCTAGCTAGCTAGCTAGCTAAATAAATAAAGTGTTAGTTAGCTAGCTAGCCAAGAGGCTAGCTAGCTAGCTCGCGATGGGGGAGGGGGGCAGCACCGCCAAGCCAACACAACGAGGGCTTGGACCCTTTGGGATGCAGTTACGTAGCTAGCTAGCTAGGTAGCTAGCTAGCTAGCTAGAAAAAGAGACAGTTAGTCAGCTAGCTAGCTAAGTAGATGGATAGCTAGCTAGCTAGCTAGCTACCAGCACACACAGCGATAAGATTAGCTAACAAGTTAGCTAGCCACACAGAGACAGATGGCTAGCTAGCTAGCTAGCTAGCCAAATACATACCTAGCCACCTAGCTAGCTAGCTAGCTAGCTAGCTAGCTAGCTAGCTAGCTAGCTAGGGCTCATCCTTGAAGGCAGAAGACCTCGGGCAATGGGAAGGGCGGCTCCTGCATGATGATCCCCATGAAGGAGAAGAGAAGAGAGAATTAGGGTTTACGTAATTAGGGTTTAGATTAGGGTTTAGGCTAGGGTTTAGACTAGGGTTTATATAAGGGTTAGAAGATGCACGATTAAATGTACTCGATGGACCCTGCTGATGCTGCTGCTGCTGCTGCTGCTGCTGCTGCTGCTGCAGCGAGGGTTTAGCTGTTGTATGGTAATACTTTGAGTAACATAAGAGAGAAACACCAGAGATAAACACTACTACTACCGTCACGGACATCTCTAACCCTAATCGGGTGTATAGGCACCTTAATAACCCTAATACCTGTATATACAACATACATAAACCCTAAACCCTAAACCCTAATTAACACTAAACCCTATATTCGCATAGACAGAAACTGCAAAGTTATACAGAAAAAAACAAAAACCCTAAACCCTAATATGCTTCATTGTATAGATACCTCACAAACCCTAAACCCTAATAAACCCTAATAAACCCTAATAAACCCTAATAAACCCTAAACCCTAGACGCACCAGATGCTCAAATCCTCCTCTAATTAATGCAATGGTGGTTTGTAGACCCGCGGCAAGAAGGAAACCACCAAGAGAGACAAAGAGGAATAATAAAGAAAAAGAAAGAGCTAAATAAAACCCTAATAACACTAATGCAGCTCCTACAACCTGTATGTCATATACATACACCCCAAACCCTAAACCCTAAACCCTAAACCCTAATTCAGAAAAAACCCTAAACCCCAAACCCTCATCAAGCGACATGAATTTACAAACCCTACTTCGGAAACTACAGACCCTAAACCCTCCTAAGCCCTCCTAACCCCCCCTAAACCCTAATAACCTCCCGTAAACCCTCGTAAACCCTAAACCCTCGAAAACCCTAAACCCTAAACCCTAAACTCTAAACCCTAATTTCTTACATTGTATAATAGACCAAAGAAGTTATTCTTGATGATAGGTTCGTATGCAGCCTTGAGCTCAGTTTGCATCCAATGAGAAGAAACACGATGTACTAATGAAGGAGAAAGACGAACATTTGTCTTTATTGCTGCTGCCTCTGATAGTAATAATTCTTCTGCCTTTTTACGAGCCATTGATGCAAATGTTTGCCACATATAATATGATACTGCCTCCTCCTATTAATAATAATAAATAAATAAATAAAAAAAAAAAAAAAATTCAAAACCCTAAACCCTAAACCCTAGGAAACCCTAAACCCTAAACCCTAAACACTACATACGGATTTAAAGAGTGTCGCAAGAGTTAACAGGGGAGATATACAACTGGAGGAGAGCAGAAGAAACCCTAAACCCTAACCAATAATTCTAGTGAACTATTGAACTCCACCACAAGAATACTAAACCCTAAACCCTAAACCCTGCTAAACCCTGCTAAACCCTAAACCCTAAACCCTAAACCCTAGACTTACAGCTAGTTCGGTCTTGAGCTGATCTAGAGGTCTGCTGCAATTACTCTTAATTGCCTCAAGGTTTGATTCTTCTAATGCCGATCCCATCTCATATAATCTTTGCTCCATCCTTGTTGATACCTATATATACCATAAACCCTAAACCCTAAACCCTAAACCCTAAACCCTAAACCCTAAACCCTTATTTTTATACACCGGTGGTCTACTGATCAGAAAGATGGTTACATGAATTACACAACTAACAGCACCAAACACTAAACCAACCTAAACCCTCATATAAACCCTCATAAACCCTCATAAACCCTCATAAACCCTAATAAACCCTAATAAACCCTAATAAACCCTTACTTCTTTCCATGGATCAGAAGAAGAGCAATAAACCTTAGAGAAATCTTCTCTTGCTTTCCTTTTTGCTTCCTCTATACTCATAGATAAAACTTCTTCCTCTACAGGTAATGATCCATCAAGAGAGGATAACACCTCATGACGGAATAATACCTCCCAACGCTCCGATACCTCCTGTACACCATAAACCCTAAACCCTAATAAACCCTAATAAACCCTAATAAACCCTAATAAACCCTAATAAACCCTAATAAACCCTAATAAACCCTAATTAACCCTAATATGCCCTAATAAACCCTAAACCCTTGGTGCATGAAGAGGAAGAAAGAACCCTCAACATGAACAACTGCACCCTAAATAAACCCTAATAAACCCTAATAAACCCTAATAAACGGTAATAAACCCTAATAAACCCTAATAAACCCTAATAAAAGGTAAACCCTAACCTGTGATGTTTCTTTGCATTTATTACTCCATGTTCTTAATGCTTGTGTCTCTAATTTAGCTAATGTTGCTGCTAAATCTGCAGATACAGCTGAATATAGATCAGATACATCTCTTAATGAAGAAACATCCGATTCAAATAATGTCCACGCTGAGGTGTACATACACCACAAAAAAAAGAAAAAAAAAACACACAAATATATATATATATATATATTAATTATTATTATTATTATTATAAGCAACAGCAGCAACAGCAGCAGCAAGAGCAGGAGCAGCAGCGGTGGGAGTAATATGAGCAGCAACAGCAGTAGTAATAGCAGTCACGCAACAGCAGCAGCAGCAGCAGCAGCAGCAGCAATAGCAGCAGCAGCAGCAAATTGTACCAGCCTGTTGCCAATCAAGAAGCAAACCCTTAAACTCTTGCAAAGGGCGCAGCAAATCAACAGGTTGCTGCTGCAGTTGCTGCCGCAAACTTGCTGCTGCTCTTTCTGCTGCTCTTTGCATGCGATCTGTTATACTCTTCTGTTACCACATAAACATAAACCCTAAACCCTAAACCCTAAACCCTAATGCTACGGCATAACCCCAACAAAATACAAAAAAAGAGAGAAGCAAGAAAAAAAAAAAAAAAAAAGCAAGAAGATCCTCTTGTTCGTCTATTGCTTGTACATCGCTAATTAGGGTTTAGGGTTTAGGGTTTATCTTACAATATTAGCAGAGTGTAGATCTAAGAAAAGGGTTTGCACAGCCTCGAAGTGTTGCTGCAGCTCGTGGCTGCATGCAGCAACAGTTGTATAATCACGATCTTGCTGCTGCAGCCGCTGCAGCAATGCTGTCTTACTCTGCCTAAGCAGCAACACAATACAGCAGCAGCAGCAGCAGCAGCAGGAGCAGCAGCAACATAAGTAACATTAGCAGCAGCAGGAGGAGCAGCAACAGCAGCAGCAGTAGGTGTATGCCTGCCTATTATTGATTAATTAGATAAATAAGTAAGTTTGTTTGAGGAAATCATCATCATCAACAGCAGCAACAGCAGCAGCAGCAACAGCAGCAACAACAACAACAACAGCAGCAGCAGCAACAGCAGCAGCAGGAAGACATACTGCTGCTGATAATTAGAATAATCAGTTAATTCCTTAGGAGGAAGAGGAAGTCTTTTTATTTGTTGTTCTTTTGCCTCTATTAATACACTCATTTCTTCTACACTTATTGATTTACAATATGATGATACTAATTTTGTTGCCCTATACAATTCATATAAAAAACCCTAAACCCTAAACCCTAAACCCTAAACCCTAAACCCTAAACCCTAATTTTTCATATTACCCATATTATACAAATATAAATGCGATTAATAACCTTTATTATTCATATAATAACATAAACCCTAAACCCTAAAGTGGAGAAAGATTAAAGCCCTAACCCTAAACCCTATATTAGGGTTTAGGGTTTAGGGTTTAGGGTTTGGTATAACGACTTACTTTTGTACCGTTTTATCAACAGCATCATCTAATTCTTTTAATAATTGTTCTTGTTGTTTATTAACCTCTGTATGGTGTACATACACCTCAGCAGCAAGCTGCTGCTGCCATAAAGATAATGTTTCTTGGCGCAGCACAGCAGCAGCAGCAGCAACTTCCTCAGGCAGCAGCGGCAACTCCCGACGAATTAAATGTTCAACATCTCTTGCAAATAATAATACCAAGTCATTCTTTGCCATCGCACTCTGTACACAAACCCTAAACCCTAAACCCTAAACCCTAAACCCTAAACCCTAAACCCTAGAGGAGGAAAAAGGATCGGAGGGAGAAGGTTCAGAGAAAATTATACAAATAAACACACTAAACCCTAAACACTACTTCCCAACCGATAATACAAACATCAAATACCAAACCCTAAACCCTAAACCCTAAACCCTAAACCCTAAACCCTAATTTACTCGTATAGTAGAGAAGTGATTCATGAAGACTTGTACGTCACCAAACATATTCGCGTTTGCTGCTGCAACAAGAAAGCGCGTGAGTTCTGCTAGGTCTTTGCCTGACATATATCTCTGCTGCTGCTGCTGCTGCTGCTGCTGCTGTTGCTGCTGCTGCTGGTTGTGTTTATGTTGCTGTAGCTGCTGCTGCTGCTGCTGCAGCAATGGCTCCCCTGCTGCTAATTTTTGCTTCGGGTGTGCAGCAGCAGCAGCAAGAAGACGTTCCTTAAATAAAAGGAATTCTTTTTTGTATTCTTTTTCTTCTTCTTCTTCTCTTAATAGATCCAATCTCTGCAGCAAATTGCCATTAGATGTTGGCGCTCGTAATGCCGTACAATCTACTTGGCTATATAATGACCTGAACACAAAACCCTAAACCCTAAACCCTAAACCCTAAACCCTAAACCCTAGAAAAACCCTAAACCCTAAAAAAACCTTAAGAAACCCTAAACCCTAGAAAGCAGAACAGACAGAAAGACGACTTACATGACTAATCACCAACAGTTCATGAATTATCAATCAACCACCAAAACCCTAAACCCTAAACCCTAAACCCTAGAAAACCCTAAACCCTAAACCCTAAACCCTAAACCCTAAACCCTCGATCGTACCTGAGTGAATGTTTACTATGTGTTTTTGCCTCATTAGCTTCGATGGCTTGTGGTGATGTCATCCATCTGTTTGTATTCAGCAAGGCATCTAACCATTCTTGTGCTGTTAATCCCTCTAGATCCTGTAGATAAATAATAAATATAAATAAATAAATAAATAAATAAATAAATAGTTGGATAGCTAGCTACCTAGCTAAGTAAGGGTGGGTAGGTAGGTAGATAGGTAGGTAACTAGCCAACTGCATGCACAGGAGGCTACTTTATCAGTCTGCTAGCTAGCTAGCTAGCTAGACAAGTAGCTAGGCAGCTAGCTAGCTAGCTAGCTAGACAGCTAGCTAGCTAGCTAGCTAGCTAGCCGTGTAGGGAGGGTGGCTAACCTGTACGAAGTCTTGTACGACCCAAGAGAGGCAGCAAGGACTTAGGAGAGAGAGAAGAGCAGAAGAAGTCTCTGTCCTCGGCTGCTGCTGCTGCTGCTGCTGCTGCTGCTGCTGCTCAGGTAATTCGCGTACAGAACTTGCATGCGCTCTAAGAGAGAACAGATTTGCATCTCTTGTTAAATCCTCCAATAATTGTAAATCCTACAACACAAAACCCTAAACCCTAAACCCTAAACCCTAGATAAACCCTAAACCCTTACTAAACCCTAAACCCTTACTAAACCCTAATCCCTAAATCCCTAAACCCTAGATAAACCCTAAACCCTTGCTAAACCCTAATCCCCAAATCCAAAACCCTAGTAAATTCGTATTTATTGTTAATGATACACAATAATGCACAAATACATTGTAAATAATAAATAAGTGTTTATTAGTGTTTTTTAGTGTTTATTAGTGTTTTAGTGTTTTTTTAGGGTTTAGGGTTTTTTAGGGTTTAGGGCTTATGTATACTTGTGCATCGATCATTTTCATGGTCGTAAATAAAAGATAAGAAGATAAGAAGAAAGCAATACTATATAATAATTGAATATAATTTCATGTAGTAATTTTTAGGGTTTAGAGTTTTTTTAGGGTTTAGGGTTTAGGGTTTAGGGTTTGCGCCTGTGCGTCAATCATTTTCATGGTAATAAATATAAGATAAGAAGATAAGAAGAAAGCAATAGTGTATAATAATGGATTATAACTCCATATAAAATTTTCAGGGTTTAGGATTTTTTTAGGGTTTAGGGTTTAGGGTTTAGGGTTTAGGGTTTAGGGTTTAGTGTACCTGTGCGTCAATCATTTTCATAGTAGTAAATATAAGATGAGAAGATAAGAAGAAAGCAATACTATATAATAATTGATCATAACTTCTTGTTACATTGGGGCCCCCAAACCCTTCGCTATCTAATAGTAGTACATTTACTACAGAGGATTCTGCTGCTGCTGCTGCTGCTGCTGCTGCTGTTGCTGCTGCTGTTGATGCTGCTGTTGCTGCTGCTGCTGGCGGAGATGAGGAAGGAGATGATTCTGCTGCTGTTTTAGATCCGGATGCTGCTGATTTAGGTTCTGATGCAGCTGCTGCTGCTGCTGCTGTTGCTGCTGCTGCTGCTGCAGATGCTGCAGCAGCAGATGCTGCTGCTGCT